CTGATCTTCTTGGCATATGATGGCTGCAAAGAAGGGAGGTCTAGGGTCCTTGTGCTAAAAGGATGGATTGTCATTGAATAATTCACAAGGGTGATTCAGGATTAAATGGTGGATGGAATTACATATGCTAAAAGGAATGGTTTACATGTGTACATCTATTTGTAAAGATAATTTGAGATCTTCTACACATCAACAATCAGTTGTTTGCATGATATGTCCATCATATTCTATTAGTAGAGTTTTCTTATGCTGCTGTGGGCTTTCTTACTTGTTCTGACAGGTATATAAACCCTTGCTATTGTCTTGTTTCTTTTGTTCCTCATCCTTTACAAGAACCAATCAAGTTTACCAAGCTTTAGAAGCCAATCAATCCGTCCATAACAAACTTCAAAAGCCCTTACAAGTCCCTTATAAGCCCTGTTACACTTAGTATACACGGATTCTGGTCTTTATTCTGCTTTACTCTTTGATTACTATTGTCAACTGCTTTCCTACATATAAAAATTATATGTAATCAATCTGTAACAGGTATATATCAAGTATTAAACTGTCATTTCCTTGCTCAATAAGCTTCCTTATTGACACCTTGTGCTATCATATTCTCTAGAAATAAACCATAAAGCAGAAAATCTTCCTTCCTCACATGGAGTCTAAAGTAGCCTTCAGGATCTTTGGTTCACCAAAGTGTAAAGCCTGCCCCTCACAGTCTCACAAGGTTAGAGTGTATTAGCTCTTTACTGCCCTTAGAGCACCCACTATGGGTGCGGTAAACAGAAGTTTTATCGTAAGTTTACCACTAAAACTTACACAGGTCCACTATGGACCTGTCTTAGGCATGCGGTCCCTACAACTGCATCAAATCATGAATCAAGTTGCCTAACTTTACACAAGCTTGATTCATGTTTTATCCTAAGATTTGACACATCAAATCTCAACTGTTCTTAGTTTTTTCATTGATTCATCACACTTCAACATCTCATACTTGACCAATTTTGATTTTCGATCTCAACATGTCAGTTCCACCACCTGCCTCTGAAACTTTGAACAACAATTAATCTATGCGGATGCAAGTCTGGAGAAGTGGTCAAGGTGAAGGAGGCTTGTCAAAGAGGAAGTCAAAGGTGACTTGCTCATATTCTTGTTGCTCTTCATTTTCATTTGAAGACTTCAAAAGAGCATTGATTGCTCGTTCCATTGAAGTAGATATTGAGATGCTCTTTTTGGATGTATTATTTGAAATATATACAATCTTTCACGTTGTGACTTTGCCACTGTGGGATCACTTGATTCAAAGTGATTTATTGTTGGTAAATCACACGGTAAATTACTCCATAGTGAAATTCATGCGGTAATTGATTTAGTTGTTACACACATGATTATATTTTGCGGTTGGGACCGCAAAATTTACGATAAAACACACCCACCATAGTGGGTGCTCTTAGTGTCTTTTCTCTTCCTCAAATCCTCTTCTTAGAGGCCAAGTAGCTGTATTCTTCACTTGGGTGTACCACGTGAAGACCATGTGTTACCTTTCTTATCACATTCTTAGTGAAGAGCACGCCCAACAGACACGCACTCCTCACAACCTTGAAGCATATTATCACCAAGATGCCAAGCTTGGCCAATGTAACACAATCAACTCAAGACAAATTCAATCCCAAGGTAGGAGTTTTGATCTTTGTTGGATTCAAGAGTGTGTTGTAATAGAATCTAGCAAAAATAATTAGAATTATGTGATGGAAGTAAAAAATTGGGAAATGTTGACACCACCAATGCTGAAGAGCTTGAATAATAACCATATTATCATCAATTAGATATAATAAAGAAACAGCAGAAGTTTGCAAAAGAGGTGAGGGTGATGAATGCAAATGAAGTTTTGCTGCTTTCTGAACTTGATAAACTCAATGACCTGATTTACCAAATGGTAAAAGACATCATTGTAATCTATTGTTTGATTATCACCATGGCCATCTTGCTTTGTATTTGGTTACCAAACCTTTCCAACAAGCACACTGTTGTGTGATTTTACATGATGAAAAAGTTGCATTACAATATCAGAGCATCTCCACCGTTTGTGTGCAAATCAGACATGTCTACCTTGAAAGGTTGGCAGGTTCTAGCCTGTATCACATGATTGTAGAGGTGAAAATGTTTATTGCCCAATAGAGCTTAGGGAAAGACTTCTGTGACATGTTTCTTGTGTTGAACACAAATATAACAGCTTGAAGGTTCCAAAACAAGAAGTAATGTTGAACATTGTTCCCCTGTTGGTTGTATTTGGGTATTTGCACACCATCCAAATTTACACTCTCCTGGTCAAAATTTAGACAGTGTGAAGCCCATACAGGCTGTTTACGTGGTCCAGTGGCTTGGATCATTTCCCACACAATGTGAATATCAGCTGTATTTGGCTTTTACACAGTCTGGTGGACAAGCTCTTCTTGCAATTTGTTTTGCCAAAGTGGGTGGTAAGAGCCTCTTCACCCAGTCCTGCAAAACAGACCATATTGGTATGAGAATTTGACAGCCAATATGGCTGTATTGTACAAAACATGTGAAAAACACAAAACCCACAGCACAACATGCCATGGATATCCATATCACTGTGTCCTTGTGGCAGTTGCCTGACGGCAAGGACACAGACTGCCTTTGAGGTCCAAAGGCGACTCGTGTGTGCTCGTTGAGAAGCAAACACCACACGGACATGGTGGATAGTATAAACCGTTTTGCGCAGTTGAGGGCTGAGCAAGGGCAAGGCAACTGGCAGTGGAGTGATTGATGGTTGGTAGATTATCCATATATTTTCAAGTTGAAAGCCTTGTGCACATTGGATGGTTTGAAAGCAGTTTAATGGGAGTCATATGGGACAGCTATTGATACCTGTCAAGGGGTCCTGTATGCCTCCCATGTATCTTGTAAAGGCTGTTTACAAGCCCCAGTGCCTTGTGTTTAATTGTATGTGGTGTGTATACACAACTAATTGGTCATTTTACATGACTGAGTGGAGATGCTCTAAGCTTAAACTTAACAAAGTCCCATGCTTGCCTCAAGCAAGGCTGAAGCAAATGAGGGACTTACGCCAAACTTGTACGCTCCATAACCTTGCAGTAGAGGGTTTTGCAGGGAGCTGCCTTTGATCCCCTTCATCTTTTTCCACACCAAGGATTTGGGTATGGTCCAAAGAGAAAAAATATGTGCCCTATTCTGGCGCATATTGTACATATTTTTCACCAAGGAAACTGCTCCCCTCCATGAACAAAAGTGCTCCAAATTTTTGGCTTCAATAGCTTTTGTGCACGTAAACCACACATGTAACCACTGCAAATGGGAAGTGTTGGCAAAAATAGTTGATTCTCTTCATCTATTATCTGTGTAATAAGAGTGCTTTCCTTGGTGAAAGAAAATGTACAATATGTGCCAGAGTAAGGCACATACTTCTTCTCTTTGGACCATGCCTGAATGTTTGGCGTGGAACGAGATAAAAGCAAATTGAGAAGGCTCCATGCAAAAGCCTCTACCACGAGGCCATGGACTGTACAAGTTTGGTGTAAGTCCCTTGCTTGCTTCAGCCTCCCTTGAGGCAAGTGTGTGAATTTCTTAAGTCTATTCTAAGCTGTTAGAGCATCCACTATGGGTGCGGTAAACATTGGCTTTATTGTAAGTTTACTGCTAAATCTTACACAGGTCCACTAGATATGTGCCCTACGACTGCATCAAATCATGAATCAAGCTTGTCTAACTTTACACAAGCTTGATTCATGTTTTATCTTAAGATTTGATTGACACCTCAAATCTCAACTGTTGCTTGTTTTCTTGACTCTGCAAATCACATACTTCATCATTTCATCAACACTTAACCTCCCCACTTGATTGGCTCATTCAAAATTGACGCTCAAACTTTGATTTGTATGTGGCATTAGGTGCAAAGTCATTGTTGTACAGCTGTTCATTGTGTTGGACACAGTCTTGATCTATGCGGATACAAATCCGGAGAGGTGGTGGAGGTGAAGAAGGCTTGTTGAAGAGGGTGTTGAAGGCTATTTGCTCATACTTTTGTTGCTCCTTGCCATCATCTGAAGACTTCAAGAGAGTTGAAGCAAGCATTGAGATGGGTTTTTTTGGATGTATCATGTGAAACAGATATGATATTTTAATTTGTGACTTTGCCACTGTGGGATCACTTGATTCATAGTGATTTATCGTTGGTAAATCACACCATAGTGAATTTCATGTGGTAACTGATTCAGTTGTTACACGCATGATTAATTTTTGCGGTCGGGATAGTGTGTGTGGCACGCGTTTTTCCTTGCAGCCGTTACAAGGGACCAGTTACCTACAAAACAACGTGACATATAGCAAAAAAACAAAAAAACAGGAGGGGTTCAAGTTCCTCAGGATATTCTTAGACTATTTATTTCGTGTTTTCGTAAAATTTACGTAAACTCACACTGTATGTACAACGCGAAAGTTCATAAAAATTTGAGGCATGAGTAGGCGCGAGCGTGGGACTTTGATAAGTTTGATAAAAACTGCAAATTCCAATTCGAAATCCCCTAAGAATAGCTCACTCAAATTTCACGTGTGTGCACTATGATTTAGATCCATAGGTGTCTTCTTCCGATTATGTAAATTTACATAACAAAGTCCCACGAGGCGAAATTTGTTAACTTTTGTTAAGTTCCTCGTGGGACTTGGTTAACTTTACCTTCCGATCTCGCGAACACCGAACAACAATATCTGTTCAACCCTCGCAAATGTTTCAGAAAACGCAAGTTTGACGTGACATGCGTGCGGGAAACGGCACCTTTCCAGTGACGCAGTGTTCATTGAATATTTCCTCACTGGAAAACCATGTATCACAGCTGGCCAAAAATCTATAAGAACCCCGGTCTTTTCGTCCTCCTCATCCCTCATCCCACCAAATAAATCTTACCAATAAATCTTACCAATCAACTCTTTAAAACCAAGTTTTCTCATTACTCTTCAGAGCAATACTCATCATGCTTTTCTTAAAATTAGTGATTGCTGCTGCCCTAGCTGGTTGGTTGACTCATGATCCCTAATATGTTATTTACTTCTTCCTTCATACTTACCTCCCTCCCCGTCTACTTAACAGTCACCGTCTCCGCCTCACCACTCGAAAAGGACTCTATGTGAGTGAAGACTTGGTATATATAACTCTGTTTTATATGCTCAATTGTGTCCTATTGTGTTATATGATTGACAGTAGTACCGACAACACCGTCCTTCAAAGAAGAGCTGCGGTGGTCGAAGTATTCGGAAAGAGATCGTAAGTTGAGGTTGTATGAGGATGCATTAGTCTCTAACATTGTCCCTAAATTTTCTGACTGATCTGAGTATTGTTTTCCATTTGTAGTGGGCAGAGTGCCTGCGGGTTCTGTAACTCTGTGGAATGTCAGACTCCCAATTCACGATGTCCAGCCATGGGCTGTTGTAATTGATGTGGATAAACGGAAACCACATTGTATACTAATGCGAAGAGATATTGTAAGGGTACACCCACCTTTGCTCACATGTTTTCTCTAGTAGGAGCTCTGTGTCTAATTTCCATCTCGCGCGTTTGTTTCTTAGTTTCTTGAATATTGCTCTCGTACTCTTACAGTCTGGTCTTTCTCGCGAGCTAGATTATGATATGATCCCTGTCAATTACTCTCGTTGTTTTGATCGCTTTGCTTCTACTTGCTTGACTCTGGTTGTTGTTCCTATGATCTCATGTTCCTGTGGGCATCTTCTGAAACTTCAAGAATGACATAAAACTTCAAGAATGACACCCCCCCATTCAATGAGCTTAGGCTTATGCAGACATCCTTCCACCTCGTGGAATCGATCGTCAATAAGTGAGAATGTACCGGAGTGCAGCCATGGCTTTGCCTGTTGTGTGTAATGCAAAATAAGTTCCACTCAGAATATATATTTTTCATCCGACCAGATCCTTTTTCGAGCCTTGCAAATCGAACTGAATATTATTGGCTTTTTTTGGATGTCTATGTCAAAAAACATGTCCTTTCTCATTTATGGGTAGGACAAACACACCCAATGAGAGTGATGAAAACACAAACCAATCATTGAAAGAGACTCGAGGGGTAGTTCAAATGATAGTTGAAGCCACACTGGTAACAATTATCAGAACTCGGTCAATTTGGGTTTTGAAGACCACCCGCTTTCTTTCTCAAGTTGAAGTCTTCCAACAAAAACATGGTACCAACGCATTACAATTCAAGAATGAGAAAGGGGAATTCATCAAAGATTCCCAGTCATATTTCCTAAAAATATCTTAATCCTTTCTTTTATACATATATTGAAGGAAGATTGTACAAACCAAAAAGAAAAAAAACTACAACACAGACAAAAACTGAGGTATAAGTTGAAGTGATTGAACATAAACAAGCAAAAAGTTCACAAAACAAATAGGCTACTGAATTGACCAAAAGCTTGAGCACTATACACTACGATGACTATAAAACGTCATTTGATGTCGGATTTGAGGTACAATTTTCGCATTATCCAAATCTTTCATGATCGGGGTGGAAATTGTATCGATTGAGATTTCCAAGGAAGGAGTTGAACCAGCCTCCAGGACTCCAAAAGGTTTTGGAGGGGAGGGGGAATAGATTGATGAAATGGTCTCGGGTGAGGCCAAGGAAGATGCAAGTGGAGCTAGGCCAATCTCTCGGAAGGTTTGTGACGAGCTAGGTGAAGTTAATGAAGCTTCACCTGAAGCTGGGGACCAACCGCACGAAGTAAGAGGTGGTGGTAGACTCGCCGCGGCTTCGTCCCACGCTTGCTCCCAATTAGGATTAGGACACCATGGGCTACCTAAGACACCCACGGCTTCGGGAGAGGTAGAAAGGGCTTCAGTGATAGGGGTGAATGTCTTCGGAGTAGCACGAGGAGTGGCCGGATCTTCAAAGTCGAGAGTGCCAAGCCATCCCGACCCTTGTTGTTCAGTCATGACAGGAGACTCTCCGCAGCAGGTGAAATCCCAACCGTCTCCATTGTCGTCATTTCCACTATCAAGGTGGAAGAACCGAGTTAGAGGTCCAGTGACTGAACGCGCGATACCGAGACGCCTACGAGTATCGTTCTGACTCTTGATGGGTCCGGTACTACTACAACTACGACTGGTACTGATACCAGGTTTACTTGGTGGAGATGCACTCGTGGTCCAATCTACGGAGTGATTCCCATGAAGAGGTCGAAGGACCTGTTATGAATTGTTAATCAAAACTTTAGGATCATGAACCATTTTGCTTATTGAGGTTCAGATATAGATACTCACAGAGAAGGAAAGCTTGCGGCGGATCATTCCTGCTACACGATCGGCTCCACTTCCTGATTTACGACCGACAATAGTAGAGGTTGTCGAAAGGGTTGGTGATTTCGGTACGGACTGATTCGGTGTATCAGGAAAGATTGGAGAGGTGGGGGAGATTTCTGTGCTTAAAGGAGCTACAGTCAAAGGAGTTGAAGGGGCGGGGAAGAGGATTTCACGCGCTGAATCCATCTTCGGTTTGTTCTTGTAAGCTTGTTAGTAAGCTTTGGAAGAGTGTGAAATGAACACGGAGAGCTGGTGAGATTGAATATAATTTGAGAGGATTTGCAGAGTGTATGATTTAAAAGATGTAAGAGAAAGAAGTGAGTTTAGGAAATGCTTGCAAAGAGAAAGGCAAAGTTGATGTCTTACGCGTTGAGGTTTTATGGTTTAGGAAGGTGAGAGTGACGGAATTCAAGAGGGTGCAATAGACGTCCTTTGTTAATGGGTGAAGAATTATTTGGATATATTTTTTCTTATTCTCAAGAAAATAGTCAAGAAAGTTAAAGACAAAGTCAAGAATCTTGAAGTGGATTTGTTGATAAGTTTTGAGGGAATGATTTCAAGATGAAAGAACTGAAGCGTTAAATATATTTGCTACTTCATAAAATTCATGCAACCACAAGAAAACAGGCACTATTCCAAACTACAAAATAAAACGGTCGATACGGCCCTACAAACTGATCGATTTACACACTGATCTTGAACTTCGAGCTCAGGCCGGCCAGCCCAATCTCGATCTGATTTTGGCGATTTTCTCGGGCGCAAGGATCAAAACCGCCGTAGCTTGTCATTTTCATAGCTCTGTGTGTGTATGTATCACCTCAAACAAGTCTCCCCTTGATTTTGGTTGGAATTGCTTCTTTCCCAACGGTTAGGACTCTAAGGTCGTATGGGTTGAAGTCACCTTTGACATACAATTTGAAGTTTGCACTACTGAAGTTGATCGAAGCGAAATCCTTACTTTCAGCACGATGTGGTGTGTCTCTCTTTTATTTCTTGATGATCTATCACCTCATAGTGTTTTCGTTGATCAGAGGCAAAAACCTTAACATTTGGCGTAACACAGCTCTGCGCAGTGGAGGCTTTAAATCCTTGCGAGGTGTTGGATTTTTTTTTCAATTCCCCAAAGCTCATCAATATACGCTGGAGGCTGGAGCGATTCCAAGACGTGATGCAAAAAAAAGATGTCTATGGTTTTTGAAAATTGTCATGAAGATGGCCTGCCACTCCGAGGTTTGCATATATTCTTACCCGCAACACTCAGGTTTGTTCTGTATATTAGATTTTCACTCTAAGACTTTCAACTCATTTTCCCTATAGTAATGTTAGACCATTTCATCGGATAAATCCTAGTCTTCTTTCTCATCTTGATACCTGTCTATCTATGCAATTTTTATCAACTATTGGTATGTTTTGTCTTAGTCTTAGCTGATTCCTATCCGAGCAGGCTATTTCACAAATAGTAATCACCTACAACACTCAGGTTATACAAAAGAAGTCTGACAGATTTTTAAGTAGAGATGTTCAAGATACAAAGGTCTAGTAAGACCACTCTTGTCGCGATCAGAGATCTCAGAAGGTTATATGTATTGGTGTGGGGATGTTCCATCATAATCGACTTGGGTTTGATGTACTCGCCTAGGGGTTGTCCAAGAAGATGTACCGTAAACCCATGATTCTCTGAAATGTCATATATAGAGTGGGAATAGGTGGGAATGTCAAAGAGGGGTGGTTCATTATTTATCATTGCGGTAGAATTGACCAAGACTTTGGCGAAGAATAGTGACTCAAGCAAATGCTTTTCGGGATCTTCTGCTTGTATTCTCAAAGTGTCACGAGGTTGAAATTGTATTTTCGTATTTCACAGTTTGTGTAATCTTGAATGACAGATGATGGCAAAGTTAAATGATCAGCTTGTATGCGGTGTTCGAGTTCCTGATGATTCTGATTGATTCTTGATCGATTACTAGTTTACCACTCTTGACCATTTTACCAACCAATCCAAAATGAAATCAATAACTAATCCATCACCATCATCATCATCGTCAGAAGCAGAAGAAGTGGAACCAATCCTATTTATCATTCAAGATGACTGTTATAAACATCTTTACAAACGAAGCCATCAACCCATGGAAGTGTTTGAAAGACCTCAAAGATTAAGATATGTGAATTTAGGTTTATCGAGTACATTAGCTTGGATCTCAAATCAAAATCAACTTCAAATCTATCCATCAATCAACAACCAACATCCATCCTTGACAAACCTAATCATTTCAAATCATTTCATAGTTTCTAAATCATCAAATCGAATTAATCTTAATGATACTTCATTCAATCAAATCCATTCTTCATCAAAAGGACTTGTCTCTTCATCGCCATCAACAACAACGACCTCAACCTCTTCATCTCAATCATTATCATCTAAAGTTGATCAAGAATCTAGTTATCTAGATCAACTTATCAAGCTATGTCGTCATACTTCTCATCAACATCAACTAGGTCTATCTGAAGTACCTGATCATCTTCCTCAAGGGGACTTGTGAGTCTTATCAATTCCAATCTTAATACTTGATACTGATTCAACTCCATTTTTTTGGCGTGTTCTTTCTAGGTATCTTTCGGCAGGTACCGAATTCGCAGTGCTAGGAGCTATTGGAGCCTGTTACGATGCACTAGATTCAGTCCTCAAACCCAATCAAACCTCAACTTCAAACCTCCAAAAACCATCCACTAAAGCTTTCGTGAATATTAGACCACCAGGACATCATTGTACAGATACAGAACCTATGGGATTTTGTTGGGCCAACAACGTTTTAGTGAGTTGTATGTATGCTCATCTCAATTATGCAATCGACAGGATATGTATTGTAGATATAGATTTACATCATGGGAATGGAAGTCAACAAATCGTATGGGAAATCAATCAAAGATCACAAGAAAGCTCAAACTCATCCAACTCAAAACGAACCTTAAAGATCAGTTATAGTTCATTACATGATATCAATTCATATCCATGTGAAGATGGACAATTAGATAAGATTAGAGAAGCTTCATTGAACCTTTGTGTTGGTAATTCGATTCAACAATTCATTCAAAATTTACATTTAGAAGTTTGGAAGGATGAAATCGATTTCTTTGATAGATTGTATCCTAAGATTTGGAATTCATTTCAAGATCATATGATTATGTTTTTTAAAATCACGGATGCTATTGAGGAAAATAGTTTGATCTTTGTTAGTGCTGGTATGTTATCTATTAGATTCTTTCTCATCTTTTTATTTCAATTAAGAAGGACTATAAAAGAACAAATCTGACGTAGGTTCCTTCTTTTTTTGGAATATAGGATTTGATGCATGTGAATTAGAAACTGATTCGATGTCAAGATATGGAATGAAACTACCTACATCATTTTATCATCGATTTTCCAAAGATCTAAGTCAATTTTCACAAACCTATACTAAAGGTCGAGTGATTTCATTCTTAGAAGGAGGTTATAGTGATCAAACTTTATTAGGTAGTAGTTTAAGTTATTTATTAGGTTTGATTGATTATCCAATCGATTTTGAAAAAGTTCCATGGGAATTAGATCGAATTGAAAAGATATTAAAATTAGTGATTAAAAAACCAAATCAAGAAATTGAAGATGAAATCGTATTGATTGAAAAGATTAGAGAGATTTTTAATTATTTAGATGGATTTGAAAAATCGAAAATCGAAATGAGATCTGAAATCAAAAAGATGGGAAAGAATAAAATCGAAATTGAATCATTAGGAAACCCAAGTGAAAGTATTAGTGGTAAAACAAGAGGTATGAAATTGAGAAGTGGTAGATTAGCTAGTCATTCAAAGAATAAATCAATAGAAAAAGATCAAATTGGTATTGATTCAATGGAAGGAATGTTTGAGAAAATGAAGATTGGAAAAGAAGATCAAGATGAAGAGAAAGTTAAAATTAAAGTAGAAGAAAAGATTGCACCAAAGGAAGAGAAAATTGAAATTAAAGTAGAAGACAAGATTACACCTAAAAAAGAAAAGATCTCACCTAAGAAAGAAACAATCACACCCAAGAAAGAAAAGATAACACCCAAGAAAGAAGAAGAAAACAAAACTCAAACTCAAAGATTAAAACTAGTTTGGAAATCAGAGGGGATTAATTAATTGATTTTTTTTTGCATGTTTTTACATTTTTTAAGATTACATTCAGAACAATTATGATGAATTAATGATTTTTTGGGGGTAAGGGGTATATCATCAAAGTAAATGTATGTATAAACAATGGGTCACCAACTTTTTTTTGTCTTCGTTTTTATTTTAGACATTGATAAATACTTCTAAATAGATTTTTTCTTCTTAAGATGGACCTATTAGATTTCTTTTTTTTCTTTTTCGGGTTATTTGGTGTGATTTTTTGGATTTGATTCGTTATTTTTTTCAATTCTTGTAATGGTTTTCTTTGGTATCAAATCTTTCGAATTTCTTTTTTTGTGATTATGTTCAGATTGGACTAGATAACCATTGTTTAGAATTGATTATAGATCGTTTTGTAGCCAAAGTATTGTAAAGTTTGTCTGGTTTGAATTGTTCATCATTGATCTGAATGATATTGCGTACCCTTTTTGTTTTGAAAAAGCTTGATCCACTTCTAGTTCAGCTATGGCTACTTTGGTGATCACTTCATTTGAGATACTACCAGGATTGCACTTTGGCATGTTCCTCTTACCGAACCTCTCTTGTCTAACACAATGCGCACTGACACTGTCCCATCCAGCCCGCAGTGCTGCCAAACTGTTGGTGGACAACCCTGTTGTGCAAACCGTCACACCAAACCTCCGGCAGAAGCTCCTGCACCGTGGAATGTGTCTTCTGATCTGTCTTCTGACTCCTACAACATCATGAACCGCTCAACACAAGGCAGCCAACTGGACATCATTGGCCCACCCTCAATCACGTGGCGGATGTCTTGCTAGACTTGTGGTTCAAAAATTGATTGCATATAAAGCATGGTAGTACATAGTACTGTATTATGCCTGGAAATGAAATTATCAGATCTAGTCTGATAATTATCAGCACATTATTCAGAAGTCAGATCTGCCCTTTTAAACTTTGTATCCCTTATTGGAGATTTGAGATGATAATGATGGAAAAAAGATTTCATAACAAAGAAGTATTTTTGTTTTTGGCTAAATGGCCTGACCAATCTCGCGCTTAAAATTCAACATCACAAAGTCGTACATAATTTAAGTCCCTCGCTCAAGCCCTTTGGCCAAACTTGACTAAGTCCCACTAAGTCCCACTCTGACCGGACTTAGCGTGCATCGAATTCACACGTCACCGATGTACAGTCGTTCTCAGAAATGTTGGAAAAATGCAAAATCTCGAGCTGAGCTCGGGGTCCGTGCGCTGAGCAGGGACACGCAGATACAAACACTGACAAAAACTTTGATTTTGACAGGTATCTCAAGATGAAAATTCGTTTACTTTCCATCATACCTCGATGACCACACACCTATCTTGCCAATGGCCAGGCTAACGGACTGATCTCTTCAGAAAAACGGTGAAAACGTATGATTTCATGGTTAAGGGATTGTAACACGAGTTGAGGATCAGAGGAAGGATGGCATGGAGAGGACACAAGGGAGTTGAGGTTGGTGAAAGGGACACTGATCTCCACTCGACAGCTGCCATGACTTTTCCGTGACACATGTCATGAAAAAGTCACCTCCTCGGGACCACGACCTCAGCTCGAGATGTTGGATTTTTCCAACATTTCTGAGAACGACTGTATAGTCCCTCAGATTCTGTGCATGCACTCTGACGGTCTGAGTAATACATGCATACTCAGACTCGAGTGACAGAACTTTCCTTGATGAATCATGATTGACCTTCTAAATAAAGCCGGCCTGAGTTGAGGTTCCTCTCGAGCAAGAAATCTATAAGAACCTAAGCTTAACTAAGCCCCTCTCGGACGAGAAGCTTAACTAAGCCCCTCTCGGACGAGCGAGTAGTCGAGAGAGGGGCTTAAATGGGACTCGCGTTTCATGGCGGGAGAGCTCCAGAAATTAAGTACCTTTATGTACTTTTCTGGAGCTCTCCTCAAATACAGCTATTCCATTATATGTTGGACATCGAGAAAAAACTAAAGAAGTTTTTACTGGATTAAACCTTGAAATTTGGGTAAATGACCTCAGAAATGAGTTTTAGACACCCACCACAAACCCATGCCCTTCCCTCACTCAAATTTGGACTTGATCGTACTTGATCTCATTCATTCAAGGGATCAATTATCACACCAACCCAGCTGCACCAGTCACTCAAGAATGCCTTCCCAAATTTCAATCACTGCACGAGCTCACAATCAACCTGCAACATCTCTCACTCCTCGTCAACGCAGCGCATCTCCACGCCCTCACCAAGGTGGTTCATTCCCCATCTTCACCAACGCCTCGCCAACCACATTCACTATGCATGCTTACAAGAAGAATCCCTTGACTTCAGCACAAGATAGATCTGGTGACTCAACCGGTTACTCACACTTTAAACTCAATGATGTCAAAGTTGAATTTGAGCTCAAGAATGTTGAAATCAGCGAGCTGAAGGTTGCAATTGGTGTCTATGCGGAGAAGAAGTATCCAGGATGTAAAGCTCTTTTTGAAGAGGCTGAAAGCGAGGGGAAGATGAATTATAATGGCTACATTCTTGGTAGTCGCGAATTTGGGAAGACTCGCCCTAAGAGTATCAATGATGTTGAGATTTACAACGAGTTCAAACGAGTAATGGCTAGGAATGTCGGGAAGGAAATAGGGCTGTGGGCAAAGATTCAAGATCCAAAAGCATCCAAGAAAAATAAACAGCAGATTAATGTGCGCTGCATCTCAAGTTTCTTGTTTTTACATCTCTGATCTTCTCTTGCTTTCCTTTCTGTTACAGGACCAACATTTTGCCCGATCAATGCACGCTGACAATCCAGAAGCAAACCCAGATGATCGCCGTCGAGATATCCTGAATGATCTCAATGCTCCACCTGACCGAACGCTCGTTTACGATGCGCTGTTTGGTGCCTACGGCAATAATAGAGATGGTAACCGTGAAGGGATGACATTTTATCACCCTGAAAAACCAACCTTGGTCATCAAGATGACCCACATAATGTTTAAGTGGTGGACTGATGATATTGTGAGTAAAACTCACTTCTAATTTATCCAATCGAGATTGACTTTTTTCATCTTAGATGGAAGGGAAGCCTAATGTCAATCAGACAACACCTCCAAGTGCAAAAGATCGACCCGATTTCAAGTATGTTTCAAAGAACGGACCTTTGGCTGTACTTCCCCAAGCACCTGAGGTCTTGCCGACTCCCGGATTGATACCTCCACCTCGTCCGATCTCGCCTGCTCCAGAACCTTCGGCATCCTTTCAGCGCTTCCTGAACTTCGCATCTATTTCACTCGACGACGTTCAAACTCGTAACGCAATTCATCATATCGGTATATTAGAATTTGATGAATTCCTATACGAAGAAAACAATGTCGATTCCCTTGTAAAGTATGGAATGAAGCATGGCCGTGCTGCCCGATTGATCCACCAGGCTGCTGTGTATCGGGATGACATCGAGCAACGTCGAGCTGATATTTGAGTTGCATCTTTGACTGTGTAGAATCCAAAATACAAGATTATTTGTAATGAAGTCTTCAAAAAGAAACGATGTTTGTAATGTACAGTACAAATGTAGCCTTAGTTTATTAATGTAAGATAATGTATGAATCAATCTGTAATGAATGAAGCTACTTTTGATCTGTATCAGCAATCGTTCAATCACCACAATCCCAGATGCTTTCGGGTATGGATCATTAATCATGATCAATCGATAAATCACCAAGTGCTCCTAGATCATTTATTGTGATCGATCAATCAATCACCAAGTTGTCTTAGATCATTGATTGAGATCGAGGCGTCAAGAAGAGGCAAGAGTGGGACTTGGTTTAAGAAAAAGGGTGCTCCAAAGAGCTTTTGTGAATTGCTTCCATAACGCACTAAAAAGAAAAAGCTATCAAAATGGACAACTACAGTCAACAAAACTGATTCACTATAAGTACAACTGGGATTACTAATTAGTCAATTAGACAGCGAGGAAATCGAGGTCTTTTTGAAAGATCTGTGATTGAAGAGAAGCTCTGATGTTCGAAAAAGTGCTGAAGCTCATGTCAAGCTCTATCAGAGCCCGCGAAACCTAGGAACTCCATTGAGCTTTCTTGATACCGAAGTCTGATTCCAGCACAAGATAGATGAACACCCGCCCGTGTTGAGAGATCAAGAATTTGGACGCAGAGCGTTGTCGGCGCCATTGATCGATTGAGATGTCGATGAACGTCCTCAAAGTTGCTGATCTTTAATCGATCTCGTCTTCTTTTCTGAGACCATAGACTCAAAGAGTGACAAGTGTTTATGATGCGTTGAGGTATGAGTCTGGTTGATCATGATATGAATAGCCTGTTGTTAACTTGATAAAAGTTGAAGATGAAATGATTTGAATGATTTGAAGATTTCCAGTTGAACAAATTTGATTTTATTAAGCTTTCTTTCTTTGTTTGATATGATTGTAATGATAGTGGTAAATTGTTGATTTGGTTCTTGGATGGGTAAGTCGAATTGAAAGTTGAGATTTGAGAGGTGAAGGTTGAGAAGTTGAAAGTCAAAAACGTGTAAAACAAGCCGATTAGACACCAGGAGCGTATCCAGAACCTCGGATCAAAGATGTTGTTAATACGGCAGTCAAAATCTCAACAGCTGTGTCGGTCAAACACTGGCCCTTATCCTCAGCCCTTCTAAAATCACCTGTTCGTATAAGGTAGGCCTTGAGAACATTCCAGCATTTTTCAATCGGGTTCAGGTTTGGCGAATAAGTAGGGAGGTAGATGAGAAGGACACCAGCGTTGAAGCAGAGCTCCCCGATTCTCCCTCGTCTGTGGATTGGGCAGTTGTCCATGATCAAAACTGAGTTTCGATCCGGATACACGTTCATCTGAGGTAACTGGACACAACAACATCAAGTGAGTAATGAAGGCATGAGGAATGTGTGATGGAGTATCTAAGGGAAGGATTGATAAGCTTACCAATATGAACTCGAGAAACCCTTCAAATCTTTCTCGATTGAAACCTCCTTCTACTGCAGCACCTGCAATGAAACCATCCTCACAAATTGCTCCGCACATTGTCCAATGAACACCCTGTCAAGAGTGTACCAATCTCTCCCCTCTGGTCCCTTTTTCAGATCGAATGTATTTCCTAAAGATATCCCGCTCATTTGCTCCAACCTCGTCTGTGAACAAACAGGTCAGAACAAAGACCAAAATGAACTTGATAGATAACAAAAAAGGAACCCACCTAGGAAGACCATGTATTGTGAAGGCATAGCTCCTATGCGTCTACTGAAAATGCCTTGCATTTCAAGTGACTGGCGTGGATCGACTGTCCCACCTTTCTTGAAAGTAAAGTTGAGTTTTTTCTCGATGGTTTTGGCTATGCTAGCAATGCACGGTTTCTTGTTGACCAGCTGATGCATTATATCTTGGATCTCATCGAGGTAGAGAGTAGGATCCTCTTGAATAACATCGTGGAGAACAACCAGATCGTCGTCGTCATAAATTGGATTTCGACCTTGAACCTTGTAGGTGGCTGGGTCAGAGACGACACACCCTGTGAGCCGAACTTTTTCATTCCAGCGTGAGATGGATTGCCTGGACACATTAGTTTCGAGGTGAATTCGAGCGGTTGCGAGATCAACTCCAGTGACACTTTTGTGATGATGTCGACTCTTGATCTGAGGTGCATAATATTTATAACCCATCTTCTATATTCTGATTTGAATTGACCAAGGTTGAAGATTGAATGAAGACTGAGCAATACACGAATTTGTGTGGAATACGAGTGGGTGTTGAATTTACCCAAATGCTTGTAGCCCCAAACCCATAGGCTATATGCTTAGGTTGAGTCCAAATTTGAAATTTCAACTTTTTCATTTTTTCTCGATGTCCAACATATAATGGAACAGTAGTACTCATTGTGGGATTTCTCAAGGTTCAGATATGTGTAGCTTCATGAGAAGCTACACAACCTCGTACCACTTTCAGCAAGATTTGTTGGAAGTAAGGGTATTCAAAACGGATTTCCAGTTTGTTGCAATGTGTAGCTGGCTATTTCAGACCAGGAGGCTGAAATGGCAGCTTCGTCGGAAACTACCAATTTCTTGACAAAACACCACAAGGGTTTCGTCTTCGTAAAAACAATAAAGGACCTCGCGCCACCGGGATAAGTGTCCCTCGATATCCAAGGGTTTTGATGAATATCTTAAGGGTTTTAGCTTTTATCCATTTCGGCGGCAGTTTCGGCGAAGGACCAAACATCCAAATCTCGGTGAAGGCCAGTACAGGCCTGTACTGGCATGCTTAGGCTGTTACAGGAGGACGTAAGAAACCATTTGCGCAACGTTTCCTGAAAGCGTCACAGCTCTCAGTTGTTGATGAAAGTGGTACGAGGTTGTGTAGCTCCTCATGAAGGAGAACATACCTGAACCTTGAGAAATCCTACGGTGAGGAATTGAGGAGAGCTCCAGAAAAGTACATAAAGGCACTTAATTTCTGGAGCTCTCCCGCCATGAAACGCGAGTCCGATGTAAGCCCCTCTGCGAGGGCGCGGCGAACGCGCTAGAGGGGCTTAGTTAAGCTTAATAAGAACCCCGGTCAACTAATTCTTGGTCCTCCTCATCACCTATCTCAACAATTCAATCTTACCAATAAAACCTCAACAATCAAATCTTCAGAACCAAGTTTTCTCGTTACTCTCTAAATTAATACCTATCATGCTTTTTTTACAATTAGTAATTGCTGCTACCCTGGCTAGTCAGTTGACTCATGATTCCTGATATGTGATTTAATCATTCTTTCATACTTACCTCCCTCCCTGTCCACATGACAGTCATTGTCTCCACCTCACCACTCCAAAAGGACCCAATGTGAGTGAAGTCTTGATGTATATAGCTTTGGTGTTATATGCTCAATGGTGTCTTATTGTGCCATATAATTGACAGTAGTACCGACAACACCGTTCTGCAAAGAAGAGCTACGGCGGTCGAAGTATTCGGAAAGAGATCGTAAGTTGGGATTGTATGAGCATGCATTAGTCTAACATTGCCGCTGAATTCTCTGACTGATTTGAATGTTGTTTTCCATTCATAGTCATGAGCAGAATCCTTGCAGGAAGTGTGGCACTACTGCATGTGGCACTCCAGGTTCAAGATGTCCAGCCATGGGCTGTTGTGGTTTTTGACGTAGATGAACGGAAACCAAATTTTAGATCAATGCAAAGAGATGATGTAAGGGTACAAACACTTTTTGTTCACATGTTTTCTGTACCAGGGCTCGGAGCTCTGTTCAAGTATCATCTCGCGCATCTGTTCCTTCTTAGTTTGTTGAATCTTGCTTTGAGTTGCGTATTCTTAAGAGCTTCATCCACTTCTAGTTTAGCTACGGCTAATTTGGAGATCACTTCATTTGAGATACAAAAGTGCTAGTATCATGGTTATGAAACGGGTCAGGCTTCTTACCATTATCATGAAGTTAAGCTGTTCAAAAATCTAATTATCCATCAAGATTCCAATATTTGTTGCTCACTGACTGTCTGTAGCTTGGAACCAAGCAAGGTTCTGCGGTAATCTTGCCTTATAATATGCAATGAAGATAGATTTTCAGACAACGTGTGATGCATCCTTCTCAAAGAAAAACCAACGTGCTGTGATTTCAGACATTTTTTGCTCAATGAACTTACATTTTGAAAGGTGTAAAACGATTCTCTCGGATCTTGTAACACACCCAAATCTTCATAATAAAAAAGGCTTAATGATGTTTTTCAAAGCAAAACACAAACACAAACTGATAACACACACATTAGCAATCATCACACTCGATTTTAAACGAAATCAAGCCTAAAGTCTCCATGAAAGGTAACCTGAAATCTGCTCAAACTTCAAAAAAAAAGGAGATGAAAAAAAAGCTATAAAGACGCAATAAGAAAGAAATATGTTCGGAAAGTAGAGATTTGAGTGCTAAGATTACACTTAATTTATCTAGAGGAACGATCAGATGGGAAAACAGATTAGATTAGGATCAGAATATCATCCAGAGAGCGAGATTTCTGTTGATGCTCGACTCCAAGTCATGTGGGAGAACAAAAAGGGGATTGCAGACATACTTTCAAAAGTTCGACCTCAAAGAACAATGTTGAATTTGGGGGTATGATTGGTTTATAACCTTGTTCTCCATAGGCCTACAAGTTGTCTCGAGTGACATTGTCAGAATATCTGAACAGTTGTGAGCGTCGAGAAGTTATCGAGAAGAAACTTACCGTATGAGGAGGGCATTTTAGGATAGCCTTTTGACCCAAACTTAAACTCATCACGCCTTCGTCCCAAGCCTGGATGACTTGCTTCACACCGATTTGGCACTCGAAAGGCTAAAGATAGTGTCAAAAACAATGCATTTGAGGGTTAGTCTTCGATGAGCAAAACAGAATTTGGGGATCGAAGAAACAGATTCAAACACCCACGCGTCCACGATCAACCGACGAGTCGAATTTCGTGCCATTCACGCGTTCTAACCATCCAGTGTAATGGATCTGTACCCTATCTCCAGATTTAGGGAAGTTTTGGCCATCGCCGTCCTTGATGATGAGACAGTAGACAAGAGGGAAGGTATTCGGTGATATCGATCAGCCAAAGTCCGATAAATGACAACACAGCGGCAAACACCAGCAGAGTTTGAGAGATACGCAATGAAGGTCCTTCCGGTTTGAAGACATTGTAGAAATTGGGGTTGAGATAGAAGTCTTGACTGGCAGAATCAACTCACTTTGATGGATTGGATAGAAACACTGAGCGAAGAACAGGAACATTGAGCAGGAAACGTCAATGATAAAGTTTCGAAGATAAGTAGACAGAAATGAAAAGGTACAATCCAATCAAATGGAACTCACCGTTCTGCCATTATTAATGTGAAGAATGAGTTTTGTGAAAAAAGGTTACGAGAGGAGACTAGAATGAAAAGTTGAAGGAAGGATTATTATAAGAATGAGATTCAAAGTAGGAGAAGGGAATGTTTAGGAATGTCTTTGAGCGCGTTGGGGTCTTATAAGGATTGCAAGAGAGGAATGGTTGTTTTAATTTCTCAAATGATCTCCGTCCTCAGTTTTTTTCCAATCACCCCGCATATTTTTCGCCGATCGATCGGAGTTTGGTTAACGGAAGTTTAAGAGAAGTCTTCCTTACCGTAGCTTACCGTTTACGTACCATTGTATAAGCCTATTCGTTTAATCTGAATACAAATTTGTAACTCATTCAACTTGATAAGAAAACACCCCAAGCGAGCTCACATAGCTTCATATATATTATAGCCTGCACATTTGGCAATCTGTAGTTGAACTATACACGCATTTACTAAACAGGTCACCATTTCACATCACCCATAACTTTTCACAATCCCCTTTATCGCTTTCTTTTGACCTATGTATTGATATATACAGATTGAGTTATTGAATATTTATACGATAATTACGATGATCCTTACTGAATTTGTGGGATCGCTCCGTGAAGATGTGGAAATCGGAGTATGCATTTCCGGAATGGCGGAACAAAATAAGGGGCAGGCACGTAAGGTATTCGGTGTAGGCTATATGGTCTAACAGATGAAATAGAACAAATATTGAGTTCAAGGCTTCTTTCACCTCGAAAATGTCTCTTCCTGCGAGATCACGATGGGTCCCTGCCTCCTATTCTACTTCCATGGCTATTGAGTATCCCCACCTAATGGACAATTACTGCTTGTATCAAATGGCACAAATCCCGCCGATCGGCATTCCGTATGCAGGTGGTCGACCATTCAGATCCGGCACCTTTGGAGTTCGCGTCCAGCACCCGTGGTTTGCGCTGAGGGGTTTAGCAGGGAGAGTCAAGTCATGGTTCACTACTCATCCAAAGATGTTTGATGTGATTTCTGAAGAATTTGTTTCATTGTTTCCTCTAAGGATGTTTGATAAGCAAGTCCCGACTTTTCCACACATGCTGACAAAAGTTGCATGTACGGTTTTGGGTCACTTTTGTCAAATTGCGCCATACACCCCACATCATGTGCAACATGGGCCGCACTGCGCAAAGAATAGTATTTGTGATTGCTTGTACATAACTTGTCTGCTCATCTGTCACTACAACAAAAGTTTATATCTCCAAAGCACATCAAACCAACACCCACACCCATACATTCCTTATCAAGCTCCTGACATCCCCTTCACTAGCTGCATAGACTGAGACTTATTGATACCTCATCCCGGACCCTAGAGTGATGCACAAATTCCTGAACTTGTGAAAAGACTGCTTCTCTGACTGAGACCTCAACTTTCTCCGCCATAGTAAATAATAATTTTCAACAGCACCAAACTGCTAAAATCAATAAGAGGGACAAAAATCCATCATAGATCCATTCTAGAGAAAAGACTGTTCTAGTGATATAAATAGGGGACTTAATCACTTGTTTTGATGGAAAAAGAAGAAACGTCCAATGTGCCATTGTCAATTTGACAGTTTGAATATTGATTGGATATTCATCCCATTTCATCTCTTATCTATAATATATATTTTCCAACATATCTCGTCTAATTTACTTCTATTCTCATATTCCGGATAAGTCACTACTCAAATTCATTTCGTCCTCATGCTCATATTCTGAGCCTGACACAAATATTTTTATATAATTGTATTTCTCAAATCCATCAATTTTTGGTTACATAAACACTTGAAGCATCTCGACCCTGATCAATGTCGATCAAGGACTTGAGTTGTGATTGACAATCAAACCATCTCCTTTTTGAATCTTTTTCAATGGTCAAATTTCAAAGTTTTAAAGCCCTAATCCTTGCTGTTTTGCAAGTAAATGGACCTTTGTCTTGGGATATTGAAGTTACAAATGATGAAAGACCAATCAATCGAAAATATCAGTGTATATATAAGAGCTGTGACTGATCAACGGTAATCAGCGGTATGTACTGCAACTCGACATTAGTGTGGTACTACTACCAGCCTGACATGAGACCTCTTACAGTGGTTTGTAAAGGGAGTGGTGATATTAGGAAGAAAATTTCAAGCTCGGTTGATTCACAGGTCAGTAATCCAATCAATAACAAAAAAGTGAATCAACTTTCATAAGCAGCTCAAAGACACAGATGATGTCACGGAATTGCACTCGAAGTCAAAGTCTCAATTGCACATCAACTATGGGATCACTGAACTTCAAGCTGGACTGCTATTGCTATCATCAACAGGCTTTATCGACATAGCAAAATAGAAAAGATGACCAAGTCCCTTGCTGCTTTGAACGGTGAATGACATCACAAAACACCTGCTTAAGTCTAATATAGACGAGGAAAACCCACCATTCGCCATGGGTCAATAGAGCACAATGCTGATCTGAAACAGATCACGCAAGGATAGATAACGATATTCAATAGGATTTCAGATAAATAAAGATTACATCACTGTGTTCAACACAACGTATCAACCAATTACAAAACACGAAATGAGATCCCAAGTTGAAAGAGAAAAGTAGAACAAATCAAATCCAAGGAGAAAAGAGTTGCCCAATAGATTAAATCATACATAACTAGAGACATAGATAACTACAGAATTCTATACCAGGCAAGAGAAAATCCTGCACAAATACCAAAGAGCCAGATCATTTGTTACTCTTGGGGAGCTCATCAATGGTTCCCGGTGGTTGATAGAATCCTTGTGCAGGGACAAAGTAAAGGACTGTACCAGCTGCAGGAGTATCGTCTGATGGGGATGAGGGTGCGTTTGATGATGAAGGGTTGTTGTTTGATGCAAATCTCTGAGTTCCACTCGTCGTGTTACTCTGGGTTGTCCCATTTTGCGAGGGGCTCGTCATGTTACCAGAAGCTGAAGACGCATTGACCGCATTTTGATACGCATTTGACTCCATTGATGGGGCTGTCGTGTTAGAGGACATAGACATAGTTGAATTGGAGACGTCAGATGATGTGGAAGAGTTTGACATTGAGGTTGAGTTCATGGACGATCCCATTTGAGTCATACGATATGTGCCTGAGGATGAAGAAGAGCTTGAATTTGTGGCTTGAGATGTAGAGTTGGAGTTCGAATCATCTTCCGCAATACCATAGATAGGTTGAAGCTTTCCAGTATTCAAATCGTAGGAAAAGACTGTCGAAAGAGGCGTCAGTATATACAGCGAAAAAAGAAGCAGAACAGCGCGTACGTTGAGAACATCCAGGAACAGGGCCACATTTTTTGAGAGAAAGAGGACCAGGTGGCGAGATGGCAAATGTGGCACAGTGATCGACAGTCTCGAAGGCTGAGCTATCAAGGATTGGTATGCGTAGTCGATATACCATTTGACCGTTGGTTGTGTTCATTGGGGACATGAAGAATTGTGTAGACTGGGTATTTGATGTACCGAGATCAAAAGTACTTCCGTTTCCCATGGAATACGTGAGACCGGAGATGGCCTTAGCAAGGGCCGATTTGAAGAGAGGTGTCGCAACTTCGATAAATCCAGGTACACCGCTCTGAGTAATGGTAGCAGGGTCCACGAGCGAACGCTGGGATAGGTCTAGATACAGATGCGGGTAAGAAAGAAGGAGTCGTCGCATAAATAAGACAATGGAGTTACTGACGACTTGGTTTTCCAGACTTTTTGTTGGCTTTAGCGGATTTTCCATGCGATTGTTTCTTGGACACGAGCTCGGAATCAGAAGAGTCCTTTGAGTGCTTCTGTTTCTTGGAGTCACTCATATTTGCCTCTGAGTCTCCCTTTCGCGAAGCAGATTTCCCCGGCTTACCGTGCTTGACGGAAAACCGCTTGGGAGAATTTGAGCTTTGTGACCCATGTTGGAACTTGCGGCGATAGTGAACGTGCTGGGAGAAGGAACGAAATCATCAGCTGAGATCCTCGTCTAGAGAAATTCTTGTGACTCACTTCATGGATACTTGTGTGAGCACGACCAGGTACGTATTCATTGATTACAGTAACTTTGGGTCTATGAGTTCTGACCTGTGTTATCTCGGTATAAGGAGCTCCTGGGAGATAAGTGTGATAAGTTGAACGCTTGTGATCGCGATGAACCCGGCCTTCAACGTATTCGACCGAGTGATGATGAAGAGGTATGGCCACTGTATCGTGTCCATGTCCGCGATAAGACTCCACGACAACGTCAGATCCGTGAATGTGGCGGTTGTTGTCGAGGTACATTGATCTACCACACATCAATCAAATGGGTGAGCATCTTGTGAAAAGAACAAAAAAACGAGACAAAAGCTTACCGGATGCGGCTTCTTCGGCTCTCCTTCTGACGCATGTTCATGAGTGGCTTTGCGGGGCGATGGTCCCGATTGTGTTCGTCATGATGAGTTGATCTGGATTTGATGCTGGTAGGGGACTGTAACGGGACGATAGCTGCCGACGCGGTCAAAGCCAAGGCAGAAGCAGAGATAGCTACGGATGATAACTTCATGTCGGAGAAAGATGTATTGAAGAGGGTTGAAGTAGGGCCGAAGAATTAAGTCAGGAAAATGAGAAAAGATCGCCGGGATCTAGTGGTGATGGATGAGATTATGAAGATGGTGTGTTATATGATTTTGAAGGCAAGCTGAAAGGAATTATGGAGGTGGCTAGCACGAAGATCAGTGAGAGATAGGTATTTGGGCTTGTTAGGGCGATAAGAAGTTCGGTTTGGCAGTTGTTATTGGACAGGAATTATAGAAGTCACCAGGACTAAAGGTTGGAGATGATAAGAGCTGTAGAAGTAGAGGTCGATCTGAGGGATGAAGACAGGAAGACGAAAGGCACAGAGGGTGGGTGGTTTTATACTTTACTCGGCCCCTGTGAGTTACTCGTTCGTAAGGTAAGCTGAGCCATCGCCTTTGACGGAGCGTTTGAGTCGATATGTCCCTCACCGTTTGCCCACCAAGAAGACCACTGCTTTCGCGACCGCTACCCACCGCCATTCCGACGGAGGCAAAGGTGGTCCGGAACGCAATAAACCAGGCTGTGCGCTGACCTGCCTCTCGGTCTTGTATTGAAGATGGCGCTCAGTGACCAACACAATCATATTGACACATCGGGCCCTTGTCAAGTCGATCGATCGTCATTAACGCTAAGTGAGATGGCTCTGGCGGGCGGGAACAGAGGACTCGAACCTTTCTGATGGTTTGCATTGGATTCATCAAACAACATGGTGGTTTTTGTGAGTTGTGGCTTGACCTGATTCGACGTCATGCCTAGAGTCTTCTTGTTTCGTTTGACTTGATTCGCCTTTGGGTCTTGCCTGTCGGTTCAGTGATTTGATAGTGGTGATGTCTGAACAGGTAGCCAGCCATGTCGCTTGTCATCGAAAAAGATCTATCAACTGGACCATAGATGGATTGCTGGCTCACTGAGGTTGACTGACCGGGACTGGAAGGAGAGGCTTGCCAATAGATCCACATGCTGATCTCCCGAAATTCGAACTTGGACCATCGTTGTCAGTCATCGCCCCTCCGGAATTGACGAGAGGCCCCGTCCTCTTTGCAATGAGCGTGCGGCAAGATTTCTAGCTCAGCCTGCCCTATCGAACATAGTGATCACAAGTTGGGTATAAAAGTGAGGGCTTCATTCACCTTCAGTTTTATCTTCATCTCCCAGGTCAACCTCCACTTTCATAAATCATATATCATCTCTAACACATAGTCCTGGTGACTTTTATAATCCCTGTCTAATAACAACTTCCAGACCGAACTTCTCCTACCCGCAACCACCACACCCTATCCCACACTTATCTTCGTGCTAGCCACGTCCATAATTCTGTCCTGCTTGGCTCTAAATCTATATAATAAATCTTCATAAACTCACCTATCACCACAAGATCCCGGCGATCTTTCACTATTGTCCTGACTCAATCCTACAACTTTATCCCAACTTTCTTTATACATCTTTCTTCAACATGAAGTTGTCATCCGTAGCTATCTCTGCTTCTGCCTTGGCTTTAACGGCATCCGCTGCGATCATTCCATTACAATCACCTACTAGCATCAAATCTAGATCAACTCACAAGGATGAACACAATGGAGATCATCACCACACCAAGCCATCCATGAATATTCGTAAAAAAGATATGAGAAGAAGCCGCATTCGGTAAGTCACTCACTTTTCTGATGGTCTTGCAGGGTACTCATCCATCTCTTCGTATCATCGCAGTTCAATGATGTATGTGGACAACAACCGCCACATTCACGGATCTGACGTTGTCGTGGAGTCTTATCGCGGACATGGACATGATACAGTGGCCATACCACTCCATCATCACTCGGTCGAATACGTTGAAGGTCGGGTTCATCGCGATCACAAGCGTTCAACGCACTACAGCTATGTTCCCAACTACCTCCCGGGAGTTCCTTATGCCCAGACCGTTGGGGCTCCAGTGATGACGCGGGTCATCACTTCTAGGCCGAAAACTACTGTGATCAATGAATACGTACCGGGTCGTACTCACACAAGCATTCATGAAGTCAGCTACATGAACTTGCCTCCCAAGCCGAAAGTTGTTACGATCCCTGGATACGTACCTGGTCGTGGTCACACAAGCATCCATCAAGTGAGCTATCAGAACTTCCTCTGGGTAGCGATTCTAGCTAATCATTCCCTTCCTCCCGCAGCACATCCATTACCGCCGCAAATCCCGACACGGGTCCCCAAAATCGAACTCTCCTAATCGTTTTGCCATCAAGCATGGTAAGCCCGGAAAATCTGGTTCGCAAAAAGGAGAAGCAGCCGGAGAAGCAGGTGACTCCAAGAAACAGAAGCACTCAGAGGACTCTTCTGAATCCGAGGCTGCGTCCAAGAAACAATCCCATGGGGAAGCCTCTAAATCTAACAAAAAGTCCGGGAAACACAGTCGTCAGTAACTTTATTAAATCCCTTTTACCATGTATCCTTTACTCATACTCCTCCATGTCTATTTGTAGAGCTATCCGAGCGTTCCATCTCGACCAGTGGCTCTGTAACACAAAGCGGAGTACCGGGCTTTATCGAAGTAGCCACACCTCTTTTCAAATCGGCACTCGCTAAAGCTGTCTCCGGTCTCACTTATTCCACAACGAACGGTAGCAATTTTGATCTCACCACATCTGATACCCAATCTACACAATTCTTCATGTCTCCTATGAACAATACTGTTGGTCCAGCTGCATTCCAGCTCCGCATCCCAATCCTCGATAGCACCACCTTCCAGACCGTTGATCATTGCGCAACATTCGCCCTCTCGCCTCCCGGTCCTCTTTCCCTTCAGAAATGTGGACCAGTTCCAGGATGTTCTCAAGGTAAGCTGAATTTCTGATTCATCTTCACTGCATTCACTGACACTCTTCTGTGTTTAGCCTTTGCATACAACGATGTCTCAGGAAAGATCGAGCCCATCTATGGTTCGAATGCTGCGCCATCCAACAGTAACTCTACGTCCCATTCATCTTCATCTCCCTCGGGGACATATCGTATGACGCAGATGGACTCGTCCGCAAACTCGACTTCGATGTCTAACTCTTCAACACCTTCCAATTCCACAACTTCAAATGACTCTACATCCAACGGGACAGCCCCACTCTTTACACAAGATTCCAGTGCATACCAAAATTCGCTCAATGGGTCTTCTGACTCTGTCAACAGTTCCATGACCATACAGAACGGAACTGCCCAGAATAACGTGACAGCAAGTGGATCTCACAGCTTTCTAGCAACACCCGAATCCACCTCACTCAACTCTACGTCAACTGAGGTACAGAAAGATTCACCATCGCCTCCTGCAGCCCTGTATTTTGTTCCCGCTCAAGGATTTTACCAGGCCCCAGCGACGATAGATCAAGTTCTTGACTCAACATCGTCTGCCGCTACTGCTGCCTCGCCTGCCCCAATCGGTCGAAATGTGGTCGCTAGCGCTGATGACGGATCAGACGACAATGACGATGACGACGATGACGACAGTGATCAAGTTCTCAACCGAGCAGTCATCGACCCCGTGACCGGTGCAGCTGGTGCAGCTGGAGCTCCTGTTCCTGCCACTCCAAACAATCGCTCTGGTGTCAACACAGAACAAGTGCTTGGTGATGGAAATGACGCTGGAGAAGATGTTGCCGAAACACAAGATGAGGTCAAATCTGATGAAGCTGAAGACGCCGCTATTCTTGCATCCCAGTAGACGGTGACCACGTTCAATTCCGCTCCTGCAAGTAAATTATCGGACAAAAATTGTAGTATCCTTTTGGGTTTTTGGAGTCTCATCCGCTTCTCTTTCCTCTTGCTCTAGTTCTTTTATCTTTGTTTCGAGTCTCCTAATAATTTGTAAAAGTGTCTGTGTATTTTTATTATCCGTTAGCATGCTCTAATCTCTCGAGTAATCGAATATTTTAATTTAGCATATCTGATTTTCTTAGGAAGAGCCTGAGATGATGAGTGACCACTTTGTGAGATGTAGACCGTTTTCCAATGCGACCTTAGTGTGACGGCAATTATGTCGCTGTCATTGGATTGGATCATCGGGTTCTCTCAGCACAATAGAAACTATGGTCCGCCCTCTGATAAATCGACACATTGGGGTTTGGAACTTCTTGGTTTCTGTGAGACCCTCAAGGCCATACCCCTTGAAAGTTTTTTTTGCAAAAGAACACCCATCTAATAACAGATGAAGTTCGGAGGATATGTCAGAAATAATTTGTGACGGTGAAAATTCATTTGAAGTCTAATTCAGGATTCGGAATCATCGATCATCAATAAATCCAAAGCAATGATCACAATAATTCAGCTTGACAGGCTATCAAGGCTGATCCCACATGTAAATGATCTGTTTTTGATACAATCATATCGCCGTACCAAGGGGGGTGAATATTCTTGTTGTACAAATCTGACACCTGCACCATTTGGCCTGTATTTCAAGTGCAGGCCTTATACTTCGAAGCCAGTGCTTGAGTCTTCACCTTTGAAGTGAAATCTCAAGCATCAGATTATAATTACACCACAAAATACCAATGCACAAAACTTCAAATATTGCTAATCCCAAACGCATATCACTTGTAAAAAAAATACATTTTAGGCAACAAAAAGATAATCAATCGTATCTTAAAAATCACTTTGCAAAGAAAAAACCTTTTCAATCACTCTATGACATGTCCATCTCTTCAATGTTTTTTATTCTTCTTTTTTGCATTTTACTCGTTTATTATCAGTTTCAGAAAAACAGTCGGCTTCTCTTTTCTTAGATAGATTGGGTTTAGATTCAACTTCATAATCAGTCATATCAGCATCGGTTGAATCGATGGGTAACTATCAAAGGAAGAAAAGAACTGAATTAGTCATAAGAATCCTTGTAGTAACACATGGTTCTATGAGGTCAATTGGCAAATAGCCTTGAATAAAAGATTATCAACTCACAACGGGTTTAGTCTCTCCACCATCACTCATATGGTCAGAGTAATCAGAATCACAAATACTATCGGCTCTAGATTCTTCTTCTTCCTTCACCCCTCCAATATGCACTAAAGTGCTCGATTCTGATAGATGAGGAGGAATGTCAAAAGTTTGGTTAAGTTGATTGACATTTTTGTTTTGGTTTCGCTCTTGTTGCTTAGCCTGTAATCGACTCTTTTTATTCTGTCTCAAACGACTCTTTCGGCATCTTTTACCAGTCAACGAAGCAGGTAAATCATCTTCGTTTGAATTTCCATTAGCAGTAGCTAACGCAAGTGCCGTAGTTTGTTTACAATTACAACTTAACCAAGGATCAGGTCGATCCGGATCTTTCATATCATCACTCCTCGCACGTAAGAGCTCATATGCATTCAATGAAGCTCTTTGTTCCGCCACAGTATTCGAGGTACGATGACGTCCTGTGGCGATGACCTTACCGTGCAAACTCACTTTACACAACCTGAACGATTCGCACTCATCCTCATTATCTCGTATTCCACTTGTTTCTTTTTTCTCCACCACATGTTCCCTGTGATAGAACAAAAGAATTGATCAGCTTAGACGCCATCCAATTTTCGATGAGAAATCATGATCAGTCCTAAGTGCTTACGTCACACGGCCCAACTCTGAACAACAATACGTGTCACGTGTTCTCAATAAAAGCGAAATCGGATCACGAGGTTCATCTTGTTTCAATCGAGGTAGGACATCTTCAAATATTTTATCCAATGATCTATATGCTACCGATAAATGTAATCCACAATCAATAAAGATCGCACCCACAATAGCTTCAAGTGCATCACCCAATATTTTAGGAGGATCAAAAACAATAAATGAATTGGTTAAATTGTCATAAAAACTTCCAACTTCAATAAAACTTTCAATATCTCTCAAAGCATCGTCACAAGCCTTTTCGAAATGCCTTGAATCATGTTGAATCATTTTGTGCAATCCAAGTTTTTTCAACGAGAGATAACCAAGACTAGCGTTGGTGACTAAGCTTGCTCGTGTAAATGTAAGCTGTGCAGCTGTAGAATCTGAGAATCGACGATAACAGTGCTCCGTAATCCACAAGTCGACAATTGCATCTCCTAGCCATTCTTCTCGTTCATAGCAGTTGGTAAGAAATGAGTCAGCACTCCTATGTGTCAATGCTTGCATCAATAACAAAGGTTGCTTAAATTCGTATCCAATCTTATGTTGTAATGCTGTATGCGACTTGGTCCATTGAGAGCTAGCTGCATCAGGGTATGGTTCATCGAGAGCTTTACATGGTCGCTCAGTCCATGGAGTGACACCGCCGAAGCATAAATCTAACTCTGTTCCAATCTTCAGCGCAGTTTGGATACCACCCGAAAGGAGACCAGCACCCAAGAGAGCCTCCACAATATCAGACAAAACTCGACGAGGAATCTTGCGTTGAACTTCTCCGGTGGGTAACAAAGGGCCGTCGTCCAGGTGAGCTGCCCTAAAAGTGTCTGTACGATAACGAGAGCTGAGTACATAACTTCCCAGTCCGGCTTGCAGTGATTTTGACCTGAGGTATTCATTATCAACCGATTTAGATCGTAAGGCACTCATATCACCTTCACCCTTCTTGGTATGTGACAGATAGACATGTACACTTGTGGCCAACTTCAGGAACGCGTCGCCAACGGTTTCAAGCGTTTGGTAATCCCACGGCACATCTATACCAGGCTGTGTTAAAGCCATCGTGGCAAGATCAAGCGATACGTGCGGGACATCAATCTTCTTGAGGAGAGCTTGAACCTGTGATGCATCGTGGAGTCGACGAGTGAGGGCAGGGATGAATGAAAAGATCTTCCAAAAATAACTAGGTAGCCGACTCCCTTGAGATGCTGACAATGGTAAAAGCACTCTGAACGGTAAAGAAGCCTTTGGGATGAGCTTTTTCATCAGATTGTCCATTGATTTGAAATCTGATTCAAGATACACTAGAGGTGATTGCAATTCAGTACGGAGCTCCGACGAAATCACTGAGAAAAAGTGGGCAAGTGATTTGAATTTTGATGCGTTTCGAATGAATCTGACTAAATGAGGATGGCTTGGGACATCGGCAGGTTTAGATTCGACTGTCAAGCCAGTGCAAGCGAAGTGAGAAGTAAAGATCCGTTCATGTAGACAGCGTAAAGGAACGACAACCTCCTGGTATTTGCTCAAATCTTCAAATGAACCTATAGGCACTGTAGGCTTTTCGATGAGGTCCCAATCTATTTCCATGCCGTCCTCTTCCAACGCCGCGAGAAAAAACAGTAGTTGTCCATCGTACGCCCGACGATTGAGAGTAGCTTGTATACCCATTCGGGTGAAAGTGTCTAGCTTGAGCAGGTTACTTGAACGCTCTTCGCCCGACCAGCACATCTTCATCGAGTCTTCAATCACAATAGGAAGTGCTTTGCCATCTTGATGATGATCATAAATCACTAGACTAGGATGCGACAACATTTGATTTCCACACAAAAATCCAAATGACAATGGCTTGCTTTCACCGAGATCAAAAGAAATCTTGTGAAGCCAAACTTCGGAATTAAGAGCGTCTCCAAAAGGATTAGGACAGGCCACTTCCACCCTGTCAGGAATTTGTAATTTAAGTAAGGCTCGTCCATCGGCGTCCGTTAAAGCACGTGTGTGACGTTCTCGTAGTGGCATAAAATGTTCGTCCAAAACACCAGCTGAGCGTAGAGCTCGACAAGCTATAAAACAGGCCGATTGTTTCGCCTTATTTTTTTTGGTGAAAGGCTCACTTTCAAAGACCCTTTCAGACGGTGATAATGCTGCCATTGGCGGTAATGTGACTCGACATACAAACCCACCTGACCGCTGAATATCTTCAAACTTGGGCTTTAGAATCTCGGCATACTCGTCATGCGGTAGCAGTTGGCATACTTCGTTCAGTAAGGAAACGGAAGCATTGTGCGTTAGTATTGCGTCTTTTCCATCACCGAGTGAATTGATTAGCTGTGGCGTCGATTCAAGCTCGGCATCACTGATCTCTTCATCTTCTGGGCGGCCATATAATTGGGTGCGAAGTTCTTCCCTGTAAATAAATACAATAACTAGATTAACATTCTCTCCATGTCAATGTTGAAGAATTGACAGGCAATGCAATATCCGACCGACTCTTTTCCAATAAACTCAAGGTACTTGCTATCGGTCCCATGCGGCAGCATGACGACATAGTCAGATTCGGATGCTCGGGCTCGCCCACGGGATTGAATATATCTGTCAGCCTTTCGCCATTAGTATCTCTAATGACGATCAGCATGGTAGTCGAGAAGATGAGGCATGACTGACCCCTTCCAGGTTGTGATATCGTCAAACCGGATCACAAGTCGGCACGCTCGAAAGTCTAGACCCTCTCTGTAGACCAAAATAAAGGACATCAACGATCAGTATGTCCATAGACGTCTTTGGGAAAGCGTTGACAAAGCTAACTCTGCGACGTTGGTAGCGATGGCCAAGTTGATCTCTCGGTTTCGAAATTTTTCAACAGTTTGATTTTGCTGTTGATACCAATAGCACAGAATCAACAATGCATCAGGAAAAGGGAAACTCCTAAAAAGTAGAGGGTAACGCACTGATTTAGAGTCCATACCGCGATTACCTCCACTTGACGCTACAGTGCCACCATGTCCAGTCAAGGCGCCAGGTTTGATGAATCCTTTGAGTTTGGCGCATCGAGAGATCAGAGAATTCAAGAGTTGTGCGTGCGTTCGTCTCTCCACGAATATGATGGCATGAAAGTCTTCAGCCTTCATATTCTCATACTTTGAAAGAATTTTAACTAAAGCTTGAAACTTCGGGGTAGACTGGCTTAATGGGACGTCATTTGAATCTAAGAGTGCATTCAGTGATTTGATAGACGCGTTAATTTTGAGCCTGTAAGTTGGTTCTAAGAGCCTAGGAGCTTGGGTGGTTTGACCCTTTGACATCAAAAGTAGATCAGATAGCCAATCGGATAGAAACATTATGTGAGCATATGTGCCAAGTTGCTGATCAAGGTACCAGAGTCACAGAAAACCATCAGCCACGCATTGAGAAGATTCTACAATCACAAACAAAGAACGGTAAGAAGAAAGTATAGGGCGTACCTCTCGTATCGTTTTGGAGGACAAGAAAAACTTGCTATCTGCATGACTATCGACCAAGGGACGGATTTGTTTCCAATATGGCTCATCGCAATCATCACCGACCAAATCAGCAGGTGTAAAATAAACCACTTCTTCCTTTGGTTTGTTTGCATACTTTTCAACATCATGACGTCTTACTTTGATTTCGTATAACTGTGCTGAAAGATCACTTTGTAACGATCTGAACCAAAAAGTAATGAGCTTTAGATACGAAACTTTCAATCGATTTGATGACACATGCCTGATATCCTTTTCAGCCCTAACCATACTTTTGCAATCCCATATTGGTGAAGCAGTCAAACCCAAGATCTTGGGAACGCGTCGATGGTCGGGATCCCGGTCCAAACGTCGATAATGGACTTGCCTGGAGTGGTAAACCAGAAGAACTCAGTGAGAAGTCAAAGAAGCGATGAGTGGGATTAGAAAGACGTACATAATTTGATTGTAAATGTGATTTTTACGACAGTGATGTGCTTCATCGAATACCAAAAGTGAAACCTATAGTTGGAAGATAAGCATCGAGGACACGGTGAATGAGATGCATGGTATTCAACTGACATTTTCAAGAGTCCAAAACCCTTTGGACAATATATCATAGAAGATCTGAAACGATATCATAGGCAATAAAGTTCAGTTAGCAATTCAGTCTATGACGATTAGAGTACAAGTATATGGCAGACCTGGGCAGTGCAGACAATGACGTCAGTTTGCTTCAGATCAGAGTGCCATTTTTCCACATTCCACAATTCAGGTTGTAAGTCGCCAGTATATTCACGAACACGAAGTGTTGTACCAGATCGGATTGCACTAGCTTGTTGTTGTACGAGAGGTCGAGTAGGAACAAGGAAAGCTTGAATTGTATGTTCTTGATCATCACCTTTAGGTTGAACGGCCATCCAATCCATCAATAAAACAGCCACTAGAGTTTTTCCTGTTCCAGTATCAGCTCTAATGATTATATTTCGACGTTTAGCTTCTTCTAATAATTCTTCTTGATATAACCTTGGACATTTGTTTCCAGAAAGAACACCTTGTTCTGATTCTTGGGTGGTAGTCGGTGTCGTCACCTTGGAATCCGTGTCGATCGTCGACATTCTTCAGCCACTATAGGAAGTATATCTATACAAGTTCGACGTGGATGATTGAAGTTAAGGGGAGGGTAAAGTCTTTTAGCCTTCACATCGGTTGATCGAGCTATAAAGATAAGATTCCTTAAAAGAGAAATTGGTCATCACGTCAATCAGTTGCCTTATTTGGCAGAGTCAAAATGCAAATCATCATGTACGTTTGTAGTCATGTGATAATACCACGCACTACACTTCACATAAGCATATCCTAAAAGTGGACCTAGGTCCCAATACATAACTCGATCCAGGTGATCTGCAGCGGCAAATGAGCATCTCAACTTCTCAAGTCATCTCTTCATGACCAGTTGCAGTCACTACTAAGACCAGTCACTACCTTAAAGGTCTGTCTGAATGATGTTCATAAAGGTTCATACTCCATTCCAATTCAATTCAATCACTCACCCATTTATACACGGAGAGCGCTTATCGAGGTGCATGATGTAAATTCTTTTCCTACCCTACACACACTTCACCACAGTTTACATTCATAAAAACTTGACCAAATAAATTTCTCCTCCCTCACCAATGCCTAGCCAGGAGCAAAGGATTTTGTTAACTTTGGAACCCATACCTACACAAGTGTGAAGACTTTTTAACGTGGTGTGAAGGCTGTGAATTACACAGCAATTCACAGCAAAGATAAGGAAATAAAATCTTTTACATCATGCACCTCAATAAGCGCTCTCCGGGGTCCTGACTGAGCAAAATCACTTGGGTGAGAACTTTGAGCATTTCTCTTGAGGTAATATTCATGTTGATTAGTATTCTTGACTTATTTTCAGGAACCCAAACCTGGTAGGAATATCAAGAGACATGAGTGGCTCTCAAATCAGACCCGGTTGACCCAGTTGCTTTGTGGCGGTAACTTTGTGTGTCAACTTGGAATTTGTTGAAAGATCTCAGCCAAAAAGTCAACTGGGTCAACTGGGTTTTTTGAAACCAGGTCTACTTTCAGAGCCACTATGATACACAGCTCAAATATGCGGCAAAAAAAAGAATACACAGAATCGTTCAAAGTAACATACAAAAGAGGTGAACCAAGTTCTGCAAGAATTGCCACTTTTCTTGCCATTCTCACAAGTTAAGCAGATTCTTTGCAGGAGAGATTCTACAGATTTCATCCATAACAGTTGTGTAAAGACAAGTTCAACTTACTGACTTGTTCTTCTCTAAATTGTCAGATTATTCTGCTGGCAGGTCACATACAGAGTTGGTTTATGGAAGCAACACCATGTAAACAACACAACACCTTGCAGAAGGCTCACTCTGTGCAGCATTGTGTTTTGACAAAAACTCATATTTTTGAAACCAGAATTTCAAAAATATAAAATGCTGCACTGACAAGGTCAGTGTTGCTTCAGACCGCTGCACAACAGACACAACAGCCAACCACACACCAAAAAATATTCTATTTATTAACAAAATAGTAGCATAGTTGATGATGGTAATGAAACAAAAAAACAAGTGTAACAGAGTAAAAATTCAAATAAATGAGTAAAGAAACCAAATTAAACAAGAGTGATGAAATTAAAAACAGAAAGAGAAGCAAAAAAATACAATAAAAGGAACAGAAAGATGACTTATTAAATTAAGTCATAGCTATGCCAATGGCTCGACACCTTTCCTTAACCAAAGCCTGCTCAAAACCAAATTTTCAATATATCAGGAAATCAGGCTTCCTTGGCTACATGAACCAACATTGGATGCTCAGGAGAAGATCTTGTTGATGCTAGGTAATATCTAGCCATAAGAGCCAATTACCAATTGAATAAGTCTTTTTGTGTACCCAGATTTGAATCAAGGTTAGGATCACATTTTTAATCTTGAACTTTTACCTTGATTCCTTGAAGACTAGATTGAGGATCCTGAATATCATAGTTGCCTGTCTTCATTTTGTCAGATCTACACAAAGAGGTTTTCAACAGTAAGTCATATGCCTTGCCCACTGTTACAAATCAGAAATGTAACATGGGTGACAGGAATATCACATGTCACAGTTGATCTCAATTCTCTGGTTATATTAATAAGTTGTATTGTGTAATACTGTATTAGCTTACTCATCCAACAATCTATCTCACAACTTGATTGCTTGGAAAGAATCCCTCCATTCCCTCATTGTGACCCCATGAGCCCGGCTCCTAACATCCAATTCAGATTCTTTTTCCAAGTTGCTGCCAAAAATTATCTGGCTTGAGTGAAGAAGTTGAAGGCCCTCTTGAACTTCTTTCCATTCTGGTTTAGTAGACAGTTGAGTTCATGGCAGTTGAGAATTGTTTGTAATCTTGGTGAAGATATTGAAGAGTTAGTTTGGCTTGCCTACCATTCCAAGCACTTTGCTAAGATACTCCTTGGTCTTCTCTATTGTCTTTGCAAGTACCAGGTAGATGGTGTTGCTGGTGCTGAGAGGGTTGATCTAAAATAATAGAATACAGATTTGAAAACCTACAGCCTTGAGCAGAAATGATTAAACTGGACAATCCAGTAAGCCTGCTAGATCAATAGACCCCTAATGACTGATAATGAAAATGACTTCGTGGAGACACTTCAAAGCCCTTGCCTGAAATAGTACAGGACGAACAAAATGGAATGGATCTGAGTTTTTAATGTGCCTAATAGTCAGAGATATTTACAAGATAAAAACACTAAAGACTATTTAGAAGAGAAAATGAAATAGAACAACTTGATTACCTGGACGGACATGTCAGACTGTGAGCTCAAAGCACTTCCAATGAGTGATAATGAAAAGCCTTGGTGGAAAAACTTCAATGCCCTTGCCTGCAATAGTGCAAGATAAGCAAAAAGAAAGGGACTAGTGAAGTGAAGTGAGTAAGAGTCAAAGTAAACAAGAAATAGTAGATTATGTGTCAGGCTTACTCTGAGTTTTTCATGTTCCCAATGGTGAGGAACAAACTCAGAGCTTGAGAGAGAGAGACAGTATAGTGCTTATCCCTGAAAATAAGGAAATCAAATTGGAGCTCCAAAACCTATCCCCTCTGCCAAAACTCACCTTTTTTGGATTCTGGCAGTGGTTTTGGAATTGTGAGATCAAGCATTCTCAACCCCACACCCACAGTGTCACCTCTTTACATGTAGTGCATCTTTGGTTTGGGGCTCTGATTCCAGGTTGAGCTCTGCCTGGGTGGTGCCAGTGAGAACTGGATTGTGGGGTGTATTTCTTTGCCAAGACTGTGTCTTGATCTAAGTTTTCACAAGGTTGAATGGAATGCAAGGTCTATTAGTGGGCCACTCATGCTTCAAGCTCACGTATCAAATGCCCATAGGCAGCTAAGATAGATGGTTGATGGGTGGTGCAGACTAGTATGACAAAGTATGATTAAGGGTACTGACCACCAACAGCCATCATTGGATGCAAATCCTTGGACAGATCTTGTCCAAGGTTCTGATCCAAGGTATTTTGCGCCAAAAAAATACTTTGGAAAGATTCTGTCCCAGGATTTGAGTTTCATGCTACCTCAGATTGGAAAATCTGAAGTAAATTTGTTGGCTGTGATTAAAGATTCAAGAAGTGGACTCCAGAAGTGCTCAGAAGTGACATCCAAAAGTTGCTCCAGAAGTTTTTGGAGTGGCACCTCTGGAGTGCTACTTGTAACATTGAGAGCCCCATCAAGTGCTGATCCTCATCAATACCACCTGATCATGCCGGGGGTCTCAGTCCAGCAGCAGGTCTCAAGAGGACTCAAAGGAGCCGCATACCATGAACGTGCGCGCGAGGGGTCCATGTAGATTCAGGAGTCCTCCACAGGCTCGAGAAACAGCGAGAAATTTCTGGATGCCACTTCTTGACACTTCCCGCGGCCAATTCTCGAATCTTGAAAGAAGTCCTCCAAGGTCCTCCACTTCCTCCCGAGTCCCAGCAGGTTAAGTTTGAATTTGATTGATTTGATTTGATTTGATTGGGGTTGAGTGTGTATCACATAGTGTAACATGTAAACAGTTGATTGTTACATCATCAACACTTGACCATTCAACCAATCTCATTCTCATCATCAACTTTCATCAAACCAATCAAACCAATCAACCCAACTCAAACAATGCCAACTTCAATACCTTCAACTCCAACTAAATCTCCAGCACAAGCAGATCCAAGTTCACCAACAACAGACACTCAAAAGAAATTCAAGTTGAGTCACTTCATCATCATCAAATTCAAAAAGAAAATTCAACTGATCTCAATTTATATCTTATCTTATCTAGATGGGCACCTATTCGAGTACCACCACAACGTAGACTTGAAACTTTAGCTGTCTTTTTTTGGACTACTCAACTTTCGATTTGTATTGGATTCTTCTTTCTTTTAATGTAAGATTTCAATTTTACAACTGATACAGATATCCTATATATTCAAATCACATAAACTCGGTTTTAATTCTCCTTCTTTTTCGGTATAATAGGTCAATGCCAATCTTTTGGCCAATTTTGATTCCTTATGTCATTTGGATGCTTTTAATTGATCAAGCACCAGAAAAAGGTGGTAGAAAGATTCAATCGGTTAGAGAATGGAAGTTTTGGAAATTCTTTGCTTCTTATTTTCCAATTAGTTTAATAAAGGTATGTGAACTTAAGAACTATAGAAAATGTCTTTAGAAAGAATGGTTGAAAAAAGACTGATTTTATTTTGTTACTCGATAGACTGCTGATTTACCAAGTGATCGAAAATATGTTTTTGGTATTTTCTTTTTTTTTCTTCTCTTTCGAACCATAGTGATCATGAGACTTATCTTTTGATTTTATCTTTTTTTCTAGGTTATCATCCACATGGAATCATTGGAATGTTTGTCAATCTGAATTGATCAACTTGATGATACTTTCAAAGCTGACTGAGATCCAACTTTGTAATCTTCCATCTCGATCGATGATCATCTCTCAATCATCTCAAGGGGTGCAATCGCAAATTTCGCAACAGATGGTCAGTCAACCTCACACTCAACCAACCAACCCAAAAAAAGCTAACTTGACTACTCCTAAACCAATTCCCAAACCTCTAGCCACCGGTTTCTCCAAACTTTTCCCAAACCTAAACCCACATCTATTAACTCTCAAAACGAATTTCCAAATCCCATTTTATCGTGACCTAATCCTATCCTTAGGAATCTGTTCAGTTTCAATTAAATCATGTATTTCTACACTTAAATCTAAAAACGATTTATCATTAGATTACAAAAATAATAAAGGTGAAGGTAATTGTTTGGTGATTGTTGTTGGGGGGGCTGCTGAAAGTTTATCTGCTCATCCTGGTACGGCTGATCTTACTTTAAAACGTAGACTTGGGTTTATTAAATTGGCAATGAGAGAAGGGTAACTTTTTCTTTTCGTTTTGAATCCTTTTGCTCTTTTTCTTGTCAATTGGTTTCTGATATACGGTTTGGTTTGAATCTCTAGTGCCGACCTTGTTCCTGTCTTCTCTTTTGGAGAGAATGATGTTGAGTTTCCTTGTTTCGATTCGCATAAACGTTCACGATGATCTCATGATTGATCCGTTCACTGATCCTTTGATACCATCTCGATTAATGGTCGATCTTCTTAGGTGTATGCTCAACTATCTAATGCTGAAGGAACAGCACTCTATGCTATCCAAAAGAAATTTCAAGCTGTCTTTGGATTCACGCTACGTGAGGATTTTCAGTGCTGGTTTTTTTATCAACAGCCATCTATGGCCGCTCATCAAATCGCTTCTTGAATCATAGCTGTTTTTCATGGTCGTGGTGTATTCAATTGTAAGCCTTGAAAAGGAATTCAGATCATAAGATCATTTCTCTTTGTTGACAAAATACTCTTTCTCTTTCTGTCCTAAAACCTCATAGACTCTCTAGGATTACTTCCTTATCGACATCCTATCGTTTCTGTTGGTACGTCAACTATTTTGTCCATATATGTACACAAGTCAATCAAAGACGAAATTATTGACTTTCTTCTCTTTTTGATTCTTCTTGAATGTGGTTTGTAAAAAAAAGTTGGGAAACCAATCAGAGTAGAATTGAATCCGAAACCAACACTAGAAGAGATCCAAGTAGTACAAGAGAAATATATTAATGAACTTACCAAGTCAGTAGATCCAAATCTCTCTTTCAACTTTATAATCTGATGGCTCATTGTAATTTTTTCTTTTTTTTCAATTCGTTTGGTTTGGAATAGTATTTGGGATCAATATAAAGATATCTATGCTCCTTATCGTAAACGTGAAATGGCTTTAATTGCTTAAAGAAAAAAGTAAAGAAAAAAACAGTGGTTGACTTTGTTGTTGTTATAAAAAAGAAAAGTATGGGGAGAGCAAAAGAATTGGTGTTTTTGTTTTTGTTTTTTTGTTGTATTTTGGTCAGTTTGTATATTCCCCATTCCTGCTGCTGCCTCCTCCTCACCCAGTTTTTTAAGAATATAAAATCAAAGTGGTTATCATGTTTTTTGATGATTATTATCAAGATTTGAAAAGATAGTAAAAGTTTTTTGGTTTTGGTTTTGGTTTTTGTAGATAGATAGAAATCGTGATATTTCTTATATTTTTTATGAACAAATCTCTTGATGTTTGTTTATCTCATTATTATTTTGATTGATTTACTAAGATCCAAATTTTCTTTTTCTTTTTTTTTCTTTTGTGATAAAAAGAAATTTAGTTTTAGGTAGTAAAAATATATAAGTTTTTTTCAAAAAATATATACATTCAAACTTATTGTTATTAATTATTGTTGTCTTATAGAATTTTCATTATGTTATATATATCTATATTTGATCAGAAAAAATAGGCTGGTAGATTATCTGTGGACTCTGCTTCAGTACAATCCGATCCGGATGATCCCGTATCGGAAGCAGTTGGTCTCTCGAAACATGAAAAAGATGATGAGATGTATGTATGTCATCCTTTGCCGCAGCGGCCTTGAATATAGGACTTATGTGCATTCAGAGGATGTGGAATGGGCATCAAGCATTTGAAAACTAAAGTTCCAGACAGTGGAGATGAGAGGAAGAATCAAACAGCTTCTTCAATCATGATGATTTGAGCTTTGTGGAAGCTAGAGCCTTGAAAGCTATCAATGTCTTCTGGTAGACGGAACAATACATCTTAAAACCATAATTTCTTGAACAAGGATTTCTTTTTCCCTCAAGAAACAAAGCGCACACACTTTTATTCACCAGTTCATGAACATGGATGAGACTATTACCCTTCAACGAAAAATCATCAAACACATGCATTGAGTAGTATATAGTTATAATAAGTATGTTCATACATGAGTTTTCCTTTGTGATGTCATATATATATAACACATATGTTAAACATAATGATATTTATGCGTTTGTTACTTTCAAATCAGTCTATATCTCAATGTGGTGACAAAACATGACCTAGCTCTATGATTCGGTGAAAACCAAATACAAAAATTGATGGGATGGTCCCGTGCAATTCATTTTACCTGAGGAGAACCCAGTTTGATACACTTTGACTCAGATCTCATGATGGTTGAGGAACAGAAGTAATAGATACAGGAGTGTTAGATCACAAGCTAAGAAAAATTCAGGCTTGTTACATAGGGGTCTTACAATCTGTGAAAAAGTTCTTGACCAGATTAGAACCTGTCATCAAGCTTTCAGTGGGTGTGTCACAAAGCAAAAAAAAATCAAGTAACACATGATGTGTTGCATTTTTTTAAAGAAGAGATAAAGAAGCTATTTACAAATTTTATATAATTAAAAGATATCAATGTGATGGTCTGAGATGAAAGAGAAACCACAACTAGACAATGGTGAAGGACATTATCAGACTAAACAAAACGGAAGTTCTACAAGGGATGGTATTAGAATAGGTTCTTTTGGAAAATATATCAAAGTAGGTGTCTCAACCACTGTGATATCAGAAGAACAACTTGAAGAACGGAGATGTGAAGAGGAGGTGTTGATAGAAGGAAGAAAGATCACTGGAGGTTTGGTGGTAGTTTGATTAACTATCTCAACTGATATATCCTCATACTCTTCTTCTTTCATCATTTGATCCAATTTAGATTTCCAGCAAAAGGTTTTGTTAGATTTTAATGGCGGAAGACTTGAAGGAAGATGTCTTCTGTAATAAGCTGAATTAAATTCTGAACATCCCACATCCGGTTTCAAGTTTTTAGATTTTTCTTTTTGCGTCCTTTTGATCATCTTCTGATTGGATGATTCAATAAAATCTAGAAACGAAGACGGTTTGAAAGATGATAATGGTTTTTCTGGACTACCAAGGGAGGCAAAAAGAGGATCTTGAAGAGTGGTAGTGTTGGAAGGATTCGTGAGAATTGAAGCTTCTTCAAGTTCGAGTTCACTAGCAGCTGAGATGTTGACCAGCACGGGTGTTTCGATACAAGTTGTATCCGAAGAAATACTTGAAGAGCGTGAGTGGGAAGATCCAGAGATGTCTTGATTTGATCTGGTGCCACTTTCTTCGACGAGCTCATCCAAGATTTCGTCACATTCTTCGCCTGACTCCTTCATGATTGCATCCAACGTGGTTCTCCAGCAAAAAGGCTTCTTTGGTGTGTTTCTGGTAGACAATTGAGGCAGGGCTGGAGGAAGATGTCTTCGGTAGTAGGCAGAGTTGAATTGAGCGCATCCTAAATCTAGAGGTTTTGATTTTGACTTTTCTACAAGCAACCTGTTAGACGCCTCAAGGTGAGAAGCTTCTAAGAAAGCCAGAAATGGAGAGGGGGCAGAAGTTGAGCTGAAGGTTGTGGTTGCGTGTTTGGGCTGAGTCGCAAGAGGTTCGAGTGTGGCTGCGACGAGGATATTAGGTAATACAGCTGATTGCGAATGAGATTCATTCGCAAGAGGACTGATAATTTTCAAAGGTTCTTCTTCGATATTTGAAGACGAGACCGGAACTTTGTCTTTGAACGAAATGGAAGGGACTGAAAAGTCCACTGATAGCTGCTCTGTGGCAGAAGGCTGAGGTTCAGATGAAGGTAAAGTCAGAGGTTCACACCTCAAGCTTCTGTCTTCATATCTAGTAGCAGTCACAAAGGAAGTCTAAAACAAAACAAACGTCAGTACCAGAATGGATTCTCCACAATGGAGATAAAAAGAACATACCACATTGACCGCAATTGACTTCATAGCAACAGTCAGGATACACGAATCAAGCTTGTTGTGGAGGCTTACTTGTGTACGAGTGATGACACTCTTGACGACACGTAATAAGTTGAGGCCAAAGGCCAAATACGAGCTTGGATAGTAAGACATCTTTGATGAGATACGCTTACGGGATTTAAGAATGGAGAAAACCTAAGATGTTGATGGTTGATTGTGACAATTGAGATTCAAAGAAACACAAAAGCGCGATGATCAATGAAGTGAAGATGAGATAGAAGCTTTAAGGCTAAGTTGAATAGTTTCTCTGAAAGATAAAAATCTATAGGAATTTGGATGTGTGGAAATGTGATAATCTGGGAGTAGTCAACAATAGCTGTGATGAGGAATTATCGCGAATGGGAGAAATCGATATATATTTATACGATTTGCTTGCGTACGAATTGGAACCATGCGTGTTCTTTGACACCAACTTGCCTTTTGCTTCGACTACTTGTTCCTGATGCATCAGCTTGTGATTAGACGTGTTGACCCAGTTTGATGTGGAATCTTATGCTTTCAGGCGCACAAATTCGCGCGTGAAAGTTCCAAGAGACCACTAATCTTGATGATCATAGCTTGAGTAATCCAAAGGAGACGCCTTCAAGCCTTTCCAGGCCACAACTGACGTGAAAAGTGCTCGTAGAAGCTTGATGCTTTTCACATAGCTCATAGAAATCCTCAGCGTGATAAAAGATGAGTTTAGCCGGCTCGACAGGAACATCAATCCAGGCTTCAAGACACCTTTCTTTCACGCTTCACGTACAAATTTGTATCATGACGCATACACAATGACCAACCGCTCAACTCAAACTACTGACCTTGCACTACTTGGGCCGGATTTGTGATAGACCCCCACAGGATGACTACAGGACTATAATGAAAAATCCAACCAGAAACACGTTCGGGGCTTGAACTTTCTTGCAAATTTCATTTCCATCCTTAGTTTACATCAGTCAAGATGAAAATCCGCACTGTAGTTATTGATCCAACAGAACACCTACAAAATGCTAGAGTTTAATTTTGATCACGCTGAGATGTAGATACAGGTGGATATATGCAGTCTTCTTTGACTCTTTGTCATTTGAAAACAATCAAGTTATGATACCCTTCATGATCATAGTACATACCAAAGATTTAAATTTTACTTTTACAATAAAGATGATAAGTAAACCTGAGATCTGAAAAGAAAATCAATAATTTGATATCTTGTAATAAATGAATTCATACTTTGAATGTGATCTTATTGTATAAGATGCCTGTTGACTTTGTTCACTCATAAAACATCTTGAATTCTTTGTTTTTCCCATGACCTTGGTTCAAGAACTAAAAAGCTTGTCAAGTTGTAACAAGTCAGAGCGAAAATAACTTCACCATCACTCAATCCAAAAAAACGGGTGGGTTTGTATGACTCTTTAGTCTACATAAGTTAGTCAAACCCAAAGACCAACAAACTCTTAATCATTATATTTTGGTTGTATTGAAAAAAACACCACTGATCTTATTAATAAGCTCATGACTAAAGATGACAAAAAAATAGTTACTACACTCCTAAACTTTCTTCTCAAAGCTCAATTCATCTGTATCATTTCTTCATCACTTTGATCACTTCATAACCACAAAAGAAACAAACCCCATTGAATTTCAAAAACCCATATACCATTTCATCAACTTTCAACCTAATCTGTATAATCTGTAAATCATTTTTTTCTTTTTGGGTGGTCTAATCACGTTTCAATGGTTTTTGAATCACTCTCACCCCTTTTCCCACTTCAATCACAAAGATTTCCAATCCATCTCCCACTTCAATATGACGTTCAGTCGCTCCCGTAAACGCATCTGTCACCAAAGCTTCAACTCTTTCTAATGGTAAATCAGCTCGTGGTGGTGTATAAGATTCACCTTTTCCATAAACCGGTTCTACAGGTGCTGGTGGTCCATTCGGATCACGTATCATATTTTTCCCACCCACCTAACCATCCGTCCAAAAAAAACATCATCAGTTCATGAGGTCAAACAAAAAAGAAAGGAGACACATCAATCACTTACTTGATTGTCTAAGAAAGGTTGTACTAAACTTTGAGCTGCACCTGCAGCTCTACAACTCTCACGTTCATAACTACCTACTGGATCAAACGAATAAACTGCACCTGTTCCATCCCGATCGATACCAGCTAAGATCACATATGCATAGTAAGGAAAGAATCGACGACCATAGAGCATGGTTTGAATAAGACGAGCAATAGATTGAAGTGAAGGCATTGAAGAATGGGTATGATTATACCACTACAAAAAAAAAAGGAAAACCAAAAAACGAAAATCAAACATGATGAAATTGTGTTTCTGAAAAGAGAAGAAAGACTTACAACAAGTCTTTGTTTGATTTGTTTGACTAATTCTTTAGCATCTGCTGCAAATCCATTGACAGCAATACAACATTGATCTGTGAGTTGAGTCACTTTTGGAGCATAACGTGATTGGATTGAGTATCCTTCTGATTGACGAGTATCACCTGCGATGACGGCAAAAGATTTGGAAGAGATCGCTAAGATCGTCCCACCGTTATCCTTTTAAAACCCATACCCAAATCCAATCAGAAAAGATATAGATTGTTGGGATGAATGATTAGATAGATTATTAAAACTTACGGTGTATGGATTGAATTGATGACCGACTGGCATGGTGATGATGATGATCGAATGGGATTTCAGTTCAGAATGGTCTGGTGAAGGGAACTTGATAGAGATTGACTGTGACGGTGGCACGATCGAAGACAGTCACATACATACGTCACCAAGTTAAGTTACACACAAATTACATGACACCAAACTACATTTTCAAAGTCAACATTAAATCAAACAACATTCCCAACACCATTTTCATCTCCCAACACACAACATTCATCATTTCACCACTGGCACCACACTCACCAAAGATGCAATCAAAACAAACTGAACTCAATACCACTTCAAGACCGAACCCAAAGCCAATGAACCAATTCAACAAGATCAGCACCACAGGAGACCCAACCCTAGCCAAAAAACGAAACCGAAACTTACTAAGAGATTATTATGGATTATCATCAACATCATCAAATCATCCACCAGAAGAAACTCATGATATGGATTCAGTTTTATTTAATCATCAAGTTTGGTTTGAAAGATTAATTCAAGATTCTTCTGGTTCTACTACTTCTACTGGTTCTTCTGGTTCGAGACTAGATTTAATTCTTTCAAATGCTAATCAAATCGTTTCTGAAATTAGAGAATTAGATGGTGAAAGACAATCATTAGTATATAATCATCATCATGAATTAGTAGATGCGAGTGTAACGATTGGAAAAGTAAGTCAATCATTAAAAAAACACTTGATTTATAAACTGATGACACTTTTTTGCGCGGTCGGTCGTGTTTTTTGGGGGACATATAGATGAAAACAAGTGCTGAAACTTTAGATAATACATTAAACGAATTACAAACTGAGTTTTCATCAATTTCAGAAACCATCAGTACGATTTCAAATTCATTTTCTTCTTCTTCTTCAACCAAACCCAAATCCCAAACCCCAAAAACCCCATCAACAAAAGAAAAAGAGTTAACAGAATACTTATTACCAATAATAAGTTTACCAATCATTTTAAGATCTTTAATCAATACAGGAAATAAAATTAAATCAGATCAATTATGGGGAGAATGGGAAATAATTTTAAAAAGTTTTGAAGAATTAGGTATTGAGAATATCAAAAAGATTGGGAATGAATGTAGAGAGATTTTAAGACAAGCTAGAAATTTAAAATAAAACAATCAATTCATGACTCAAATTGCATTTTTGTTGATATGTGTTAAATAATTAATCTTTCTTGATGTATTATTAACTATTTTGTACTTTTTTATTTGCTTGGTATTCATGTTTTTTCAAATCTCAATTTCATAGATCATCTCAAAAGTAATAGAAAAAGTGAGTGTCAAAGAATCAATATGAATTCAATATTGCAATAAAGTCATCTATGTATCTAAACACCACTATTAAAAAATCAACCTTCTTTCTTTATAATAAAAAAACTTAATTTAACGTGGAATCCAACCTGATCATTATGTAAAAGAAAATTGATCATGATTTTGTGTAGGCTGGCACTGAAAATGAATTGGCGAAAGAGTTTTTTTAAAAATATATTGTATGAAGTGATACACTATCTTTCACAAAGAAAAACACTTATATAAACAAACATACAAAGCTTAAGAGATTAAGAAAGAAAAAGAAACTAAAGATACTGATATAAAGTTTAAGATATATAAAAAATATAAATATAATATATATTTTAAAGACAATAATAATGATAATAATGATATATTGATAATTAGATTTTGGTTTTTTTTCTTATTTTGTAATTACTTGAACACGATTTATAATAAAAACAAAAATAAAAAAGTAAGAAGGAAATCACTCAATTGCAATGCGCAAAACATGTTTGTATACTTTATGTAGAAGGAAAAACAAACAAACATATACATTGAAGATAGAGAGAGAAAAAGAGAAATAGAAAGCCAAGCCAAGGCAAGTAGACGATTCCTATTAAATGATATCTCGTCAAGATATGTATGTATAGAAAAACGTTCCCAGAGGTACACAAGCAGACATAAGTTGAGTCAAAGATGAAGAGTTAGAGAGGTGTGACTGGTGAATCGAATAAAAAAAATGTGCGTATGTATATAGGTGGTTTCTACATATATAATTAAAATCTATACCTCTCTTCTTACTTTTTGATCTTCATTCATTTTTTTTCGTATTTGTATATATTGGTACTGTAGTAGTGAAAAGGTGTTTTTCTTGAGGATTTTTTCTTTCAAGTCGGTTGTTGATTATCACCCCATCCATTCCATTCCCCGTGTCCATCGGTATTATCATCATTTAAAAGATGTTTAAGAGTTGAAGTCGGTCTTTCAATTCCTTCATTCATTTCACTTTGATTAAGACTAGACGATAAACTTGAGTTTCCAGTTGATCTACTTTGATTTGTGTTCTCTCTGATAGGGTGAATCGTTTGAATGTCCAATGATTCCACTGGATTACTTGCATATGTGGTTGGCAAGCCACGATTAGCTTTTCTTCTCTTTACCACTCCTCGATCCGGGAACGCACGCTCCCGAGCAGAGTCAGACGTGTTTGTTGTGATGGTAGTATTGGAAGTATTGACCGAACAAGTCGAGTGATCACCACCGCTCACGTGACTACTGCTGCTAGTAGCACCACAAGTCGACGCTGATGAATCACGACTCCTTACACCAGACCGACGGAAAGCGTGATCGCGTGACAAAGATGATGAAATCATGTCATCTGTCATCCCGCTCATCGTTGAATCTGAGCGTGGCCTGTTGGGTTCATTGATCACGCTTTGTTTTTCCCTGCCCCTCAGAGGCCGTGAGATTGGCCTTGGATGATTCACAGAACTAGGTTGATGATGATCGGCTTGGTCTTCGTTCACATTTGAAGCGCGTTGCTGACGATGCTGGATGCCAATGATACGCAGCCTCTCAACCCAACTATGTATGTGATGTAGTATCGGAAATAAGAGATGTGAGATCAGTAAAGAGGAAATATGAAGTAATAGAGATATGATGATCCAAGAAAATACACCCACGCATCTGCTCGGTCCACACTTTCCGAAAAGGTGCCAGTAACCGATTTGAGCATGTCCAGACCCTCTACGGCAAAGGAGAGGATCCGGTCTGCTGCTATCTCAGTAGTACCACGTGTTGTGTGAGAGCCCTGAGAAGTCGATGCTACGTTTCTATCAGCCTTTAAGACACATTTTCAAGGTAGGAATGAGTGGATCAGCGGTGTGCACGCGTGTCAAGATGATCAGGGAGAGCTGCCTAATCAAAATATACCTGAAAGTGTTGACCGCTGTCTAAGCCTGATTGACTCGTACCAGCATGAGCAAGCATTTTGCGTGGATTAAGACCATTTTCAGCTTGTATTGTGGAAGCCCATTTGATAGGAAGACTAAGGATCGTCTTCCGAACAAACTGCTTGGCTTGATCAGGTAATGCTCCTCCTGCGTACTTGGATACCACATCTACTACTTTTCTGATCGTTTCCACAATCTCTTTCTTGATATTCGCCAATGTTCGGACCGCACTAGGAGAGATCAGAGCATTGGAAGAGCTACCAGAGACATTGAGTGAGGCTATAAAATCTCGTAAAACAGTGATTTGATGGTCCATATGTGCTGAGGCATACTAGCTCCAAGTAACAGATTCAGAGGTGGTTTTGTAGAAATTGTGTGGTCAGAAATTGTTCAAATTATCAGGTACAAGGTATGAGTCATAGGATGGCCAGATGCAGAACATACCTGCAGCCAATGTAAGCAGTACTTGAGGCTTTTCATACTTTCTTCGCTAACCGCTGCTCCAATCCCTCCAGCAGTCATACCGGCTTCAACAAGCATATTTTGCCATCTGCTTCGGCCAGTGTTGGCAACCTGAACAAGTCGACCACCAGGCGACGCAGCGGGAGTGTCAAGATCGGATTCGTCGTGTGTACGGTGATGCTCATGAAGATTACGGTGGTGTGAGATATCCGTGGGTGAAGAAGGTCCATTGTGAGTCATATGAACGTCTCCATCGCCATAAATCGTTGAATTGACATTAGAGGGAGTGATAGTCAGATTTCTCTTTCGGACGCCCGAACGATCCTCATCGTATTGGACCGAAGGCATATCTCTCCCATCATCAGGGTAGTGAGCGTCAGATGTGGTGGGCTGTATGCCTCGATAAGAGGTTGTAGGCGGCGGAATGCCACCGATTTGACCGAGTCGATCAAGTGCTGCACCGGCATAACGATCAATCTGAGCGATTCTCTCTGGACCGACTGTTGAAGCTACTCGTCCAGAAAGAGAGGTGACCGAAGATTCGACCAAATCTGCACCATACTGTTAAATTCCATAATTAGGATAATGGCAAATTTTGTGCGAAAGAAGAAATGAGCTAGCTGATCTCAGTCTTTGAAAATCGTATGCACTGAAGTGATGAAAGATTACAGCGAGTGCATGAATCAGAGGAATGGAATCCACAAACTTTTACAACCCGACTGGTGCCTTTTCCCCTCTCATATGCACGCACTACACCACTGACCAATGGCATACGGCCGACTCGTTGAAGAAAAATGCCCCCTTCAGGGTCTTCAACTTGAATGACTTCCACTGGATGACCATGTGCATCAACTGGTTTTCCTTCAGCGTCAAGGTAGAAGCCACCTGGGGGAGCTTGATTAAGGGGTCGACCAGATTGAGGAGCTGTCGATCGAGACGGGTTGGATGACAAAGCAATAGGCGTATCTCGGGTACTTGATGTGGTAGGATGTGCAACAAAAGAATGAGATTGATGTCCTTGTGATTCTTGCAAACCGATGGGAGATTCAGAGTAACTCGAAGACCGAAGATTGGAGTGAACTTGATGATGGTGGTGATGAGAAGGTGTGGGACCATCACCAGAGTAATTGAGTTTGTGATGATGATGATGATGATGATGATCGAATCCGGTAGAACGATGAGTAGTGGGTGGAGAGAAGTCAAAGGTAGGACGAGAAGGACCACCAGTTTTCATCACACTAAGAGCATTGATAGCCATTTTAACTTCCTCATCATCTTCATCAATAATCGATCGATGTGAATGTGAATGGTCATCAGGTTCAGTATCGTTACTACTAGCTTTATCATCAAACTCGAGTTCATTTTCAGAAGCATCAGCCGAACTATTTCGTAAGAACGAAGTGGAATAAGAGTCGTTTGATGGATTCAACATTTTAGGATAAATAGTAAATTGATAAAAGCGAATAAAAGAAAAGTGAAATGGTAAACAGCAAAAGTAATGATTCACTCAAACTAGAAAATTAAAATTAAAATTAAAATTAAAATACAAACAAAGTCAATTCATTTGAATTCAGGGAAAAACTCAATCACTCTTCACAAACTCAAAACCTTATTCACTCTTGTCTATGAAAACCAATCTTAACTTCTCACTCAATATCAGCATTCAGCATTCAGGAGTCACTCAAAATATATGCACTCAAATTCAAACACAACCCAATATCTGAAAATCTCACTTCATAAACATGCTTCTTATACCACTTCTCACATCTTGAAATCCAATCTCTGTTCCGATAAAAGCTCACTTGATGAAATAAATTATAACATCAATTCCAATCAGAGAGTTTTGGTTTGGAAAAAGATGCATTCAAAGATTCGTAGACAAAGATACATATACAGTCAACTCCCTCTAATTACATACAGTTTGGCGGGTGGTTTTTTCATGCACTTAAAGGAATATGCACTTATAGACCTCATTTTGGCTTGAAAACCCCTTTTTGGCGGCAAAAAATCCTATGCACATAGAGAATTATGCACTTACAGGGATATCAAGTTAGAGGGAGTTGACTGTATGCACTCAAACAACACAGCAAGTTGACTTCTAATTACTTTCAATCATATATGCACTATGAAAAGTGACATGGACAGCAGCACTAAACTTTGATACAAGAAGTAAGTTGCAACATCAAAATCTAAAACTACAGCACTAGATACAACATCAAAAAGAATTGTATAGGACTAGATAGGAAATCCAAAAGGATATCACAACACTAGATAGCTCAAAGAAAAAAATGACTTTTTCTGAAATAACTAGCATTGGTTTCCATAAATAGTTAAAGCGGATGAATTGATAATGTGGAAAGGAATATCAAGAAATTGGTAATCCAAAGAGGAAGAAAAAATCTGATTTTTTTCTTAAAATATATTGAAAAAGAGCCGTAGATCTCATACTCTTCCTAGGAGCCCAAAAGGTTGAATCAGGACATTCTCCGGCCATTAAAGATCCACACAAAACGTATTGGGTATTCTAGTTGAATCACTACAACAAATGACTTTCTGTGTTGATATTCGGTCAAATTGGATAAGTCTACCTTAGGATCGCCTACCTATACTGTACCCGCCATAACTCTTCGGTGTCACAGTGACCGTGGAAGGGCTCCCCCGACGTCAGGGGGCCCTTTGATCTCTTGCCAAAGCAACGCAAAAAAAGTTCAAATTATATCCTTCACAATTTGAGAGGCTGAGTTTACCCAGCTTGATGGATGCCTAGTAGCCAGTCTCAAGTTTTGGCCTGAGGAACACTGAGCAAGTATTTGACTCCATAGCCGGGAATGAGCGGGGATGAGCAGGGATGAGGTATTCCAATCTTTTCTAATAATAATAAAATTCTAAGCACCATGCATCCGCTATTGTCACAGATAGATTCCCTGTGATTTATGATTCACTGGACGAAAAGCTCGTCTCCAATGGCTGAATGTCTTCCATGGAAGATCTTTTATTCTGACAAATTGTATTTAAAGACATTCATTTGACTCTCTATAAATTAGTAAGAGAACGCGTCCGACATGCACACCGAATACTCGTACAATGAATAGGTAGATTGGTGGGGTTGGAGGGATGCTTCACCAAATGGTCACAGGACAGAATTGGTCCGAAGCCAGTATGCATATCTCTCCCCAGACTCTCTATCAATACTTTTTCTTAGCCCTTTGCAAAACAAAAACCACACAATTCCGAGACAAACGCATACACTGTAGGTCCCCCAACGTCGGGGCCCTTTCCACTGGCACTGTGTGTGGAAGTTGAACGGCTCAAACTCTTAGGAAAAAGGATTCTTGAGCTAAAAACACAAAGTAAGATAATAAATGGTGATTGAAAAAAAAATCATCATACCTTTTATTCAACTCCACACTTGTATGATTTATGGACAAAAACTGTCAGCCAAAAGCAAATACCTCTTTGAACCTGTCTACAACGCATCACTGATGATTGAATAAACGTGTTGAATTGATAATCACATCCAATGATCATGACAATCATGATGCTTGGGAACAGAAGGATATCTGAAATAAGCTTATGTGTAGAATGGGGATTTTTGATTCCAGATTTAAGGCTGATGACAAATGGTAAAATAACGTATAAGAGAAATATCTTTGAATAAGAGCACCAAAAACACAAAATCATGTTGAAATATGAAGACAAAGGTAATATAGACATCCTGTTTAAAACAACATTACGGATGAAAAGTTGAAGAAAAATATTGAATATCATAAACTGATCTTTACCGAACTATATATGGAAAGAGAGTATACCTCATAATTAAAAAGACAAACTAAAGAAAACACCAATATACCAAACAACACTATACAATAGCGAGGATAATTGCGAAAGCTGATCAAAACAAATGTTGAAAGATAAGGAGACATATGAAGAGAAGCGATAAATCATACTCAAGTTTGAATATGAATAGTGAACAGGGCTTTGTATCGGGGTTGAGTTTTGAAAATCATTTATGCTAAATCGCTTGGATGAATCGCAGGTTGAATTTCATCACTCCGGAAAGCACGAGAAGCACTACTTGGATTTCTCAGTAAGGAATCAAGTCTCCAATCAAACTTCCCAGAAATAGCCCCGAGAAATCGTTCACGATTGGGAAAGGTGACTGGAAGTGATTGTTGATGTTTGTAAGCTTTTTTGAAGTTCGGTAAGAAATCAATACCAAAAGATTCGAGTCGTGCCATGGATTCGGAGATCGGACCAGTAGGATTTTCACCAATGACAACACTAAAGATATGACGACGAAGTTGACGAAGTTGATCTTGTTCTACAGTCAATCGAAACTTTTCAAATGCCATTAGGGATGATTCATCACTGAGAACATTAGTGACCGGTTGAGATGCAAATCTGCTTTGAAAGTGGTTTTGAACAATCTTGAGCCATTCTTGAGCCCATTCTTTCCTTTGTTCTTCACTTCCCAACTCTGTCATCTTTCCAATATTGCTTTCAACTTCCTTGAAGACATTATCAACTTCGAAATCATTCATAACGATTGCTGAAAGCAGATAGGATGTATGATGTACCCTCATCGCCATACGATTCACTCTACTCTCTAAACTGGTGTATTGTGCGATCCAATCCGGAAGATTGCGACAGAAGCTGACATATTTAGCACGATCCTCTGCATTTAACCGAAGCCCAAAATTCACGATAGTGCGTGAAAAGATAAAGTATGGGATCGCAGTTTTGACCAGATTCCATTTTTGAGAAAACCAAGACCTCTCCTCCGGTTGTGGATCGGGGATCTTTCCAGAATAAATTTTGTTAAAGTACACCTGACAAGCCCGGATCGCTCCTGGATATTCAATCTCTTCTGCTTTGGATTCAGTTTCGCGAACAAGAGCCGATTTACCACCATCAACGCTTGGAGGTACCTTGTCAGATTTCTGGGATTCTTCCACTGAAGAGGCAGGATCAGCATGAGGTGCAGTAGAATCAATCTCGATGGTGTGATGTTGAGGTGCGTAACGATTGACTGCCAGCCGTTCGAAGAGAGTTGTAAATGCTATCGGGTTTACTGAAGGTGCAGGCTCTTCTTCGAGCCGTCGGAGGGCATAATGCCAGAACTTTCCGCTAAACTCATCGTCCATTGAACCCAAACCTTTTAAAGCCTTATCCAAACTTTTCGGTATGACTGTACGCCATGCGTCAGGTTGTTCCGCCCAGAGGTGCGAGGCTACCAAAGTTAAATGTGAACCAAGGAAAAATATTTGAAAATAACTAAGCCGAGTCATTAACATCTTGGATCTGAATGATGTGTGGCACGATGGTGCATTAGTAATGAAAAGATACTTTGATAATTCTTAGATCATACTGAAGAGAAAAGCTTACAACGATAGTCAAAAATTCTAAATTGGAAAATTTTAATAGTGATGGTGAAAGGCAGTGAATCTCGCCTTGTAGTCCCAGAATTATGAAGCAAAGATGGAAATGTATGAGATCCCTTGCCTTTTCACTCTTGGCTTCAGAGTTATCACCACACATGATGATATTTATTCACATTGAAGGGCTTCCGGGACGCACCACGCATGTGCGACATCCCCTCTTCAACAAGAAAGTCGCATTAACATTCTAATGCGACTTGACTTTTGAATCACAAGGGGAAGTATTTCTCAACGTTTTGTTGATTGCAATGTTTTAGGTACCTCCAGAGCTTGGTGACCATCATGGTATGCGCAATCCTACCACTCGACGAGGCTTGTTAGACCTTCCGAAGTCTCGGTTGCAATTGATATTTTGTTACGATCGTGACTAGTCACAGATGTGCTGTTTCGCACTCGTCCCAAAAAGAAATTCATTGAATCTGGAGACTTCCACCTCGGGGCTCTCCACCTTTAGTACTTACTTATCTTTAGCATTGGTCTCAAAAAGTTAAACATTCTGAAGTCTGGGATTTCCACTCCGGCGATCAGCTTCTTCGCCCCAAAGTCTTACATCGTTTTGAAGTTTGGCAATCCTAGCTCAGCGATCCCCTCTTTCCGCACTCGTCCCCAAAACGAAACAATCGAAATTTCGGAATTTCCATCTCGGGGATCTCCCGATACGTACGATTTGTGGAGAACAGGGCCGTTAAGGCGACCAGAAAGAAGCTGCTCTGGCGTGTCGCCACAGTCTCCTTCAATCACCGAGCTCTGCAGATCATGAGCAACTCCACTATGACATGTTCGAGATTTGAAGTGGCGACGACTATCTCACCTCACCCTACTCACCCGTTCATCACACCATACGGTATGTACCTTTCACTCGCGGTGAAGCACTGCCAGAGCGCAACCGTACTATTATCTCGTGAGATCAACTAGCTCTGCTGCTGTGAGAGTGTGAAAAACAAGTACAAAGCATGGTGGCTTATCGTAAAGGTCAGCCGGTCACGATACGCCTGAATCATAGCATACAATCCAGCCTGTTTACAGGTTAGGGTAAATAGTGCCTAAGGGTACCCGTGCATCTGGCACAGCCACGTAAAGTTATGTAACCACATAGGATCTTTTAAGCGTATAGAAGGTTTTCTCTACAGCAGTAAGCTGTTGAGCTGCTGCTTTCAAGGAAAGCAGAACAAAATCGATCAATATTCTCTGGATTCGATATGTATCTATCTACAGCGTATGAGATGGTCGATGTAATTGAAGGTAAATTGAAGATAAGAGTGCCGACGGTGGGCCTTCACCAAATGCCTACATCTCTTGGCGCCGGAAGGGATTCAGATGCAAATGTGGCACAAGCAAAGCATCTCTTTGAGCTTCGTCCCCCTCCCGGAATTAAGGGGAGCGATGTTGTGAAGTGATCTTCCATGGCCGGTGATATGAGTCCTGTATTTTATGGTCGACTACACTCACTCCACGAACTGTTTTTGTGGGAATCACATCAGGTTGTACAAAGATTGGGAGAAACAAATATCCACAAAAGCCAAAGCCAAGACCATACCCATCCTTGTGAAAGTTCAAAGAACCCTTTTTGGGTTATTCAAGGCTGCGGAGTCCTGTCGATTTCAAAAAGTTTGTCGAATTCGGCGCGGAAATTTCGGCAAGGTTTTTAAAATCGACAGTACATGGCGGACAAACGTCACGAGATAGATGGCCGCGAAGATTATTGTATGAAGGCGGTATGCAACTGAGCCACGTGGGAGTGCGGAGGAGTATTTATTGGAAGGGCTTGTGGTGGAAGTATGTAGTAGAAGTTGTCCCTTCATCAGAAGCTTTGACGATTTCCAATTTTCAATTCTACTTTGAACGACATCTCTTCCTCTCTCACGATATGCTGTCTATCAGTTTAGGATGGTTATGTCTTTCAGTATGTTTGTCAGCAAGCGGTGCATTCGGAACACCATCAAAAATATCACTGCCCATCACCAATTCGATTCAACTTGTTGGTATCGATGTTGGCGTAGGTGATCCACCCAATGTGCATCGTTTGGCGATTGGGCTTGGTTCATCAAACACTTTTTTTGGTGCTAAAACACCTTATATTCCTACCCGATCGACGGTGGATCTGAACCAACCATTTCACATCGATTATATGTATGGAAATGCGACTGGAAGATGGGTTAACGACACCGTCAGCTTTGGTTCGGGAAGCAATCAAATTCAGTTGCCCAATATAACCATTGGAAATGTTTCCTCATTCATCGTCAGTCCTTTCCATAACTTCTACGTCGTTGAACATAATCCAAAGTTGGGTTGGCTCAGCACCTGACACCGTCGAAATTCATCACAGGGCTTCGCCGATTTTGACGGAATGCTTGCATTGAATCGAGTAGGAGAGTCAGCAGCACACCCAGATATAGAGACCTTGTGGACACCAATGTCATATATGTGGCATCGGAACTTACTCAAAGAGAATGTCTTCTCGGTAAGAAAGCCTCATGTTAACAATTCTTACACTTCTCTTCCCGTTTTGAATGTTTTCATCTCTTTGGACTACTAGCTCTCCTTCAAACCTACTCGCACCATGGAGCCCGAACAAAATGGGATGATTACCTTTGGTGGCATCGAACCCTCTTTATTTGTTGGGCAGTTGGTCTGGTACACTTGTAAATCATACGCGTATGTGTTCCTCAATATTTGAAACTCCAAATCGGAGACTAAACGCTGAGTGATGTGTTCTTGTCTAACATTTTTTTTCAGTGCCTGGGATTGGACTGCGAGCATCAGTTATGGCGGTAAAACACTGTATTCAACCCCACTCATGGGCAGTTTTGACTCCTGTAAGTCGTTGGCTATCCAGCGCCTTTAGAAGCTCAGCAGTTAATAGTATTATTTTTTCAGCATATACACTCGGACCAGCTTTGGCCGATGACTTATTTGCGGAATACTTGGCTGCGATTCCGGGTGCCGTTTGGGATAACGATGACTTTTGGAAAAACAATCCTAATGGGTCTGTCAATAGACATATGCTCAAGGTTCCAAAGACTTCACTCGGTCAGATGAAGGATTTGTGCTTCACTGCAGCAGATAAACGACCTTGGTGCTTGACTCCCGAAGCTCAGATGATTCCCGAAAACTTGCTTCCTGATCCTACCTATCGCTATTCATACGTCTCCCCACTTGGTACAACCGTCAAGGACGGTTCGACCTTTATCAGTGAGTTGAACTAGATTACCTTTTTCAGCAGAGTCATGTTCTCACGCCGCTTGATTTACATCACCAGTGGGCTTGAAAGGTCTTGAGCGCTTCTATTCAGTTTACGATATAGAGAATTACCGAGTAAGTAATGCGTCTTTGTTACATAATGACAAATCAAATGTAGGAGACACTTATATATAATTTGACTTGCTTCACCCTAAAGATTGGTCTCGCTGAAACTTCTTGGACAAAGACAAAATTTTGAAAGAGGCGTCTGAGCATGAACAAGTAGAGAACTTCGCTCAGGTTTATCATTATTCTTATTCTTGACGTATATATAATTGGATGCAAACAATATGACATTGGGATGTATACCCTTCACAGATGATCCTCCGATTCTCGCAAGCAGAAGGTTTTGCTTGCTCCAGCTTTAACATCACAAAGAGAAGTAGCTATGTGTGCCCATAATTTACAGGTCCTACCTATGTGACATGATGTGGTCATGTGCGTAGTTTGTGTAGGGGATGATCATCTTGTGGATATGACGTGCGCGGTTATAGTCATGTCATTTTCAAGGATGTCAGCCCTGAGCCCAAACTTGGTATCAGATGATGCGTGATCCCCAGAGTCACTGTTTTTCTTCACCCAACGGTCTCCTTGTTGACCATGAATCTTGGAGCATGGTAGTCACATTTTGCAAAGAAGTAATTTTTATCAGAAAAACACGGGTATGCAAATCCGTTTGTTCATGACCATACAAGACGTTTCTATGTACAAGTTGAAAATCAAGCAAAGATAGCCTTCTCAATAGCTTGTTCGACTTTCTCGATATTTGATGCTTCTGTATTCAAACTACAGATCAAATAAGCTACATTCCCAAGTGGACGAGCATGGATTTCGAATGATAAACTCGTTGAGTTCTCTAAAGACATCCGAGAAGAGAGTAATTCCTGTTGTTGCTGGATTTTCTGTAGCAGTTGGGATGCAGCTTGAGACGTATATCCTATTTTCAGCGCATAACCAGAAGACGAGAATTAGTCAGTATTATGCGGTAAGATATCCAAACAGAACCTGTTGGTGAAAACTAGGCTTGAAAGCGTAATTGCTACGAAAAGAATCATCCAGCCTTACCGGATCCGCTATCCTGATCGCGAAGGTAAATTGCCAAGACAGTTCCAAGACACATTACACTCTCGACTCGATCTGAGGTACAGATCCGATTAATAAAGCTAGGCGTCCACAAACTCCAGGTCAAGGATTTTGTTTCTGGTTCGATTCGAGTAGGTGATAATGTTTTTTGTTCGTCTGTCGATGGACTTTGAGTCCAATTTGTTCTTGCTTGATCCCATTGTCCATTATCATCCAAGCGTGCGAGTAGACGAAGTCCGGTCAGGGCAACAGAACACCCGATAGGATGAGCAGTATAAGAATGACCATGTAGTAGTGCGCGAGGGGTAGAGGGTGCTAGAAAAGTCTCAAAGATAGTCCGGCGAGCAAGTGTGACACTCAAAGGCACTGTTCCTGCTGAGAGGATCTTGCTATAAACAGCAATATCTGGATGGATCGAGCCGAGTAAAGTAGCAGCGGTGGAATGGCCCAAACGGTATAGTCCGCTAAAGACTTCATCAAAGACCACAGGTAAACCGTTCCAATCGTCATGTGACTGATTTCCTTCTGGGGGACGGTCTTCGCCAGATTGTGAGATAGCTGCTCGATGGGGATCAAAAAGTGAAGCTTGGTCCCGCACAAATTGTACTAGTACATGTTGAAAAAGAGGGTCGACAAAGATCATACCACCCGCTCCCATCACTACAGGCTCGAGGATGAGTGTGCCAAAGCACATGCTTTGACGAGCTTGGCCGATAATCCGTGTAAGGTGAGCGCGGTAGATATTCGCAAGAGGGTCTTCGCGAAGCCGAGTGGCGATATCAAACACTTGATGGAGACCTTCGTAGATTTTGGAGATTGGCGCCTGTTTCCATTGATCACCACGAGCTTCGATGCGCGCTTTGCCAGCACCGATGAGGGTCAAACACGGTGGATCCATCCAAAAGCCTCGACCACTGTACCAATCAACCTCTGAGTTGTAGACCGAGGGTTCACTTGCGTCCATGGCTCCGATGGTGTCTCCGTGGTAGCTACCCCGAAGACCAAGTACCCCGAGTGTCCGCCGTTGGGAATCAGATAAGTGATGCCGCCGGCTGTAGCTAGCCAAGCCCATCTTCAAGGCCACTTCAACTCCCGTACTCCCATTGTCGCTGAAAAACACTCGGTCCGCCCAGCCCTTACCGACGTTGTTGAGCAACCATTCCGTCAAGTGCATTGCCGGGGGGTGGATGCATCGTGGAAACAGTACGTGGCCGTATCGTCCAGCAGCATGTGCTGCGCTGAGTGCGATCTCGGGATGAGCATGTCCAAGAGATTGAGTCCACCAGGAGGCAGAGCCGTCGAACGCAGGATTCAGTAAGGATAACGAAGATTGACATGGTTCGCTGGTTTGGTCAGGTGATTTGGGTTGATGCTTCAAGAAAAAATCTCCCGATGCGCTATCGATCACCGTTACATCAGAAGGTCTAGTCACGGTGGAGTGTTGAACAAACGGCCACCAAATTTTATTGAGCGCACGAGTCGGCATACTATCAAATTCCTTCAAACGATTAGAGTGTACAGTCTGTAGACTCTGCACGAGAGCAGTGATAGAGGTATTATGTTCAGTTTGCGACACGCGTTGATAATATTCAATCATTTGAGATCTATCAGCTGCCTCATCTTCTATAGTTCCATCCATGATCCGATCGGGCGGTTGGTCCAGAACACCAAAGCAAAGGGAACGCTCTTGAGCCCATCCTTCGAGATATTCCCAGTTACGATAGTAATCTTCTCGTAGTAAGACAAGTGCGTCAATGTCATAACCATGGAGCTTGAGGGACTCGTATGCCGAGATCGTTGATGAAATTCCACCTAGGTGATGTGAGCCGATGAGGATAGTCGGCATCCTTAAGGGACGGTAAGCCAGCATTTGAGACGATCCCGAAAGCGTGGGCGAGTGAACACCTATGGAGTGTCATAAGATTTAACCACATTTCGAAATTTCATCATCAAATTGGGACAAGGATTCCAAATGGCCCCATACGCACCTCCGGCCGATTCAACGTAAAGTGCGCCAATTCGATTAGTACCCACGGATGCGGCACGATTGGCGATGTGCTGTTGAACTCCATGAATGAATTCTTCATCGCTAGGAATCACTAGCTGGTCGGTTGTAGGGTCATTAGAAATCGGATACTTTGATTCGGCAGGCTCTTCCGTTCATCACGCACCTGGTGGAACACTGTCAGCTTCCTTGGACATTCGAATTGCTGCCAGATGAGGGCTTACGGGGTCTCGGAAGGTGTACAAGCATTTGGCGTCCACATCCGGCCCGACAAACTTTGTGATATGACTAAGCCAGTGCAGCAAACAAAGACAATGATTGTTAGTTGTGCTGGAGTCAAAAAGTAAACCAGAAATGAATTGCACCTAGCATCAGACTGAAGACCTGTTCCAATGGGCTTCAGATAGCTAGTTTGTTCACCCAAACGAATCGAAGCTTTGACGAGAGCAGTAGAAATGATCGTTTTGCCGATATCCGTTCCCTAGGATCAGTGGTAAGATCGCCAGGCCCGACAAGTCAATACCTTTCGTCCTTGTTCAGCCTGAAAAGGAATGATGAACGTACCCCGCCAAATATTTGATGAACTCGCAAATTTCGATAGAGTGCCATTGATTGAGGACGAACTTTGAGGAGAAGTGGACGTCCGAAATCTGAAACCGGAGAAAAAACCTGTTGGGGTTTTGGTAAAGGTTGTGGCACGCGCTGGAGAGCCTGAGAACTTTAGAAAACGAAAACAAACTGTCCTTTCCAGAAGGACAAGGAAGCCAAGCTTTCGCATACGACCATCATGATAACAAAGTGAAATTTACACAGCGCCTCCTTCACCTCATCACACCGGCTGCACCTGCTTGGGACGAGGTTGCAATCATATGCTCAAAACCACCATCACTGTCGAAAGCAAAAAAACATTCCTCAGAAAAGGAAAACAGGAGAAAACCTTGAAAACGATTTATTGACGTTCTTACAATCATCAGTCAAGCAAATATGGTCCCCACTTCCATCTCGAACTTCATGATTAGTACCAAGTACTCTTTCATAACTGGAAAGTGTGAGTTTTGTCAAGTCATGAATAAGAATCATCAAAAGTGATCTCACTGAATTACTTACACCTGTGCACCAAAAACACTTCAGGAAGAAGATTTTGATACTATTCCATCTGATTATATTTAATTCTATAAATTAGCCAATTTCTTCCCTGTAGACCCCCCTTTATGATTTGCTATCTTCTATATCTGCTATAGACTGTTGCAAACCTTTGAAGTTCTGCCAGCACATTCCATGTTGAATATCTGACTACTATGTTCTATCACACTCATCTAAATTAAACCTATCATCTGTTTTTATCCAAGTGAGTTGATTCCCTTGATCACTTGAACTGAACTTTGCAAAATTGTCAAAGTCCTTTTCAGATATTTGGATAAAAGCTATTCTAGACTAATAATCTTAGAGCATCTAAATACTAGGCCTAGGATTGAAACCCAGTCATGAGTTATCGAAACCTACTCCTTGAATCCAATGAAAGGATATAATTGACACATGTTTCTACCTATCCTTTTTCGATTCTTATAGCTAGTCAGGCTACACTTATCCCACATACCTAGCACTAGTAGGATACCTCAGCATCAGTTTTGAGTGTGTCATTATATCATCTATAAGAATTGTTGGAATCATCCCAACAAGATCTGGAGCTATCAATATAGATTCTAAGATTATTGAACTTGAAATCAGACCTGTGCTACAAAAAACAAAGGAACTCAAAACCCCTGAACAGTTTCTTTACTAAAACCAGCAACACCACTGGTTTGCCTTTAGTTTATCCCGGTGGGACTCCTTGGTTTGTTCTCACAAATGCTTGTAGCTTATCTCTAGGCACCTTTGGTTCTTGTAGGGAGTACGTATATGCATTAAAAGGGCTCTACACTCTGATTAATCTGCAATCCTGAAATTGTGGGGTAGACAGGCATGTTGGCAGGCACATAAAGTATGTCCATGAGAGGGTGATGCATATTTTTTCAGTGTAGGTCAAGTACCATGAGGCAATTTAGGCTAGCTCCTAGACTAATACTTTGATGGCTGTTGTTTTCAACAATCCTATTATTCACAAGATTATAAACAGAAGAGCTGAAGAGAAACTGAAAGAAAAGGAAGGCAGGGGAAAGGAAAAGGGAAAAAGGTCAAAAGGAAGAAGGACAAAAGACAAGTTTGGTGAAAGACCATACAAGTATTGCAGATGATGTAGCATATCATCGCTGTGTACTAGCTAACAGATATTTACTATGTTTTCCATTGTCTCAGATTCACCACAAATGTGAAATATCCTCCTCATTGAATGGTGTGAATAGAAATCCTATTGCAGAAAACCTCTGTGACTCTCTTAATCCCTTTTGACTTTTGGTTATCATCTTGCTCCATGAGTTAAGAAGGTGAATAACAAGGCTCTTTGGGGTTCTTGATTTGTTGAGTTTGAAATGAATCTTGAACATATATGCAGGATCTGTTGATCTATGTATTTGAAAATTTCCAATACCTTTGGACTGAAACAGTTGTTCAAGATTGTTTGGCTGAAAATCCAACAAAATCCATTTAGAGTATATTTCTTTGAGAAAGATCCATGCATTCATGAGCAAGATCTCAAGTTGTTCCTCAGATAACAATCTTTTATAAAAATGCCTCAGTGCACCCATGTATGGAACAGTGACTTTGTACTGTGCAATGCTCACTGCTTGAACAATCAAATCAAGGTTTGGTGAATGCATGGTGTTAGATATATGGACTCCTTTGGGAGTTGTGTAAAAACTGTCATTGTTCAGTTCCTTGTAACGTCCTATTAGATCACGGATCAGCTTTTCAAAATAAGAGTGCACATTCTTGCACATTCCTCTGCCAATATTTGTGTGAAACTGGGCTGAATTGTAGATGTTTCCTGTCCTGTTTGGTAATGGAAGTTCTGCACTCCCAATTAGATACCAGTGATCTTTTGAAAATTGCTCTGCTCCCCAGAATGCGTCATTCCTGATTCCACTCCTGGAATATAATCCACCTTCTCTTGAACTTGTGTCAGATTCATTTACTTCCATCAATCTGCCAAGATTTATATCTTCTGGAATCCTTGAGTTCCATTGATCTTTTGACCACATATGCACAATGGACATAACCAGTGAGAATGGTATTGAAACAGGGCCAGAAATACCTTTCAGATATTTTAGCTGCCAACCTGAAATCAAGATGTCAGAAGCCTTGCCAAACTTTGTTATCTTTCCAAATTCAAAATGTTCTGGTGTTGCAGATTTCCAATGAGAAAAAATATTTTTAATGTACTTCCATCCATCATTCAGAAGCATTTGAATATCATGCGTCCCACTTTCATCATACTCAAAGGCTTTGAGAATACCAAAAAAAGGCATTACAATCCCAAGGTATGCATTTTTAACTGCACAGCCTAGAGATTTGATCTCTGAATCATCTTTGCATTGTACTCTTATTCTCATATATATCTCATGGAACCAATCAACTATCTCATAGCACAGAGTTGGAGATCTATTCACATTCATTATGCCAATGTTTTTGGAAATTGTAAGTTTCCGTTTTCCTAGATGGGACTGGTCTAGATCTTTCAATTCCAAATACTTGGGGATTTCTGATTTTATATATGCACCAGGTGGATTATCTTCAAAAAGATGACTGGATCTTGGACTATAATCATTGTCTAAGGATTCTGAAGAGATCTTATCTTGTTGAGTTTGATTGATTATCTTGTGACGGTCAACATCAAGATTAGTGTTAAACCTTTTATTGGATTTCCTGGATGATTCAGCACTTGTTTTGACCCACAATCCCTTCTTCCTCTTTTTTTGATTGGAATCATCTTTTTGATGAATTTCCATGTTTGATTTACTCTCCATTGGGTGGTTGATGTTGAGAGAAGGAATATCTCTGTCTTCAGGGAAGTTCCTATTTGGTGCTGTTACTTGGGGTCCTATTACAACTGGAGTTTCTTGACAATTAGACTCAGATCCATCATGAGTGATGTTGTCTGTAAGAATTGTGTGTGTATTGTCTCCAAATGGATTCTCCCTGCCAGTGTGGATAAACTTATTTTCTGGGCCTCTGTCACTCTTCAGTCCCACAGTAGGTTCTTTCTCTTCTGTGTTAGAGATATGATATTCTGGCCATGGTCTACCCATTGGGTATGAATCACTATACAAGTATGGACATATTTCTTTCAGCCAGGAGTTTTCCAGTAGGTTGGTTGAGTCATGTGTAAATGATTGAACACAATTATCAGTTGTGTCAGTTGTTGAAAGTTGCTGTGATTGACTAATACAATTGATTTCCTGTTCTTTAAAATGATTGTCATTTGTATTGTCTGCCCTTGAATATGATGTTATTGTCTTGGTATGTTTATCAAGGTTGGGGATAATTTCTATTGGATCAATGATATGATGAGACTGTTGTTCATTTTCAAAACTGACAGCATTTTTGAGGCTTTTTGTCATTGAGACATGTTCATGTTGTAGATGTTCCCAATGTGGCTGATCATATACATTGTTTTCTTTGTGAGCTGACATAAAATTGAACCTTGGACCACCAGGAATCATGTCGTTTTGAGTATTTGTAAAGTCCTCTGTTGCATGCTGAGTGTTACTTTTTGCCTCTTCCATACTATTGTGCCTGGTATTTTGGTATAAACCTTTTTCTAATTGAGATGTATGATGAATGGCCATTCCATGAAAGAATTCTGTATTATCTGTTTCCACATTTTCTTCCAATGTTGTTGGATATTCTTCATTAACCAATCCAATGTAGCCTTTTTGATTCTGATTCTTTGATTGCAGAGGAACAACTTTGCCTGATGAGTGTGATGGCATGATTTCTCTTGAGAGGAAAGCACTCTCTTGAGATAATTCAGGAGGTTCATAAAGTTCACCTAAATCTGTTGCTCTAACATAGCTTGCACCATGCAATTGAGGATGAATTGGAATGTTGTCCAGGCCCCAGAGAAAATCATCATGAGGGGTATATAAACCATGCCCAGGGTTGTTATTGATGTAATTCATGCTTTCCAGATGGTCTGAATTCCTTTGAGGATCCAATGAATGTATTGAACTGAAATCACTCCCAACTGTCTGTTGATTATCAGGCCACTGAAAGTGTCCTTGTTCTGGAGTGTACATACCATAAAGTCCAGATGGAAATTGATGTGGGTTGTTTGGATCATAAATTTCTCCCTGTGCAACATTAGGATGCTGAGTGTGGCCTATGTTATGGTATTGTGTCAAGTCACACAGATCTTGGGGGAATTGTCCTCCAGAAGAAGAACTTTTAAAGCTTTCAGTTCCAAATGCTGAATCAAGGTCTTGATGATAATCTTGGGCACCTGATAAACTATATTTGAGTTGAAGTCCTGAACACCCATGCAAATTCCAGGTTTGGAAGATGATGATTGAAAAAAGTTTGGCTAACAAAAAAGAAAGCATTGTATGCTTGAGAACTTCAGGAATAAATTCTAGATTGATAAGATAGATACCTTTTCACATTTTGATGGAGCCACATTGTTTTTGATACATACACTCACAGGTATATTAATTCTAACCTTTATTTACTACAGTTGATGAATCATGGTCACCTGATCATCAAAACTATTTATGACAATCTGTAAATGGCTTTGAGACAAGATCACAAGATCAGTCTCAGTTGTACTGCAACTTGCAAAACCACACTGTGCAATACCAGCACTCAAACAGCTCAACTTCCTGTCCCTGATAGCTTAGGTTAGCGTGGCTCAAACACCTCACCAGGCTACAGATAGCGTAACACGAGTAAGTGAATTTTAGCTACACTATCCAGTGATCATTGTGTTTAAATCCAGTCCTAACTGTGGGTTTGTCACTTATGTTTACATAGCTGTGTCTATAGAGTACGGCGTGTTTTCTAGACGTACCCACATGCTCTTGCGCGAAGGCAGGGAGTCTTTATTTTCAGGAACACTGCCACCAGCCTCAGATCCAAACACCGTCTACATGGAAATCTATGAGCAATGGGCTAGATATCCCCATTTATTTTCTCTCTCTTGTTCTTCTGTTGGCAATGATGTCTGAATAGATACTCAGCATGCATATTATGGAGTTAGGATGCGAGTTCAGAGGGATTTAAGAATATTGCGAAGATACGCTGCAGAGAGAAAGCAGAGTAGCAACAAGAATCTTGATTTTTTTTACCAAAGTTAGAAATTCTTACAATTCTTGTTGCAACCATTTATTAAAGAGTAGTAAGTATCTGAAAACGAGTTTTCAAAGTAAAAGATTTTTCAAAATCTTTGCAAGTAGAAGTAATATTTCTTACTTGATTTGATAAGTTTACATCACCAGGATAGGTAAGTGGGAAAAGAAAATCATAATGTCAATCACTATAAACATTGGTACAGACTGGTTGAACTTGTAGAGATCACAAAGATAGAAAACATAGGTTCTTGGTCATTTTGATTCACAACTATATACACCGATCAAACAAACAGATTGATTCACAAAGAAAATAATTTGATAATCGACTTATTTAGATTTAGTTGGAAGTGGTACCCAAAATGCAATCCAAACAATTGCAGGTAAGATAGCCCACCAAGCGCCACTAATCACATTATAACGTAAGATTCTAGTCATCAATGGACTTTCAATTCTTGTGACTGGACTAAAGATTGGAGTGATTTGATGAATCTTTTGAGCAGGAATCCAATGATTTGATTGAAATTCCGATAAATTGATTGAACCTGAACCTAAACTTGAATCAGTCTTATCAATTGAAGAAGTTTTATTCTTATTTCTCAAGATTTCCCATGGATTTAATTGACGTAAATTACCAAAGGCATAAATGATCGGACAAGTATTTCTTGAACATTGTAATTCTAACATCACACCGAACCATAAAAGAAATCCTGGACCGATTCTTGCGATTCTTGAATGACTAAAGAAGAATAGTATGAATTCCACTACGAATGAAATTGCGATGATGAAAAGTCCTAAGACGATACCAAATAATCTACTGGAAAAGTTCAGGATCGATGTCAGTTCAAAAATTTCATTTATCAAATTTATTCAGAAGGAAATACTAACCGGTTATGACCAGCGTTGCCGCATTGCTTAGATAGCCAATGCTTCTTACTAACTTCGAGCATGGTCATGACCTCAGCATTAACTGCATTAAAGATTGATGGATCGATAGAGCTTTCTGCCTCTATAAATAAAGTTTGCCTTACTGAGCATGGAATATTAAGCTCATATGGTCCACCAGAAAAGAAGTTTTGTAATCCAAATTGGAATTGTAGATGAAGTATCGTTGGAATTGAATCAAGTGTTATATTCTCTGCTTTTAAAGTTTTTGTTTCTTTGATAAATAAAGCTTTATAATTTTTTAACCAATGATAAAAGTATAAATTCTCAGGTGTATATTCATCATAAACTAAAAAATCTTCAAAGTCTCGAGCTGAAAGTGGTGAAAAGTGAACATCTTCCAGTACATCAGACAATTCGACCTAAAGAAATCAAATCGTAATTCATATGAGCTATGATGTCTGTCAAACTATTTTAAAAAGAGAAGAATAAAATATCCCTTACAAGATATACTGGAGAACTTGTTATCCAACGTGGAATAGGTATACCAATAATTGAACTCGTGCTACTAATCTTGCTTTTCCCTCCCGTCTCAAATGACGTCCCATCACAAGATGGAACACTAGGTAATGGAGGAGGAAAGAACAAGCGCTTAGGTAGACTTAAGAGTCCTTTCATGCTATAAGGAGCTTCCACCGGTGTCAAATTTGTACGAGTGGTATGATTAGGTCCATTTTCGAGTTTGTTGAGCTCCAAGTCTTTGGTGGTATTTTGTTGATTTTCGGACATCCTCAACTTCTTTGATCAACGAAGATAAAAAGAGTAGGATGAGAAGTTCTTTTTAGATAAGTCAAAAGATATGGACAGTGAAAACTAGTAATGGAAGAAATAAATCATATGACGAAACCGCTGAGACTTTTGACGAGGAAATGCTTCACCAAAGAACGTCAAATTTCAAGGATCATTTCCAAGCCAGATTTGTTTACTTTATATCATTTTTATCAATCATATACAACAACAACATAATCATCTGGAAATCTCGATTGATCATCAAGATAATTGAAGTCTCATGGTGCTAACGTACGCCTCAGCGTTGCCAACATGCGCCCCAATCCATAGAATCCCAGGCCGGTATCCCCTCCAAATATCAATCCTGTTGTCACTGGGAACCTATGATGACCGTAGGTTCCTTTCTATCCTGATCCATACAAGTGCGTTTGTCATTGATTGATTGTGGATTTTTTAGATCACATTGAAGCCACTACATCCGGATAACACGAATTGCGACCGAAAGGCATACATAGAAATGTTGATCCGCTTCAAGCCCTTTCAAGTTTCCAGAGCATCAACTATTTGGATATAAGTACTCATCCAGTGGGCCGAAAGAACCGAAGCTGCCGAAAGGTTGAATGCTGAGCTTTGTGGCTATGCTACCTGGGATGAATCGAAGACCCAAGAAATTCTAAAAAAGAATTGTGTCGGACCTGGTTATCCCTATCCGGACTACCTAAAAGATGCCCACATCCCTCCACATCCGCATTGAGCGATCCACGCGCAAGCCATCGGAAGATCATGGATATGTACAATCCGCAACGACTTTTTTACTGACAACCACCGAGCGTCCGCAAGGCAAGCGGGATCGCATCATGTTCTTGTCAATCCAGGAAGGTGAGCCTCATGAGCTCTAACCGGCTTCAACGCGTATGATCGGAATCAGTTACGGCATTCTCAATCAGCGAGTTTTCAATCAATGATTCTTGTTGGAATCACGCTTTGAAAGCTAGTACTAAGAACAAAGGAAAACATTATATATACTAAAGGTTATAAATAATCAAGGAGTGAGGCTTCAAAGAGAGCAGATTATTTACATAAGTCATGGATTCAGGTTTAACAATCGTCACTAATGTGAGAAAGCTTTATAAGCCACATTGAAGTTTACCAAACAAGTCAATCTCTTTATCAACCAAACCTAAAACCAAAACTAATCTCGTAAAACCCAACACTTATTCAAAGAAAGTTTCCAATAAACCAAAGAAATAAATCAATTTTTTCATTCCAAACATATCACATCTTCAATTCATTTAAAAGCAATCTAAAAAACCCTAAATCTTATTTTCTTTCAAAATTACAACACATCAAAATTCTACCCAAACCAAACAAACAAACATAAAATAAATCCAATCACAACAAAACAAGTTTAAGAAACTTTCAAATTTGTTCCTGTGATTGATGAACTTTTGAAGTTATCTTCTAATTTGATTCATATTATGATTAATCCCATGACCGACCACCGAATTCAATCCTCCAAACCCAGCTCCAACAGCATGATTAATACTCCCGAGACTTCCATTTGGATGTTGAAGTGGATGTGGATGTTGAGAATGAAGTGGTTGTTGTTGTTGAGAAGAAGTAGAAGAATTCACAACCTTTGAATTAAATTCTCGAAGTTGATAAACCTTAATAGCTTCATGTATCCAATCATTATTTTGATAAAAATCTGAACTTCTTTTTCGATCGTCTTCTAAACCTAATAATTCATTTAAATCTTCTGATTGTGAATTGATCCATCGTTTTATAAAACTTATGGGATCTTTTGAAAAATCTTGATAAAAATCTCGTTTGCTTTTGATTTCTTTAAGTTTTGCTATCGATTCCATAATCTAATATCAAAAAAAAATCAGAACCAAAAATTAACTTTTCAAAAGAAGATGATAAGGTATTCTATAACCAGAAAAAAAAGTAATAAAGAAAATTCAACAAACTTGTTCATCCAATGCTATAATCTCTTTCGAAATTTGATCTTGACCATCCAACGATTCTTTAACTTTCATCATATGAAGTTTAGCTGGATCTTCTATACTAAATTCAACATCATAATATTTCGCTTTTCCTTCACATCCTTCTTCAACACTTGAAAAAGAAAGAAAAAGAGAGTACAAAACTGAACATCAGAATTTACAAACCCAAAAATTAAAACTGATAAAAAACAAAAACACATCACTCACTCTATCTCATAATCTATACGCACTGGTTCTGACATTCCAATAAACCTTCTTACACTATCAGTTAATTGATGAAACGGCATTTTATCACACATAGGAGGAAACAACTGAAATCCAAAAACACGAAACCTATCAATCTCTTTACCTCCAAAACCAAAAAAAACCAAAAAACCAAAAAAAAAAAACTTACACAAGCTAATTTCTGATCTTTTTTAATCTGTCGTTTATCCATCGAATCCTGTAACCTTTCTTTCTTAACATACCTCCAAATCGAATCCATAATCTCACTCAACGAAGCTTCTTTCAAATCCAAAACGTCTCCCAAGATAGGCATTAACTTTAACCTTTGTGGAAATTGATCTAAATGAAAGGCTAATCGGATCTGACATCTTTCGGATCCAGTTCTAGTGAATTTGAATTCTGAAAACTCGTTTGGGGAAGGGGTAGTTGGGTTCGTTCTTCTTTGCCATTCTACAAAATTAGGTTCTGGGTATAATTCATCGGGTCTTTCTACTTTGATTAATAATCCGGTGATGAGGGATGAGAATGGTCGTTTGGTTTCCAAGATTTTCGGCAACGTTTCTTTAGCTTCCGAAGAGGTTGGGTGCTACAAAAGATCAAAGGATTAAGAAAACTTTTTTTGCGGTTCAAGATCCACTTGGGCGTTTAAAGGATGACTTACTTCTAAGAGCATGCCTTCGATATGTAAGGTCCATTTGGGTACAGCTTCAATATTACTCAACATATTAATTTCCTTGGTTTCTTTATCCTTTTGCTCAATCTTCTCTTGCTTAGGTTCACCAATCTGTTCAGCCTGATCATCACCACCTTCAACTCCTTCCTCACCTCCCTTCTTATCTCCGTCTTCTCCACCTTTCTCCTTCTCATTTTCTTTTTCTTCCACAACCGTTTCTGGTTCCTTCTCGAGCTCTTCTTTCTTATTTTCCAAATCTCCTAATCCTTTCTGCCAACTCTGACCATCAACCGTATTCCAAACCTTAATCCTCATCCTACGTTTCACCGCCAAAGTTTTCTTTAAAGAATCTTCTAATTCTAACCTTTTTCGACTAATCGTCCAATCTATCTTTTCTTCTATAGATTGTAATTTATTAAATTGATCTGATAAGTTTATTAAATCTTGAGATCCTTTTGAGAAATTCGGTAATCTTCTATCTGTCGGTTTGTTTCGTCTGTTTTATGCAGGAAATCAAAATCACACATCAATACTTTTTCAATCAAATCTTTTGTTTAAAACCATCAATCTGTTCTGATCATTAGCATCGCTTGAAAGACAAGATCATACTCAACTTTGCACGCGTGTAAGCTGGATTAGGTCCAACGATTTCATTAAAAGCTGGCATAGGTCTTTTGATATTCTGAGGATTAGGGATCGCCGAAGGATTAGATTGAGGTGGAAGTTGAGGAACAGGGGTCCTAGGCATCTGTCTCTGTTGTTGTTGTTGTTGTAAAATAAGTTGTTGTTGTTGAATCATAGCTTGATGTTGTGAGATTTGATGTTGATTAGGTTGTTGTTGTTGTGGTTGTTGTGGTTGTTGTGGTTGTTGTTGAGATGATGGAATCGGATGATTAGAAGTAGTTGATGATTGATGTTGTTGTTGTAAGATAGCTTGTTGTTGTTGAATCAAATGAGCTTGTTGTAGAATTTGTTGTTGTTGTGGTGTTAAGCTTGTACTAGAGTTTAAGTTTAAACCTGGATGAGGTGAACTTAGATTGTTATTGACTACCACTGATCGATGGTATCCTGATCCTGATGGATTGTTTGAGATTGGAATTCCTGAATTATTTGGATTGTTGTTGTTGTTGTTATAATTCATCTTCTTGATTCAAATTTGATTAATCGGTTGAGTCTGTTGAGTTCTTCTGTTTCAGTTCTTTCTTTTAGTTCTTCTTCTTGTTCTGATTCTCATTCAATTTCTCTTTACTGACACTCAAGACTCTTTTAGTTCGAAAATTGTGGCTGAGACGCGACAATGGATTCGAAGAGACTCCTGATCCAACTCTCATTCACTTTAGACTTAAAGGTGAGCTTATGTAGGCTTAGCACTTAAGCGTATCAAAAACCTCGGGCAAAAAGTAATCTAACTCACACTTTACTCACCACCTGATCAAACAGGTTCCTCTCGCTTTCTCTCAATCCTTCTTCAGGCTCAATTATATGAATGATGTCAAATGCTTCATTACAAATCACAAATCAGAAAGAAACAACTAGAGAAGAAAGGAAAAAAGAGAAAAGAGAAAAGAGAAGAACGAGAAAAATAGGACAAAATCAGGCCAGATAGTACGAAATTATATAAAACATTTTATTTCTGATTATTTCAAAAAAGATTTCTATTAGTTAATTCTTTTAATCTCAAGTAATCAACAAAAAGAATGTTCAAAATCAAAATCAAGATTCGAAAAAGATTTTTCAAGATTCAAACTAAGATCGGTTATAAAATAATCATTTTCTTCTAAAGATGATTTCACAATCTCAAAACTAATATCTGGATGATAGTAAGAGTTTTGATGATTGTTATTGATTAAACCAAACGGATCTTTGAGTTCTTCTACAGGTGTTGGTAGAGAATGAGTATTTTCAGCGCTCGAATAAGATGAACGGTTATTCGAAGAGGGTGTAGATGGAAGAGAATAAGTTTCATCAATTGTAAAAGACTCGATAGAACTTTCATGAGAGAAAGGAAGAGTGATGGTGAAAGATTCATCGGCTTCTTGTCGATCTTCATCTGTCATCAAATTATCTAAAATTTCAGACCAGTGAAGTTGTCTTTTACTATCTTTGAGATTCTTTGAGCTAGGTTTTGAAGGTTTTGAATTCGAAGAAGTGGTCGTGCTGAGAGATGAAGAGGATGAGGTAGTAGCCAGTGTACTAGATGTAGAAGATTTCAAAGTCTCTGAAAGTTGATGTTCTAGAATCAACTCGTTAAAGATATCAAAGTTGGAAGATTCTACTGAAGTAAGAGGCATGAACTCCATCGATTCCATTTTATCACTTTCTTGTCGTACCTCTTCTTCTGCTTCTTCCCAATCAGATGCTGTCATTAAGTTGTCTAAGATTTCAGTCCAATGAAGTGTTGGTTTTGATTTCTTTGAAATTGGTGACCGAGTGGTGAAAACCGGTGAGTTACGAGTGATTGAGGGTAGTGTAGATGAGGTTGACATTGAAGATACTTGATGTTCAGCAAGTAACTCGTTGAAGACATGAAAGTTTTCGGTTTCGTCTTCAGTGAGCGGGATAAAAGAAAGGGTTTGGTTGAGTGAAGTTGTATTAACTAATGGTTTGCTTTCTTTCTTTAACTCTTCTTCTGCTTCTTCCCAATCAGATGCCGTCATTAGATCATCTAAGATTTCACTCCAATGAATTGTTGGTTTTGATTTCTTTGAAACTGGTTCAGGAGTGGTGAAAAGTTGGGATTTTGAATGTGATCTTTTGGTGGCTCGAGATGAGGTTGGAATGATTAAGGGAGACTTGGAGGTAGGAAGTGAAGCGGTTGAGATTGTTGAAAGGTTGTGTTCGGCAAGTAAATCATTGAAAATGTGAAAGTTTTCGGATTGATCTTCAGTGAGTGGGATGAAAGAAGTTGTTGAGTTTATCAAATTTGATTTAGAGTCAACTTTTGTGACAAGAGCCGTATCCGAAGTGCAATCTTCATCCGAGATCAAGATTTTTGGAAGTCTTTGTCGACGAACAGGACGCTTCCTTTGAGTAGGTAGTGGAACACAAGGGGAAGATTTGATTGACTTTTCTTCTGAGACTTCAGACTATTAAATACCAAAAATGTCAGCATAACAGAAACTTGAAGTGGAAAACCACGAAATGGAAAATTGACAAACCTGAGGGGTTGAAGTCGAATTCCATATGATCAGTTTTGGACTCTCACAAAGTTTGACAAGGAACAATTCATAGGAAATCTGTTAGGGAAGATAATGAGGAGAATTAGCTGACTGGTCATTGATCAGATGAAGAGATGAAAAGAAAAGCTTACCTGTTGTGAGTTGTCCGATGATGCACATGAGACTGTGGCGCTGTGACGTGCTACAGCTCTCTTCATGACAAACCAAGGATCAATTCCGAATCGTGCAGGCAAGTTAAGGCCAAGCGATAGGTAAGACATGTTGATTATTGGAAGTTGAATAAATATGAGATAGGTTGAAGAGATTGGAGGAAGAAGGTCGAGAAATATGGAGATCACTGAGATTGGATTGGATGGTAGGAGATAGAGTGATGTGATGATGCAGTTGTGGGAGGTTTGAAAAGATTCAGATGATGGATAAGCAAAGTGCGGAGTGAGAAGTGATTGGGAAATGTTATCAAAAGATGTGAATGATAGAGGATGGAGAGAAGGAGAAATCGGAGAGAACGACAGATATTTATACCTGTCTTCTGCTTGAGATTGTGTCCCGGTCTGCTGAAAGAATGCCTCAAGGCACAGAAGCAAATGCGTTCCTGATGGAAGTGCCGCTGTCGGCACGGGACTTTGTACATATTTGCCACGGCCGAACAATCTTGGCGATGTCTTCAATCACAAAATATCATCACGAAGTGAAAAAGTTCGCAATTCGACTGAAATCACTTGAATCTGAAATCATCAAACATATCACATTAGCAGTGTCTCATAAAAGGTCACGTATCGCACTGACCAAGTAAGCCTTGGACTTCTTTCACATCCACCAGTGCACTTGAGTCGCTGATATCAATTTCCATCTTGACCAGAACCGACGACCATAATTCCGGCTCGTCCCTTTCACGCGTCTTCAGCAGCAAGGTGACCTCCAAATCCCAGATTGATATCGAATGCAACCGTTATTCGAGTCAACATCAACACGTAAATGATGTCCCTGTACCAAACCTCAGATTCGTTCGTGCGGCTGGTGCTGACGGATTTCACCAAGCACAGGCTGACGAGCGCGTCAAGCGTTCGATTGATCCGGCCCGCGTGAAGGCGTGCATGATGAGTCGACTCTGAGCGGAAAGTCCCTGATGGAAGTTTTGTCTTCGGCATCGTCACGGGACTCTGTCATATCTTGCCACGGCCGAACGGTTTTGGTAGTCTTTGTGATGACAAGATTTTATCACAAACTGAAAAAGCTCAGCAGGTGATTGAAATCAACTCGAACCTGAAATCATCAAAGAGATCACATCAGCGGTGTATCATTAAACATCCAGCATTCCACAGACCAAGTATCGAATGGATCTTTTTCACGTCCACTAGTCCACTTGAGTCACTGATAAAAGTTTCCATCTTGACCAGAAATATCAATCACATTTCCGGCGCGCCGATTTCACGCGTCCCCGTGATTAGAAGCAAGACTAACATCCAATGCAACTGTTAGTCAAGCCAACATTACTCCGCAAATGGTATTCCAACTTTCTGTACACATACATTACGTCCGTCCGTTCGTCCGGCTGGCGCTGGCAGACCCCATGAAACATACTTTCTGATCGTTACGGCCGAGATGCAGGAATGAGATGAATCAAGTGTTGGGATTATGAATTGGCTAGGTTCGTTTTCTTGAGTCTCTCATCAACGGCTATTCATCCGGGTGTAGTTAACTCAGACCTTGAACTTCAAAGTTAAAACTTAAGACAGACCGTTGATTTATTTCATTGATTCAGTCTTGTCGTTGAATGGTTCATGTCTCTCTGAATCACTCTCCAAAGACCGATCAGGGTGAGTCATTCTCAACCTCTCGTGTGTCAGTTCGTAATGTCAATTTCGTCAAACCTCGTGTTAAACGACTCCTTTGATGATATACCGTCAAAGCGCGGTATATGTCATATCCGGATTTGGCAGTTCAGTGCAAGTAAACCGATTTAATAAATATGATCCAAATCCAACAAGTCTTGAACTCTTGATTTCCTATTCCAGTCTTCAGTCAACCAATTGCCAAAATCAAAACTTGATAAAAACAAACAGGAATCGAATGATAAATCGATCGAGTGTGTTCGGTTGGCAAATGTGGATTCACTAATTCTTGATTTTCATTTCATTCTCATCTCTTTCAACGCATATATTCGGATATCGACCTCATGAAATCTAGTCACTTCCTCAATCTCATCATCCTCAACTTGGCCAACATTCATCTAATTCTAGGCCTTCGATCACTAGAAGATGGTATCACAGCTATCCCCTTCCTACCCACTGTCAGTTTACCACAACGTCTATTGATTTCTTATTGATTGTTTACCATTATGTTGATTTGATTTTGATTGGATTGAATAGGTTGTTCCATTATCAGTCAGATCACCATATCTGTGGAACATTATTTAGCATGGGGAGGCAGTGTAGTATACAGATAAAGATTTGAGTGAGATGAGTCCAAAGTTTTGGACGGGCAGTCATATTGGTTGGACAGGACTTATAAGAGTAGACGGTGTAGTATCGAATTGGATGGGAAATCTTACAAACTGTTTGAGTTTCTTTTTTCCTCATTAACCTCATCACTAAAGATTTCTAAATAATGACGCGTTATTTTCTGTTTTTTGCGGCGGGGGATGCAATCAAATAGGGCAGGCAGCCAATAATACTGAATTCTTACTTACTGCTTCAAGTTCGAATTTTACTTATCAAGTAGCTAATTCGACCATTGAACTTCAAGTTTCATTTCTTTCACCCATCACACCAAATGATTTATTCCGCCAATCATTACCATTATCTTATCTTACCATCAGTGTTAAATCATTAGATGGATTACCACATCAAGTTGAACTTTATACTGATTTCAATGGGCTTTGGTGTACCGATTCAGAATCAGAAGTGATTGAATGGAAAGATCATTCCAAGTTAACTCAACAAACCATTGAAGTCTATTTACGTGATCAAAGAGAGTATGTGGAGTCGGATGATAGGATACTTCATGGTTCAGTTTGGTATAGTACTCTTGGACCTCAAGGTTCAAAGATCACAAGATCTTTAGGATTAGATCGAGATCTTACTAGAGAAATCTTTTCAAACACTGGTGAACTTGAGAATACCTTGAATCAAACCTATCGAGCCATTCGTAGTCAACATCAAAATGGAACTCAAGATGAACCTACTTTTGCATTTGCTCATAACCTTGGAAAGATCAAAGCACAAACTTCGATTGAGGATCGGACTGTGATTTACTCAATTGGTCATGTTCGTGAACCGTTAGTACAATATATGACAAAAGGAGATAAGATTATTGGACTGCAACCTTTATGGAAGACACGGTTCAATTCACCAATCGATTTAGTCAACTTTCATATAAAAGATTATCATCAATCACGTACACTTTCTGAAGCTTGGGATACACAACTTGATCAAGATGCTACAAGAATCGAAAGTCAAGATTATGCAGATATGCTTAAGATTTCGACACGTCAGATCTTCATGGCATTAGAAATCGTATGGGATCAAGATGAATCGATGAATCGAACTGGAACAGATACAATGATCAATGGATATAGAACTATGGCCATGTTAAAAGAAATCTCATCGAATGGAAATTGTCAAACAACCGATGTGATAGCCCCAATGTTACCATTTTTAATTTATGCATCACCTCAACTTTTAACCCTTTTACTTGAACCGATCTATCGATATATTTCCACTGGATTGTATAACCCGATTCCAGTTCCACATGATCTAGGTGATCATTATCCAAATGCAACAGGTCGGAATGATTTTGTTAGGGCTACTTTACCAATGGAAGAATCGGGTAATTTCTTATCTTTAGCTCTTGGTTGTTTAAGAAAAGAAAGTTGTATAGATCAAGTTCAAGATTATTATTATTTATTAAAGAGATGGGCGGATTGGTTAGTTGAAAATGCTTTGTATCCTGATGATCAACGTGAGTTCTATTTCAAAAACTTCTTTTTGATGTTTGTTTTTCCAAGGAACTAAGGGCTCATTCCATTCCTATAGGTTCGACTGATGATTGTAAGTCAAGATAATGATCCAAAAAGATAAACAAACCTATTACTGACTCAAGTACTCAATAGTCTTCGGTCCTTCACCAAACCAAACTAGTCTCGCAGTCAAAGGAATCATAGGACTTCGTGCAATGTCAGAGATTTCATCAACCCTAGGTCACAAGCAAGATTTTATTTATTATAAGGTACGTACAATTATACCATCAGTTCTTTTCATTTTGGTCTTTAAATTATTAATATGAATATCTTTTTGTACGGGAAATAGGATGTGGCTATTAAGTATGTTAAAGCGTTTTTAGAAATTTCAGTTTCAAAAGATCGTACAAATCTTTTAGGATCTTATAATAATCAATCCTCATGGAGTACTCAAGTAAGGCTTTGAAGTTGTATCTTTTCGTATTCAACATCTTCTAATTATCGTTTCTATACGTTTTTTTCAACAGTATAATTTGTACCTCGATAAATTGTACCAGTTGGATCTATTCCCTGATTGGGTTTATGATATGCAAGATCGTTGGTACCTCCTTAAAGCAGGTACGTCAATTCAATTATATTTTCTTATTTCTATTCACTCTAATGTATCTTGGTTATACGTGTCTCTTTATAGGAAATCAATCAACCTACGGACCACCATTAGATTCAAGAGCACCAGATCGAGCCAAAACAGATTGGTTGATATGGACCTCAGCAGCTTCAACATTACAAGAGACCCGAAAACGTTTATTAGATTCAGTGGTCCGATATTTAAAACAAACTAACAATAACGTGTTTGGTGATTTGATTACCATCGAAGGGGGTTGGTCAATTGGATTCTTAGTTAGACCAGTCGTTGGTGGTCATTTTGCTTTACTGGCTTTTGCTCCACCTGATTTGATTCCTCTAAGGTTTAAGATTCGAGATTTTCTTCGTTCAGAGGTTTGGGCTTGTGGAGTTGGAATCCTTGCGGCTTGTTTTTTGGTTTGGAGAAGGTGTTGTATGAAGATTAAAAGAAATGATAAGATTCATCATCATCATCTAGGTTTACATTCTAATTCACATCAAGATGGGATTGGGATTCTTAGTGGTCAAAAGAAAAATGAAGGTGGTAATGATGATGGTGATGATGAATCAGGTATTCAATTATTAAGACCTGGATCTTATCATCAACTTTGATTGATTTATATATCTATTTTGATTTTGCAAGAATTGGGATTGTTTTAAAAGAAAGCCAAATGACAAATTGTTGGACTGTTTTGGGCTTCTACATAGCATTTTTGGTTTCTTTTTTTGTGTTGTGTTTTTTGAATGAATGGTTTTGTAAGATTAGTTTATCTGATCATATTCAAAATGTTTATCTATGTTGTTGTATGATGTGCAAGTTGAACAATTGAATGGTTAGAGAATAAATACAGTGCATAAAGGCTAAGGGCCCGTTCGGTACCCTCGGTCACATAGTGTTCAGAACCGTTAAGACTAATGCCTGATTACTGGCAGACAAAATCAAGTGAGGGACAAAACCCGGGTTTTGCACATTGGCAAGATTTTTAAAAAAAACAATCTTTGTTGGAACAGCTGTATGTGACTGAGGCCCCGTTGGGTATGGCTTCTTGGTTTTGTAAATACATTCCAGATTAAGAGCATCCACTATCGTTACAGTAAAATTTCAGTAAATTTTACAGTACAGATTTCACAGTACAGTAAATTTAGGTACAGAAAGGTGGAAATCCACTATCGTTTCAGTAATATCGTTCTGTACGGTACGTACCGTACAGAAATGACCCTGCCCCACAATCATAGAGAATTGTACATTCAGTAAATAATCTGCAAGCTATTGACCTTGGCTCAGAAACATGGATAGTCTCAAAGTATCTAGATTTACGAGATGCTGAGATCCATCATGGTCTGATGAATGACCTCAAGGATCCATCATTGTCTGATGGACGATTGTACAACAACAAGGACAATCAAAAAAAGCAAAAAAATAGCACAAGATGTTCATTTGATGAAGTCACTTTGATTTGATCAAGTCGATTATTGAGAAGATTGGTTGAAATGGTTGATTGACAAGAAGGCAAGAAATTTGATCGATGAGAAGATGAAAAATTTGATCGATGAGAAGATGAAAGAGTTGATCGATGAGAGGGTGATAGAGATTGAAGGATAGTAGAGGGTGATTTTGGGAAGGTGGTGATGAATCCCTATGTAGAATCGGTAGATTTGGTGGATACCGATTCGGTACAGATTCTGTAGAGGTGCAGTAGATTTACTGGACCTCTACAGATTTTTGACCGAATCTGTAGCTACCGATCTGTACTTTGTACACGATTGGGGATTTTTGGCCTCGGTACGGTAAATTTCAGTCAAATTTACAGTACCGAGGCTGTTTACAGCAACGATAGTGGATGCTCTAATAGATTATGCATGGTATAATCTGTTATTTTTTGAAATCTAGTTTCAAAATCTGTAAACGACCAAAAGCCACTTTTCAAAGTAAAAAATGATTGATGGTGTTTGGTACGTACCATTCACCATCAATCCATAATCCAAAGTCTCAAAAATGTCGGATTTGGGTGACTTGGAATCAACGTTCAGCAATTTATCAGATGATTACTCATCATCCATTGAAGACTTGATTGATGATCCCATGGACGACAGTACCTCATCCGAGTTATCATCTTCAGACGATGAGGACATCCTCATTGCAACAGCTGCTGCTGTAATTGAAGAAATGGAACATGAGAAACGCAAGCAACGCTATGCAAAAATACCTTGCCGGACTTCAGCTTTGCAAGGCTATGCTTACAAGAGAGAACTCCTTGAAGGGAGGAATGTCCGGTTTCTGGAAGTCCTGAAGCTTGAAAAGCACGCCTTCAAGCATCTCATGACCTATTCCAAGCCACTATTGGAACCTTCAGAGCACATAACAATCGATGAATAAGTAATGATATTTTTATTCATCACTGGTCATTCAGTAGAAATGAGACACACTGCCAAACGATTCCAACACTCGACCAAAACAGTCCATTGATACTTTCATATTGTTCGAAATGCTCTTGAGGGACTTGTTGATTCTATAATTATTCAACCAGGACTTGATGCTCCCATCCCCAACAAGATAGTTGACAATTCAAAATTCTATCTGTGGTTCCGGAATTGCATTGGAGCTCTTGATGGTACTTGTAAATTTCTAAGAAGACCTGTTAAAACCAGTGCTAATATAAGCACACTTCTCTCCACATCTAAGGTATGCAGACCTTCGACTAACCTGAAATAGTGGGAGGTAAAGATAAAGATGAGAAACGATAATAACGAAGCTTTTAATAAAGCTAATGATACGATCTAAACGCAAGTTTCTCTTTCCATAAAGATCTAATGTATTTCAAAGCTAACCTGTTAAAACCAATGCTAACATAAGCACTCTTCTCTCCATGTCTAAGGTATGCAGACCTTTGACTAACCTAAGTAGAAAAATAATAGAGAAAGAAAGATGAGATGAGTTTTTAGAGAAAGTGATAAAGCGAAATGACAAAAGTAAATCTTGTACCTGAAATAGTGGGAGGTAAAGATAAAGATGAGAAACAATAATAAAGAAGCTTTTGATAAAGCTAATGATACGATCTAAACGGAAGTTCTGTAACACATCCCTACATTAGTGTTGATAATGAATTTGAGGATTTTAAGAAAAGACTTACTCTCTTTCCATAAAGATGGGAAAGAGAGTGGGAACACAAAACCGATTCACAACATATAACATTGGCCCAACAACTCAAATTGAAAACACAATGGGGATGATGTGCGGCAAAGGTATTGGGAACAAGATTAAGAAAACCACTTTCAAAGTGACTGATCACAAAACAAAAGAAACATAACTAGAACACACATATCACCACAGCTAACACCTGTTTGAGATATCACAATACAGACATGTCAGTTCATTGTGACAGTCTTGATTGCATCTCAACAGTACTCACATTGAAGCTCAAGTCAAATTTTCTGACAGATCTAAACATCGCAATTGACATTTTACATTATCACAAAACGTTTTAGCAGCTTGTTCATTTAACATGAAGTTCCTCTTTGTCTATGCTGGAATAGGTGATAGGGTGCACGACTCCTATGTGCTCACTAGAGCACGTGAGAATGGTGCCTTCATTGTACCTGAAGGTGAGTATTTTGATTGTTACCTTCAAATTCCATGATCTGATGCAATCTGGTTTCTAGGAAGATACTATTTAGGGCATTTGTGCTATCCTCATTGCCCAGATGTATGGATCCCATACTCTGGAACTTGATATCATCTTCAAGAATGGCACATTGGAAACCGTGCTCCACGTACTCCTCAAGAACTTTACAATTTACGACATGCCATGGCACAAAATGTCATTGAGCGCATCTTTGGTGTTATGAAGATGAGATCTCAAGTAATGAAATACATGCCTAGATATGATCTAGAAGTTCAATACTCACTTGTGGTGGCATGCTGTGTTCTACACAATATCATACGGGATGCTGGACCTGAAGACTCTTTTCATGATGAGTTTGACAGGCTTCAAAGGGAGGAGGAGAATACTCAAAATTTAGAATGGGCACAAGCTAGAGCAAACAATCATTATGAAGAACCCAATCTTGGAATTCAAAATGAGGCACATGCTGCTTGGGATGCTATGGCACAGGAAATGTTTGATGATTATATGGCTCATCCTAGAAGACAATGGAGATCAAATATAGTTTTATTTGTATTCAAATAGGTCAAATAGTATTTTAGATACAAATTCACAAAGTGAAATGTTTTTTATTTCTGTGGAGATGATTGATACTTTGATATTGATTATACTAGAGCATAAAATAATCTAGGTACAAATTGATAAAGTTAATTGGTGGTGATTTCACTCTTGAGCCAACCCCATTTCATATCATCAGGTAGTTGATTGAAGAAAAACACCTTTTCCTCAATGTTTATACAAATCGCTGCTTTGATTTTTTTGGCTTCTTCCGAGATATTATCTTTTACTTCTGCTCGGAAGGTCTCCATTGCCTTAGCTTGATTGGGATACTTCTGCACCTTTGCCTGAATGCGCCTTTCATTGAGGCGAAGGCGCTTGAGTGCATTAGCCTCTGCATCCGCCTTTCTTTCATTTCGCAACTTCTCGAGTTGAATCTCTCTATCAATATACATCTTATCTAATTTAGCTTGACTTTCTTCCCAAGCCTTAACAGCCTCCTTACGTTCAGACTCCTTAGCAGTTAATTTTTCCTTGCTGACTGTTGCAAGAATCATTAACCCATCAGTACTGCTAGCACTTCGCCAAATTTAATTTTTACCACGTGGTCCAGATAAGTAGTGAGATATGTAACCCGCATATTAGGTATGTGTTATGTGAAGGCAATGAAACAAATGAACACACTGTGTATTCTACCAAGCTGAACAAACCAGCGCATCAATATATTTCATCTTCCTCTCGTAGTGCTGATTGGGATGATTCACGCATAGAACATCAAAGATAATTACATTATATCTGACATGTCTGCTATTGCCCTAACTAGCCTTTTCAAAGCATTTCAATTATCAATCAGTTGAGAGGTAGCCATATCTGATTTTGTGAAAGGGTTTTTTTTCATCTTTCAATTGGATACTTTGTGATTATGATCTCGATGGGATTCTAATCATAGCCATTCTGAGTTTCCTGTGTCGCGCATACAAAAGTCCTGTACATATGTATTTACATATGTATCTTTCAAAAAGTCCTTATATACTTTTTTGTTTCCCCTCTCTTTCTTTGTTTGACTTCTATCGTATTGATCTCGTCGCAATCAAACCATCCAGGAACTCTCTTGCGACCCGTTGTCTATGGCCATGGCTACATATCAACTTCGATCGTGGACTCGGACTGTTATGATCTAATGATCATGACTTGTTTATTTTAAAATTGTAGTGAGGTCCAACAAGGTATGTAATCGTTTAGAATCTTCCTTCGTTTTCCTTCACCTTATACGATTAATTATCTATGATGGCCCTTTCATATTTTTTACACTGTAGATTGAGAAAGTACCCTATATACCTATGACTCGTTGGATACGACCAAGCTCAAGTGTAAGTCATCTACAATCTTAAATTATTTGGTCGACATATTTTCACTCATGTCTATGCATATATAGATTGCCTCGCAGGGCTTTTCGATTCTTTCTTCACTCACCTCAACCTCATCTCTAACTTCCACTATCTCCAGCTTCCATCGATCAAGTTTCCTTAAATCATCATTTCCGTTTCAAGATCAATTAACATCATCCATTCTAGACTGAAATTATGCTTGACCCCAGCAGTCGCGGTATGAGCAAGCAAACCATGCTTGATTGGATGCGCATCAATCACCCTCAAACCCCGCTTAAGTCTGGAATCACCAAAAACGAAGTCTCTAAGATAGTCCGCCAGATGCAACCCGAACGTCAGCCTGTGCATGTTTTCAAAAAGATTCAGTTATTGTCAGATTGAGCTGATCTGATTTTGATAATGTATCTTTCGATGAAAAGATTTCTCGAATCCTGACAGCGATGCCCCGGCTGTTGATCAAACGGCTGACACCTCCAATTCTAGCCTTTCTGCCAGCTCGACCGGATCATTGGATCACGACTCTGCTTCAGCTTCACCTGTAAGTCATCCACTATACTCATACTTAGCCTCAATCTTGATCACAGACTAACACGTCACCTTCTCTCAGGCTGAGAAGATGTTAAATGTCACGTCTGTTGCACCAGTCCTCTTGGAGACCAAATCGACGTTAATTGGCCAAAGGAAACAAGTTGGGTCCAATGAACTCGATCATGATCGCCTTTTCAAGCGCTCAGAACCAGGTAACTATTCTGAGTTTATATTTCTTTCTACCTTGTACATGACAAGAGTGAATCGACTTACCAAATCATATTGGATGCTGCCTATCTATCTAGGTCGTTTGATGCCAACCATACCGGAACCGCCAGTTGCTCTGAAGAAAGAAAGAAAATGGGTGAGTTTGATCTACTAATTCTCGTATGTATAATGTGAAATGTGCGCAGTCTCTCACATTCATCCCATTGTGCATTTTTATTTCCTAGCGTCCAAAATCGAGGAAGTTACAAACTAGCATGCTTGATGGAGCAAGTCACAATCAACTCACCCCATCCAAACCTACCTCAAACCCCGTTGGACCTCAGGCCTTGGACAATTCCAATACATGCATTCCGCCTCTCATTGACTTGTCAGAAACAAATTGGATGGACACCCCCAATCCAGGTTGGTGACTCACATGAGCTACAGCTTTTCCAAAACTGAATCCACTTTCCTTCATACCTTCAAAGTGATTGGACAAGATATTCCACCCATTCCACTCGAATCCGCTTCTGCTAGAACTGCCAGCAAAAAGTCTGGTGTTGAAGTTTTTCAAGAAGAAAGAAATCGAGTGAAGCAAAGTCAGTCCGCTTCTGCTTTCTGTGAGTTCAATTTGAGTTGATGTTCCTGTCTAATTAGTTCAGCAGCTCGAGGAATCAGTGGAAAATCTCAGATTGAAAATGGAGATGAACGAGAAGTCTGATTTGACTGTTTTGGCAGATGAGATGAGGCGAGACAAAGAAGGTATGTGAGTTTGTCTAAGTAAATCATTCAGTGTCCTGTTCTCATCATTGTGTTATAATGAAGTTCGCCAGCTACAAGTGTCTGTTGCAGATCTCAAGCAAAAAGTTGATCACATGGGAACACTGCATGCTACTCTGACCGACTTAAAAGGTGAGGTGTCCCGCCTTTGCAAAAATTTGGCTGCAGCAGTCGAAGACATCCAGGCGCACGAAGAGGTCATCGCAAGCTTGATTAATATGCAGGAATCTGATGAGAGCAGGTCTGTTGAAAGCTCGAGTAGTATGATCTCTCATATTTAATTATTCAAACAAGTTTAGAATTATAGGCGTAGCTGGTTTAATCATCTTTCCACAAAAAAAAGAGTCGTTGCGTCACAGTGCTCATCCTTGAACACTAGAATTTGTTTCCTCTATGATTATGTACGAATGATTAGATATCATTATTTCTTTTTGTAAGTTCTATCATCAATCCCAGCTTGCTGAGAACAATCAAATCATGAGGCGGGTCTATTTCCTTTGTATCACTCTCCTGGCCATTCCCAAAGCCACTCACTTGGACTGTTTCAAGAAGTAGATCCATCAGCGTGTACAGGTTTCTGAGATATGTTTGTATCTACATATTGTAGAAAACTTTTTTGACTTTATAATTGGTTATCCTTATCTTAGTACAATTTTAAGCCATATAGTTTAGATAACTGCATTCAATTTTGAATACCATCTTATCTACTGTAAATCAAAAAGAAATTTGATCTTCGATCTTTGAGTGTGGGGTGATGCCGATTTTGTAAGAGAATTATTTCTCATGAGATGCACATACATACTGAAGATGAAGAAGAAACGAGCTACATAAATTTGCGAATATCCATTTCCATGGGGCTGCCTCTTACTTGCGATTATATAAATTGACAAGTGGGGGTTTAGGTATATGGTGATAGAGCGTATCTTCATGATATTATAACCAAACTCAACAACACGCCTAATGAGACTGATAACTTCAAAATTCGATCTGCTTTTTATATCATGAACATACGGACGCCACTCAATGAAGCCGAAATCGAACCGCTGATATCATTATCTTATTATCTTATGTATAACCCTCTGAGAAATCTATTGTTGACAAATGAAGATAAGGATAGAGAACATGCGAGTGCAGTTAGGTGAAAAAAATCAAACCGACATCATTCAAAACAGCATGAGCTTGATAATATATCTAAGAGTGGGGCAATGAGTGATCGGTCAGCTCAGGATTAAAGTAGAGCTTGAGACAATCAATTGATCAACTGATTGTCATATCCAAGGACTACAAAATCAGTACGTTTCTGTGGATAAAAAACAAGGTGTTCCCTTCTTTCCTCTTCGAACATTCATAACGTTTTATGAATGAGATTTCTGAGGGATTTACACCACGTTTCTTCATGGACTGATGACTTGTGCATATTTTGGGTCATTAGTTTTTCAACGACAGCTTTGATGCCGAGCTTCTGCCGGCAACAGACGAAGAATTTACCTTATAAGAAGTGAAATTTTGGCATTTCTACCTTCCGTCTGCCGTCCCACAATCATATTTAACTATTAAAAATCAAATCTCAAACTTCACAATTACAATTATTCTAGAATTCATAAATTTCACTTACTCAAACTTTTCTCGTATTATATATCATGTTCCCAAATCCACAAGGGCAGAACAACCAGCCTCCATTAGTTCATGCACACACTAGTATAGCAGACCTCCCGCCGCCAATACATATTTATGATATACCTGTTCATCTCCGACATCTGGTTACTCTGGATTTGAGTGTGCTTCATCACCGAACTACCACGACAGAAAACCTCCGCGATAGTTTGAAGTGTTTCTATCACACAATCCCTCACGTCCGCATGCTCACCAAGAGTAATCTTATCGAGTCGTTCATATACTATATTGTTCCCATCCTTCGCTCACCTAAAGTCTTCGATGAAGAACGTGGTATCTTATACATCTTTGACGTCCCCTTTCTTATCGAGCTTGGACCGGATCCGGACGCTGGCGAGGCTAACAATGATGGTAACAACGGCGCGGGTGCCACCGCGTAGACAAGTGGTAAGTTTGTGTGATCTTGATAGTTTTAACTTCAAACATCCAGATTATCTATATTCTGACATTTCTGTCACGTATCTTCAGAGCGCATCAGGTGGTCGCTGGGAGCAAATTTACAAGGAGGTGAGCTTTGAAAGGTTTGGTGAATTCTCTGAATGCACATGATCGCGACCGTGATTGCACTGTGCTGATCTATCAAAATATGGCTGCACTTTCCTATACTGAGTATAGAAAACCAAATTTGTGTACTTCAGTGTTCAGCTGTGTCTAATTACAAGCTGAAGGAATGGGTCAACTTCAACGTATTTGTCATTCAACAACAACTTCATTTCTGAATCCCCTTTTCCATCATTACCTATCATTACTTGTGGATTTTGAACTTGTTCTGTGACTTTACTTTATTATACTCCCGGTAGTAAGAATGGTTGGGCTTTACTGAGTTCCCTTTTCCGTCATTACGTATCATTACTTGTGGATCTTAGACTTGTCCGGTGACTTTACTTTATTAGACTACCAGCATTAATGGTTACTGGCTACGTGGTAAAGAAAGGAGTGGTGGTGTGAATGTAAAGCCATTTGTTGCCCCTGTTTTGTATATCTGTTAGGCATGAAAATAGTGTACAACCAACAAGAACAATGGCTCATTAACCGAGCTCAGTGTTTGATGAGTCAGATGTTGTCATGTCTGCTACTTGCCTCTTACAAAGTCATGTTGTTCCCACCGTTCAAAGTTCTTTTGAGGATCTGATGAATTTTAAACATCTCACGCTCTTGTGCATTTTTTATTTTCCCTATTCCTCAAATTTCATGTAAATTTTCGAAGACATCTTTTGAAATCTTAGGCTGGTCCTGTTTCATATCGTTCTTTCTGAGCTCAATTCGACTGCGCTCTCCTTCAGTCTCTACACGCACATTCATTCTTCAAATTTATCTACAATCAAATTCACAAAAGTTTTCAAATGAACGTACCCGGGAAAACAAAGCGAAGGAGAAATACTGCAGGTTCGGAATCTCATAATAACAATGGTCGGTTTTTCCTTTTTTTCTTCATCATATATATATCTGAAATCTTTTGGGTGACCTGATGATTACAACCTTGTCCACCTATCTTACCCAAAGAAGGGCAGGTCCCGTTGACCGAGGCTAGTGCAGAACAGTCCTTGACCGAAGTGGGGGTTAGAGTTGGACCCAAAACAACTCGGAATCGTCTTTTGGATCTGCTCGACCAACACGTCATACGGAAAAAGTCACGATTAGATCAAAGCCATCCAGCAGGGAGAATACGTAGCTCGCAGGCGCCTCGCGGCAGGGGCCAGCACGATCATTCCGTTGTTTCCAGCACATCCGCGGTTCCAATGCAAGCTACTCCTGGACCTATCGTCAAAGCTACTCCCAAACAAACCAATGTGGAAAGGACTCTTGAATTAAACATCGGACCTTCTTCCGAACCAAATGTCAACTTTTCTGTCTTCGAGAATTCACAACTTGAGGAACTCCTGCAAATGGTTGGAGTGGATGGTCGTATGCTGGAAAGGACAGCCCTTCTTGAACAGTGCACGAGTTATCAGGAGCTCAGTTAGTATCAACTTATTCCCTATTGATTGAGTGAGCTTTCATGTTGATCACTTTGAATGTGGATTAGTCATCATTCCAGATCATTTTGGGAGGAATGTCACCCAAAATAACCATCTGGATATGACCACTTCGGAATTTACGTTGCAAGTCCCTTTAGGCGCGGCCCACGCTTTGGTTCAGTATCCCCCATCTATAAGCGACAGAACTACAACTCAGGTAGTTCAGAGCTCGATCGAGAACTTAGGAGTTCCAGAAATCTCTCACACAAATCTGCGACGAAGTGAAGAAGCCACCGTCTTGCCCGAGATTCAAAAGGTTCAAAAGAAACATAATAGGTCAAAAGTGTTTAAAACCCCAAAAACTCGAGGAAGAAAGACTAGCATTCAAGGCAGTGAAGCAGCCCTAGAAAGCGCGGAAGGCTGTACATCTGGTAAGATTTTTGATTTCTCAAAACTTGCTTTCTCTTGATTAACACAATCTTTGACTATATGTGATAATATGGAAAGGTGTTGGAGCGGTGGCGCAAGAAAACATGGTTCCGAATACAACTCAAATCGAAAGACGTAGGACTTCTAGGAAGTCGACTAATGCTATTGAATCTGTGAGTACTTCAACTCACACTCCGTCGATCCAAGTGTCCTCACAAGGTTCTAAGTTGAAACTATCGTCAAACGCTTCCACGTCCAAGCATTCTTCAGAGCCGGGTAAAGCTTTACATGCGGTTCAAGATGATCATGCTATTAAACCGCTGGATAACTCTTCGGCTCATACAGAATCACTCAAAGGGAAGGAAGTTGAAAGGGATGTGAATGTAGGTTTCGACACTGATAGCCCAACACCAAGTAAGTCTTGTTTTGTTTGGGCTCTGCGTCCGAAATCAAAAAAGGGCTCATTACTGTTTTTTTACCCTGATGCCAGGCTTGACCAAACACAGTAGGTTAACACGTACTCGAGCGTCACTACAAGCCACCCAGAAAGGAGAAAATTGTGCTCCCGCTAGTTCGGGAAGTCCTGGTCCATCAAGCTTACCTCAAGAATCACATCCAGAATCTGACAACCCCTCTACATCAACACACACTAAATCAAATCCTTCCTATCCAAGCTTAGAACACCGACGATTTACACATGCGCGCCCACCACCCACTATACGCCCATCACCTCCGCCACAGAGAATCCTCTCGGACAGTGATTGGGAGCCTGAAGCTGACGAATCTGTCCGAGCTTCCAAGAAAAAATCAAAGACTCAAAAAACACAAACACATTCCGCAAATCCTTATGGCTCGTCGAACAAACCTCCCTCCCGTTCAGTTTCCCCTCAACTGCCTTCAATAGACGCCTGGACTATCTCAGATCTACGCCAGAAAGTTGCGAAAGATTCAAAATTAATCAAACACCTTCAGGACGAAACACGTCAATTAACGGACAAGGTCGATAGTTTGACCAACGACTTTAGACATTTATCGAAAACAGTGAGTAGTATGAAAAAAGACGAAGTTCAGTCTAAGAAAAAGACTCGTGGGGGTCGACTTGCAGTAAGTTGAATTTTTCCATTGAGTTACACCTATCAATAGAAGAAATTAACATTTCTATTGAATACAGTCACATATTCGATTTCACATTGACACACTCTTAGGAATGGATCCCAATGATACTCGCCTTCCTTCACCGGCAGATGAAAAGGAGAAGTCATCTTGGGTGTGCGGAATCGAAATACCCTCCAACTCCGATGACAATTCTGGTCCACCATCACCATCTGACCATATCAATCCATCCTTTCCATATCCAAATGGCCCGGGTCATATCAACTCAACTCCACAACAGCTGGCTGTGATGTGGCGAATGATGAAATCAGTTGGAGTTTCATCCTTTCGACCAGATTTCTCCGAGTCTCCCAACTCACAAGATAACAAGTGGCTATGGAAACTGGCATTTTCAATCTTTGTCAAGTTAGTAGAGTGCGGCAAATACACCGGGATCTCCTCAGAAAAAGAAAATCATGCAAATATCCAGAGATGTTTGAGTACCTATGTTGGCTCTTTATCAAAAAGGTAAGCAAAACAATTCAATACTTCAACATTGTGTTTTTCATCTCAGCACTGACCTTTTGGGATGAACAGGTACCGACAACAAGATTGGGATGACCAGCGCAAAAGGAAAGGTACTGACGAGACCAGAAGAAAGGCTAGAATGCGGCATGTAAGACATTACAGAAAATGATTTACTGTATTTTCAAATCAACCTCTGACGACATCATTTTTCTTTGATAGCTGAAAACTTTGCGCGAAGAAATTATCTTATCGAGAGACGCACTATTTTGTCTTTCTGATATCATTGAGGCTTGTTGTAGTGACGATGAGACTGACGCTGAGGCCGAATCACCTACAAAAACCTTACGACCCGCGGTTCCATGTCGCATCCGAAGGCTTCCTTGGCGTAGCTCACAATTGGAGGATGTCATGATCTGCTTGGATCTGTATAAAGCAAGATTGACCGCAAGTATTCCAAGGAACACGCATGGTCGACCCCCTCGACCTCGTATCCGCTCACATAATTCAGTTCTCAGTCCACTCAAACCAACACCTGGACTTCCTGTCGACTGCTACTCTGCAGAGTGGCTCGCAAAGCTCTCACCTCTCAAACTCAGTACATTAGACATTAATCCTAATCCAATCTTACCACGTGTCATTGCAAGTGTTAAAGCTCTTTAATTAATGTATTTACATTCTATATCAGGACTTGTAGAACAGTGTGATGTGCAACATTTTAAACCTAAGATGTCCTCCTATATAAATGATCATCTTTCCATCGTCACCAAGGCCACTGTTGCGACCCTCAAATCCTTGTGAATTTCTCCAGGCCTATACATCATCCATGAGCAATGAGCAACCACATCATTTATATTGATGATTTGATCCTTTGTAGGCCCCCAAGCACGGATGTTGAATTGAACATCCTGCGCATCCAGATTGGAAAAAGGATTGTAAGAATTTGATGGTAAGTGTGGAAAACACTGTACGTGTAGCCATGTATCAATAACATTCTGTGATGGATTAGGACACCGACGGTGTGTAAAAATTGAAAAGATTCTTCCAAATTCGGAGCCTTCATCATTTCCAGGTAAGTGAGATTTGAAGACGATGAAACTGTTCTTTGGGCTTTGTGTAAATGTTGAGTAAATTACGTCGTTGTGAACAAAGTGTTTGAAAAAATGTGCATTAGCTGGTAGTGGTGCAAAACCTTTTGACTTTGCTTCTGACAGTAAACACCATTCCTCTGGAAGTATCCAGACGGACTTCTCCTTAGTCGATTTGTTCAGATGCTTGAGAAGGAGGTTCAAAACTGGCTTGTCAAGAGCTTGCCAGGTGGAGTTCGATAGCGGCTGAGATTTCGATGGAGCTGGAGCATAGAGTTTCTGAAGTCTTGACTTGTATGGCAGCAGAGCTTCCGGTAGCTTTTCGTCATCCATGAGGGCAGATAAATTGCCTGCTCGACAATAGCTGTTTAGGAACGTAATTTCCAGCTCGCCTGTGGGAATTTTTATACATAAGTTAGTTAGCTTGTTTGAACTGTTCAGGATCAAAGTAACATACGTACCAACGTGGTTATTATGACAAGATTTGAGGATATTGCCCATGAGTCTTTCAAAAGGAAAGGACCACCAAGCTCTTACTGGACCAAACCGTTCGAGACATTCAGCTAAATGAATCGCCATATGGTGATTCGGTGCAAGACTGCAGTGTGTAAACAGTGCTAGCGACCCTTCAAGATAACTTTGAACATAAACTCGATATCTCTCAATCTGTGCTTTTGATATTGATCGTTTCAGAGCTAAGTTCACGAGTGAAACAAGGTCGCAAAAGTTTTTGAGCAAAGAGAGTTTCGTCTGGTCTTTCCCGACCCACAATGGTATCAGTATTAGAGGCAACTGGATTGAGAATAGGTTCCTCCACTCATCGGCTTTAAGCTTTCCAAATGAAGCTTTTCCTACTATAGGCATAGCGCGTTTAATCCAAGATGGGATCTGGACTCTTGGTAAAAATTTATTAATTATTTCAAGCATAGATGTGTCGATGATGATCTCCTCCAATGGCGGAGCTTCCCACACGCCTTTCCATCCAACGTCGGCAAGCGGATCGAAATCTTCATCCCCTGTTGAAGTGTTACCACTGAGCGAAATCTCTTCCGGGCCATCCTCTTCGCCGTCTTCGTCGTCCTCAAGATCTTCAGGGTCCTTCACGTAGTTTTTGGGTGGCAGAGGATCAGAGTGTTCAGCTAAAAGCTGTAATAGTTCAGCAGTTGAGATGGGTTGGTGTATTTGCTCTTCATTTTTGACGTCTTGCATAGACCAGAATCGTCGGAGGTGCCATGATAAAAGACCCAATAGCAAATTGTGCATCGAATCCACTACGTGAAAGTCTACAATATCCCAATAATCAAGCTCTACCAGCACTGAATAACGGACACCATGTGTCTTGAAGATGGTTATACGCTCTTCAACGGTTTGGGCGTCACGAGCTTCGTATGCCCACATCTTGTGCTCCTCCTTGTTACGACATTTCCACGTTTCCGGGTCCAAATTTTTGATATCCTTCTTGGTGATATGGCAATAAGAGCAAAATTTTGTTGCAGAAGCACTCGGAAACCCAAGAGAACGCCTTAAAGCAGGGATATCGGCTATGAAAGGGATTAATGCGGCCTTCACCAGACGTCCACATGGATAAGAGTGCGTTCGAGACAGTTTGATCCCCGGGCTCCAGATTTTTTGGAGCTGTGTAACAATTGGTCGTAAGATCCAGTTCATCTGCTCCAAGGATGGTTCTCGTGGACCTGGAGCAATTCCCACTAGGAATACATTCTCTGGTCGATGTCGAATGCTGATTGGAAGAGTAAGGCAAACCATAACAATGAATGTGATAGACGCATGGTGGCCGCTTGTCTTGTTTCCAAACGGATTGATAGCGTCCACAAACATTGCGAAAACCAGGTTTCCGCTTGTAGCTGTAAATTGCTTGCCGTCGGTGCCTTTGAATTCCTTCCATATTCTTGACTGGTGAATATCAGATATTAAATCATTTTGGTTGTAGGGTTTTCTGGATTCACATAGCGACTCATCGAGCCATTCTTCGACGTGAGGCCGCGAGAAGAATCTTGCGATCCACTGAGTTAAATCTTGAACCGCATACTTTCTGATTGCTATCTTCTTGCCTCTCACAACTTTCAGAAGAGGGCTAAGGCAAGTTTTTTCGGAAAGATCTGGTTCAAACTCTTCTACAACACCAATTTTGTTATCGCTGGGTGAAATTTGAGAGTCTGGTGGTCCCCCGGGAATACTAGCTATTCGATGATTACAAACATCAGGTACATTATCAAGCGGGTACATTGCAAAGCATAATGTACAGCAGTTCATAAAGAGAAGATTTGGGTCGATATTGAGCCAACCGATGGCAGTAGCTAGAGTCTTGGGAATTCGGTTGAAAATCTTCAGCTCTGAGGCTGAGATTGCGCCAGGAGACTGGTTGGGAAGAAGTCCTAAGGTCATTGACAGCTCAATAGTAATACGCTGTACATCCATAAGCCACGAGGCTGTTCTAAAAGAAAGATTATCGAAGATAACCAGGATGGAGCTAGTGAGCGCCACATGAAGGAGAAGTGGGTTGATGGCTTTCAAGCTGAATATATAAAATTGATCTATTGAAAAGCAATCCAAACCGATTTAGATGAGTGAATGTTGATGTCAAGTTGATGAAATATAAATTTCAACTTACCACAATCATAAATGGATGAAGCTATCTCATGATCATCAGATGCATGACCGGACAAGTCCTCATTGGAGGAAGATTCTGTAGGTTCAGGCTCTCTCGCTGGTGAATTGATTTCTACACTACCTGAGACAAAGGGCAAGGGACTTGGACGGGGAAGTGTTATACGCTGATTGGTGTTGATCGGTTGGTAAGTAGAAGCTCTCTCAGAGGCCATCAACGGGGAGTGTGAATCCATGGAGGGGATATGCAATCGTGCCAAAAAGGTGACCAAATCTTCAGAGGGCTGATCTCGGGTGCTGGTTGACGGTAAATCCTGGCCAGAGATTCCTTGAAGTGCTTGCATGCGTCGATCAGCAAGCACGTGAGCATCACGAGTTGAGGGTAAGACCTCAACCCCACATTGGCGCTCTCCGTAAGCATCAATAAAGCTGCCAAGGTAGCATTCTCGGGCTTTACATTGACAAACAACACGATGGGATACGTTTGTTTTCTTTGAGGAAGGCATGGTTGAGTTGAGATACGTTGATATGAAAGAATCAAAGAGGAAACAGAAACACGATTGATTGTAAAACTGATTTTTTTTGTGGAGTTTATGGAATTTATAGCGATAAGGACAAAGTATAGAAGTGAAAGGTACAACAGCCACACAGGCATATATAAGATGAAAGATACACGAGGGGAAAAGCAAGACAATCAAGCTAGTGACATAAGTTTCAGAGTACATGTGTTAGTTTGTTTGAAAGATGAGACACGTGATATCAAGCTGTGTACCTACTCATCGACAAGTTTCACATACAATCATTGTGACTTGAGCAGATGAAATGTGATACAATATCAAGATTTTACAAATACCAGAAGTCTTGTTCTGGAGGCGTACGTTGGATATATCAATTGATCAGCATCTGAAACATGCTACTGTCTTGAAACACAAGAGCAGAAGAAGGAAAAGATGCCTTACCTGAAACTATAAGCAGATGACTGAGTAATGAAATCCGGCGACCAAACTAGAAGTCAAGGGTTCTTCGTGAATGAAGTGCATATAGCAATCAACTAGAACCTGATGTGTCATAGGAATTGAATGCAAGAAGATGTGCGGAGCATGGCACTGTAGACCCAATCGAAGATCCTCCATGTCTGTGCCTTCAACCGCATCAGGACGTATGGCATGAGGTTTTCGAATGGTTAGGGTTTGACCAGGGATGATTAAGCCCTTGTCGACATGCTGTTGATAGAGTAATAGTAATCCGTCACGTCTAGCGGCTGCGGGTATGATTACATTTGGAGCTTTGTGTCGGATTGCCTCAATCAGCATCTTGCGGGTTGTTTTACGCCCCAGAGGGTTAAAGTCGACATTTTTGGAATCATCGTCCGTGTCCATGGGGGCTGGAGCTCGTGGAGTTAAAAATGGCTGTATGCGTGGGAGGACGTCCTTCTTGAATGCTGCATTTAGGTCGGCTTTGAGATGAGTGACACGAGACTTGGTTGCAGGATCGAAGTGTAACAAGATACGATAAAACTGTACTTTGAGAATCTTTTTGAGCTTGGTTTCGTAATCTGGTTCAAGAAAAACCCGAAGATCTGAAGGTAGTGTTTGGACCAAAGACCATACTACGCTGTCTTGGGTGGATGTAAATGCTGCAGGGTGTGGTGGTAGTGGCTGTAATGGAGGCGGCCCAGGTGGTAGTAATGGTTTAATGGAGGATTGGGTGGCCGAGGAAGCTTGACCCGCTGGTGTTTGATATTTAGTCGGATCAGTCACGTTTGAAGGGCTGTTCGCAGTGGATGGTGAAGCCTGGCCACTATTTTTACGCTTGCTTTTAGTCATGATGGTTGATCAGACACTAAAGGAGGAAATTCCCAATTCTAATTAGCAGCCATAATGATATGTGTACAGATCGATTGAAATAAATTGAAAAGGGAATGGTATAAGATATGATGGAAATGGGCAAGGAATAGAGATTTAATATATGTGATACCCACATCCTACGCTAAGTTCTAACAGAGAAAAAGAAGGAGGTTGCCTCAAGGAAGGTTGATCGATGGAAGCTTCAGATGGTGGAAGTTAGAGATGAGGTTGAGGTGAGCGAAGGAAAAATGAAAAGCCCTGCGAGCCGTCTATATATGGATAGACATGAGTACAGATGTGTCGACCAAATAATGTAAGACTGTAGATGACTTACACTTGAGCTTGATCGTATCCAACGAGTCATAGGTCAGATCTAAAGGTTGCTTTCTGAAGCTACAGTGAAAAAAATGTGAAAGGGCCATTAGAAACAATTAATTATCGTATAAGGTGAAGGAAAACGAAGGAAGATTCTAATGATTACATACTTTGGTGGACCTCACTACGATTGTAAAATAAACAAGTCATGATCATTAGATCATAACAGTCCGAGTCCACGATCGAAGTTGATATGTAGCCATGGCCATAGACAACGGGTCGCAAGAGAGTTCCTGGATGGTTTGATTGCGACGAGATCAATACGATAGAAGTCAAACAAAGAAAGAGAGGGGAAACAAAAAAGTATATAAGGACTTTTTGAAAGATACATATGTAAATACATATGTACAGGACTTTTGTATGCGCGACACAGGAAACTCAGAATGGCTATGATTAGAATCCCATCGAGATCATAATCACAAAGTATCCAATTGAAAGATGAAAAAAAACCCTTTCACAAAATCAGATATGGCTACCTCTCAACTGATTGATAATTGAAATGCTTTGAAAAGGCTAGTTAGGGCAATAGCAGACATGTCAGATATAATGTAATTATCTTTGATGTTCTATGCGTGAATCATCCCAATCAGCACTACGAGAGGAAGATGAAATATATTGATGCGCTGGTTTATTCACCTTGGCATATTACAGAGTGAATTCCTTTGCTTCATTGCCTTCACATAACACATACCTAACACGTGGGTTACATATCTCACTACTTATCTAGACCACGTGGTAAAAATTAAATTTGGCGAAGTGTAGGTTGGTTGGCCTTCTTTCAATGTCAACGAGGCTTTGGTGAGCAAGGGGCGGCTCGTTTGGCATTGGTTGGCTTAGGTGGTGGTGATGGCAAGGTTGGAGGTCACGCTCACACCCGGTGCCACAAAGCCTCGTGGCCCCCTAAAGGGGCGCATGGCAAGGGCGAGGGCGCAGGCCACGCCCTGGCCCTCGCCCCGAGCCACATGTGGCCTTTGCAGGGCGCCCTCCGGGTGCCCCACATCCAATAACGAGTCTGATCAACAAAGAAGAGACTTTCATGAAGACGATTGATCGAAGTTGAACCTATCAATTGTTTTCATTCTGGAATGGTTGATAGGGAGCTTCTCATCCCTCATACACTTCTTTAACAGCTTCACATCTTCCAAGGACTGAACACCATTCTTGAACCTTTGCTATTCCAAAGTATGAAAAGATAGCATAACTTTTCTTTGACTTTTAATGAAATCATCTATTGTTCTCTAATTGTTCTACCTAAATTCATCACAGCTTGTATTTTTTTATTCTTTTAACAATCACTGGACCAAAAACATCATCTGTAACAATCAGAAATGAAGAAGTCTCATATCATTTCTATCTAGTTTCATCTTTCTTGAGAACATTCAACTCTCATGATTTTGAATGATGATGTGACCATAACAAACCTGACTGATTTCAAATTACAGGCTTATGAGACAAATGAGATGAAATGTTTGTATTAGGCTCTCAGTGAGCTGGAGTTCCTGGTTTAGCTTAAACTGAGGAATTTGATTCCAGACTTTTCATTTTCTTCTCAGTTGAAGAAAGACAGTTTTTTTGTACTGGACCAATAGGAAGCCCAACTTTATAAGCAAGCTGAATGTTTTTTCAGGTGACATAGTTTGCATTGCAGAGAAATCAGAACAAAATATCTTAAGCATTTGAAAAGACTCTTTTTGAGATAATTGAGGATATAAAAACGATGTATTGAAAAGGTATGTAAGTGAAGATTTGGCTCGTATTCCAGAGGCACTGATTGATTTGCTTCAAACTTGGAGAAAGACAAGAGATATGTATAAAAACTGTTAGTTGAGGATATTCATCCAACTTTTCAAGCACACTTGCTCCATGAGAGTATCAGCCTTCATTGAGCATCTGTAATTGTCCATTACAGGACCTGCATCCGAAAAGCAGCTTTCAGACGGAACACTGGTTGCTGGAATAGCGAGTATAGCTTGAGCAAGCTTGCTTAGGTGAGGGTACTCAAGGCAGTTGATTTGCCAGTAACCTAATGGGGTTTGAGTTTGAGGCTCGCGTGACCGAGTGAGATATGATGTGATTTCGTCTCAAAGGTGAAAAACAGGACGAGATGTTGAGGTTTTGCCAAACAGATCATCTGAGCTGAGATTTGGTTGATTAGCTTCAAATGACTCGATGGTGTCTGTGTAATTCCAAGACGAATACACTCGGTGTTGATGTGATACTCCAGAGTATCACGCGATACAATGGTGGGACAGATTCCCTCAAGGGATCGAGAACTGCAGCTATGAGATAGGTGGGATTCCTGATGGCATTGTTCCTGTAAAGGGTAAGTTTATTGTACATGGGCTTCAAAGCTGATCGGATACCAGGCATTACGTCTGAATCTGATGCGTTCATGGACTGCAACGATAATTGAAGATATGAGCAAGTGACAATAGACCAAGATTAGATGGAATCTGTTCTCGGTACCCACCATTTCAAGACATCTCATCATATTTTTGTAAGCTAAGGCTGCTAAGGATAATGTAGGGTATTTGGAAGCGGAAAGCTTCAATGTGATTTTTTCAAAAGGTTGAAGAAATTTAACCAGATTTTCGAGTATATCCCATTCAAGGTCACTGATTCGGAGGTCAACATATTGAGGGTCATTGTTGAGTTTGAAGTTGATAACATTTTTCAATTGAAGGACACGGGCACAGACATGACTGAGAGAGTTCCAACGAGTCAGGCATTCAGTTCAAAGTCCAAGATCTTTCTCAATTCCAGGTGTTTTTAATGCTATTTCTCGAATGTCCAACGCAAATTGATGACAATTTTTGTACTTATTTGAGAGTTCATTTATCTTTTGAAGGAGACATGCAGTCTTTGTCGAAATGATGTGGTCAACAGCGTCAGCAAACTCCTCCGGTACATTCATATGATTTGGCTTGAGACTGTTAGTGAAGTACTTGAGACATGCTCGCACTCCCAGATTGATTACGTGAGCTATACATCCATTGAGGTGTTCGGAGCGAGAGAACTGCGGAATAGTGCCTTCAAGGGAAGATGCCAAAGTGTTATTGTTGGAAGCATTGTTGGCAGTGATGCAGTAAAGTTTGGAGCGTAACAAAAATTGATCGAGGACACCTAGTAGATGTTTGGCTAGATTGTCACCACTGTGTGGACCTTTGATTTCAATCAGCGAAATGATAGCGTTCTTCAACTCGAATTTTGAATCAATCCAATGTGCTGTCACCCCCAAAATTTATTTGTGATTACGTGAGGTCCAGGAGTCGCAAGTGAGACTGATGTGATTGATAGATTGAAAGTGATTGATGAGACGTGCTTGATAAAGTTGAAATGATCCAAATATTGCATCTTTCAATGCAGTGGGAGTTATGAGAAGAGATTTGGATCTCGGGTTGAGAAGTGACAACAGATTTTTGAATGCATTTGAGTTGACAAACTGAAAGGTCAACTCGTCTTGAATGCACATCTTGACTAGTGCTTTCTTAAAGGATTCAGGTGACAAAGTGGCCTAATGTGATTCATCATAACTGAACATGTAAGCTGATTAAAACAATACCACAGAAAATTGATAATGATGATATCTTACCATGTCATCTGGATCCGCTTCTCCAAGCTTGTCCTTTGATGTCAATCTATGGATTTGATTGAGATGACGACTGAGAGATCTAGTGCTGCCGTTTGCATCTTGAGCTATTGAACTTCGACATAAATCATTTGATAACTTTTCACTGGGAAGCTGGCAGACAAACTTGACCTTTCTGTCAATGATATCAGGTTCAAAATATTCCCATACCCAGGAAGTGCGCTTCTTGATCAATTCTCGAGTCTCTTCTAAACGTCTTTGAAGTTCTGCATTTGTGTTTGGAGACCTTGTTCTTTGAAATGAGTGACTTGAAGATGTTGCACTCAGCCCTTGTGATTGAGGTGATAAGGGAGAGTGGTGGATGTGTCTTCTTGAGTCACTCAGATTACTAGCTCTAGATAATTGTGACATGTTTTCAGTGTGAGTTGATAGTGGTTTGTGTCCTGACGTGTCAAGCCTACTAATGGTATGATTAATCTATGGCCTCACTGTCCACTTGGGGCTTCAGCGTGACACCGTGGGAAAGCCCTGTCTAGCCAAGGCCTGACCATGGCAGGCCATGCCGGGTGCAGGCCATGGCCCTAGCCATGCCCTGAGCCCTGAAAAATGGGCCGGGTGTGAGCGTGAGTTGGAGGGGCTGGGGAAGAAGGCAATACTACCAGTGTGATTGGTCTATTGATTGCAGGATCTGCTAAGTGAGCTATAGGAATGATAGATAAAATCAAATTAAAGTGAAAATGATATTAAAGTGATAAAAACAAGAACATAGAGGATTATTGTAGAGAAATTCATACCTCCAGTCCCTGTGCATAGGTTCAATTGTGGTAGTTCACTGTTGTTACCATCAGCCTCATTGCCTTCATCATCTAAAGCCATCTCCTCCGCAGTGAGCTTGTTGGACTTTCTTTGTGTCTTCTTGGCGACTCGACTGCCTCGAACCATTGTGTCATCCGCATTCCGGCCATGCTCAAGCTGCTTCATGAGCTCATAATTAGGAAACCCTTTGTTTCTAAAG